GGTCGGTTCGAGAGGAGATGGACCTCCTACAGTCATGGCGAAAAAGGGGTCCAATTGGCAAGCTACACAACATCGTCCACCACATCCGCCGAAGTCCGCAAAGGCGTGACGCGTTCGTCGCCATTGCGGTATTCAAGCAAGCTGCGCAGTCCGAAATCGATGATTTTGGCAATATAATGAGCGACGAAGACCCTGCCTCTCTGCAATTAAAGGCTGACAACGAGACTCGATGGAACTCGGTTTTCCAGATGATAGACCGAGCAATTCGCCTTCGAGACTCTATCGACCTCTACTGCATGCAGCCAATAGGCGACATGAATATCGCCGACTCTAAGATTGCAACAGAGGATGTCTTGACCGTACAAGATTGGCAAACCTTGGTAGAGCTGCGGAATATCCTTTCCAATTTTGCCGCTCTCACCAAAAAGTTCGAAGGCAACGATCCAACCTTCCCTACGGTCATCGCTACGGTCTTTGCGCTGAGGGAGAATCTGAAAAAGGAGATGGCGCGATACCACGATAATCTGGGAGCAATTGTCTTCGATGGCCCGGACATTTCGCGTCACGAGCTCCCGCTGAACCAACCAAGTGTACTAGAGCCGCTGGTCCCAGCCACTCCGCAGGAACGACCTCAACGTCAGGCAGGTGTTCCACAGCGGTTCAAAGACTGCGAGATCGATTTACCTAAGAGGCGAGCTATCACGCAACAGCTGCAAGACCAAGCCACCCCCAAGGATGCAATACACGCAGTGGTAGACTCAGAGGCTCCCGACGTTGACGTTAGATTCATCCGCACCGGTATTCAGTTCGCTATCGCCAAGTTGGACGAATATTACGAGATGTTGCGGCAAGCGCCAGTCTACTGGTATGCGATGATCCTGCAGCCCGGCGATATAACGAGGTGGATCGAGAGGAACCTTGACGAAGAAGAGAGCTCCTGCATCATTTCCTCCTTCAAACAGTTCTTCATCCAGGAATACGGCCACATCCAGATTTCCCGGCCAGCGGCTTCCAACACTGCAAACCAACACGTTCCGCCATACGAAGATGACTTGCTTATCGACCCCGCATACTACGATCTACCAGAGGAACGTATATTCAGTGCCGAAGAAGAGGTGGATCAGTACTTATCTGAGCCGGTTGTGGTGGTTCGTGATATCTTTGCATGGTGGAGGACTTCTAAAGAGCGGTTTCCAAGGGTATCAGCCATGGCATTTGACCTCCTTTCTATCCCAGCGATGTCATCCGAGTGCGAGCGGGTGTTCAGTCGTGCCAAGCTCACTGTTGGCATCCAGCGACATAGTCTTCAAGGAAACACAATTAACATGCTCGAATGCCTGAGGAATTGGCTGCCAAGTGGTAAAATCTGAAGCAGGAGGGTTTGTGGCTGATGGCAGCGATGTCAGCGGCACAGTTTTGTATGGAGCAAAAGCAAATCGAGCAATGGCTGGGTGGTGAAATGGGGGTACGGGCCGGAACAATCATATCCGGTGCCCGCTCAAATATACGCAAATTGAAACAACGCAAATCAAATATACGCAAATCAACGCAAATACACTGCACCTGTGGCAAATCGACGCAAATAGAGAGGTTAGTTTGGGTTGATTTGCATTGTTGAGAGCGCTGTCTCAGCCTTCCCTTGGTGTTACGTTTCTTGATTGGCTTCCGCCGCCCCACCAGGCCTCGATATAAGGTTGGTCCGTGACACCTAGCGAACTTAGAACCAGCCCAGCTGAGCATCTGCATGCCCTGCTTGTCTCTGCGCCGTCTAGGACCCCTGCATCCTCTGGAACCCTCTGCCCCTCTGGCCCCTGCGAGATGCCTGCGGTGCCTGCAGTGCGGGTTAGCTACTGGGAACTACAGTACATACCTCGGCAGCATCCAGCTCCTCAATGGTGAAGCCCTCCCACTGAGACGCGTTGCGGCGTATTGACGGCTGTATCCTGTCAGCTACGACAGCTGGAAGCATCGCCCAACATGTGCCCTGCGGAGTGATGTGAAGAAACAGAGAGCGACCGCCAGGTTTAGGGTCCTGTTCTTGGCTCGGCGCGACCACAGTGCGGCCAGCGCCTTCGCCCCCGTCAAAAGCCACATCTTAGACCAGATGCCCGGCTTGTGCTCTCGCAGCACCAACACCGACGCAGCCACTACATACTCAATAGGAAATGTCCTATTCACCAGATCGCGAGTTGCTCTCACCAAGCGACGTGCTATGACGTCCAAGTGCCTGCATTCCAATCTAGGGCGTTATTCCCTCGAGTTCTCGCGGCCATGGGAACACGACACCCACCCTTGGCACGTCCTTGAAAGAACACATCTCAGGGAGAGCCGCCGCCTGATGCGCAATGATTGAATTCGCCCTGATCGACCACCATAAACCCCTCGACCGTGACCTCAAATGAGACGTGCCGGTCGATATCATTCAAACTCTTTCAATCCATCATCCTCAGGGCGGGAAGCCGTAAAAACGAATATCTCGTCCATATGACTTTCGTCACTCGTCTGTGGTCGAGTGTCTCCACTGTTCCAGACAAACACAGCTATTTTGAGATGTGAATAGGAGAACATCTGTGTGGCTTGCAAACAACAAAATCCTCCAGTACCCGCATCGGGCCCGCTCTTTTTTCTTTCACACACTCGCATACCCCGCTGTCCCAGACAAACACAGCTATTCAGAGATGTGAATGGGGGAACAGCTATTGTGGCTTGCAAACAACAAAGAAAATCCTCGAGTTCTTGCATCGGGCCCGCTCTCTCTTTTCCTCTCCACACTCGCATACCCCCACAGTAATACTCCGGCGAAGTCCTTCAACCCACACATCCCGATTTTTTCCACTTCTGGGAACGGCCAACTTCTTTTTGTGTGCTTTTCAACTTCCTTTTTTTAGTCCCCTTCCCGCCTCATTCCTTCGCGTCGGCCGTCGCCATCTCGCAAGTCATTTTGCAATCGTAACATCCAAAACTGTCAATCCTACTTCAACGCAGCATCCGCGAATATCGGTCGTCAGCAGGAAGGGGGGCCAATATGGCGACGCAGTCGCCCGACCCCGCGATGGCTAAGCTTCTCGGTCACAAGTACTGGAATCACTTCGCCATTCAGCTCGGACATTGGAACTCCATGAAGGTAATCATCATGGATGATGAGATGTTCCGCCTCATCCCCATTTTGGTAAAGATCGAGATCGCTCGCGAGATGAGGCAAGTTCAATTTCTCCATGGTCATTTTCTCCCACCGCGACATCAGCTCACCATCACGCCAGCAAGTTTCTGAACGAGGACGTGATGTTTGCGCGGGACGCCGACAATGCGAAGGTCTGGATACTCGGCCCCAAGAAGCTCATCCGCCCAAACATCACTGTTGTCGGCAATATTCCCATCTGGGATCCGAAGAAGAAGCATGTGCCGCTCCAGGAGATCAAGATCCGCCGTCCTCCCAATGCCTATATCCTCTACCGCAAGGATACGCACAACGAGGTGAAGGCTCAGAACCCCAACCTCCACAACAACGAGATTTGTAAGTCACCGTGTCCCAGCGTTGATCTGCCAGCTAACAATCTTCAGCCGTCATTATTGGCGCCATGTGGAAGCGCGAGTCTCCCGAGGTCCGGGCCAAATACCATCAGAAGGCTCAGGAGATCAAGGCTCACATAATGGCGCTTCATCCCACTTACCGATATGCGCCTCGAAAGTCTTCTGAGATTCGCCGCCGTGCACCTCGTCGGTCGCGTCTCCAGGGTTTCGAGCACAACGCGCACCAGAGTGCTCAAGTCAGCAATGAGAAGGCAGGCATTCGACCCAACAGCGACATCTCACGCCGCATTCCCGCCTCTCAGCGCTTTCTCCCGCCGGTTGTGGAGCCTGGCTGGACGCCCTACCACCTGCTGCCCCATGCACCTACCGAGCAGACTCTCACGGGTTTTGAGACCCCGGTTGAACAGGGCCCGGATATGGATGGCGACCAAGCCTATCCTACTGTCGAGGAGCTCATTTGGGATCTTGAAGCGGATATCGCCCGGATCCTCGCTTAGATCTGATCGTTCCGCAGTTTTGCAACGGTTAGCATCTAGCTTAGCATTGCCAACCTCGGGCGCTCAGATCACGCCGGAAGAGTAACTGGAACCGAGAAACCTAAAAGGGGTTGAAAACAACAACAAAACAAAGTAGGCTCCCATCTCCAGTTTGACGATCTTTCAGTTCCCGGGTTCTCTATTACTGACTTTCGCTCGATTCAACAGACTGTAACACCACAGCTCTGATCCTTAACCGAACCCAGACTCGACTACAGCAAGTGGCTAGTTTGGAAGTGACAAAGGCTCTCAACACTTCTTTGAACCGACCATTGAGATCACGCCTTCACCAAACTTCGTTGGAGAGGCCAAATCAGCATTAGATGGTGGTCAATCGTGCTTCCTCTGTAATTAGGTTCTCTGGGGTGGGACACCTGGACAATGAATAAGTCTGGGGTTAGGTTCTTAGAGGGAGACAATGAAGGCGCGACTCATTGACTAGTCCTATACCTGACCAAAGTGTATACTTTTGCTCGCTTTCCCAACATTCGTCAATAACCCTTGAGAGTTCCCCGTTCAAACACCGACACATCTATCACGATACTTACATCGAATTGTCTTGAGTAAGAGAATGCTCTGGCCGGTAAAACGGCTCTAGGCCTTCCTCCAGGGCCTACCGGGCCATGATGAGATGCAGTAACCTCAGCCTCTTCCAAATGCACCGCTACACCGCGCAGATCTTCAGCTTGATGGCGTCGAGGCGAAGACGCAAACTAGGAAATTGAGGCGTGTGTTTTGGTTGTTGGCGAGGGGCGTGTGACTTGGCTTTGATGACCCGAAGAGAATGGGATCCGGGAAAACCAGAGTCCATGAGCGTCGGGGTGTGTGCCAGAAGTGCCCCGCATTTGGCCCCCAGTCCCTGCAAAGCCGATTGGGCACTTCTTTGTCAAGTTAGAGCTCAGTCAGAACCCCACCTTGTCACCGCCGGCGTGGAGGCGGCCAGGTATGCAAGATTAGAATCGTAACGAGTCTGGAATGCAAGATCGACTAGGGCAGCCCTCTAGTCCTCCGCCGGCCCACGGTACTTGCATGAACGAGACCTTGTCTACAAATGTGCTGGAACACCCCCACCACCTCGCGATGACTATCATAGCCGTTTGGGAGAACAAACAACATACACCGACGTACCACACCAATACAAAGTGGTTTCTGTCCCACCAGTAATGGCTAACGTTCAGGGCATAGCTGATACAGCGAGCGGATAGCCACGGTCGGTGAACAAAGAGAAGGGCGTCTGTTGGGACACGGCTAAGGGAAGGGATGCGGCGCTTCTGGCCTGCCCCCCTTCTGTGGGCGTCACCGCTGCCTAAGTGAGCGCCAGATTTCGAGGTGGACGTAGGCAGCTGCCAGCCATCCATGAAAGGCGTTGACGCCGGCGTCTGCCGCATAGGGCTGCCGTTGAGCTGCAGCGGGGGCATAAACTGGCCGCAGGGATAATTCCCGGTACTAAAAGCATCTTCCAGGAAACCGTTGTCGAAGGTAACCGCGCTAACCAGCGCGGGCCGGGCGGGACATCTCGTCGTGGCGGGATGCTGTGCAGTGCCCAGTAGGGCGGGGTACTTGAAGCTCCGCTTGTGCTGGAGCTGGAGGGCCACGTCGAGAGAGGTGCTCGTATTGGCGGTGTATTTCGGCAAGGGGCTCGTCAGTGTTCATCGCACCGCGGGGCGGATCCCATCGGACCACCGCCGCCCCAAACCGCGAAACCCCTCTTCAGCCGCCACCAATGGCTAGGTAAGAAGAAGGAAGAGCCGGACCGGGGCGGCCTCTGCCGCAGTCCCCAGGCTTAGGTCCACCTTGCTTCTCTCTGATGATGAGGTTGGTGCCCTCGGGCAGCTCCAAGGTCAAGGCGCAGCGCGAGCGGGAAGCCAAGGAACGATAGCGCGAGTGATAGTGGAGGCGGCGGCGCGGGAAGGCGCAGAACCTGGTGATGGCGGGGATGGCAGTTGCATGCAAGTTTGCAAACGGGCAAGCCACCTGATCAGCGCACGAACCACAACCAGAGGAGCCGCGGTTGTGACCCGCGCGGCCCCTCTGTAGCTAAAACAAGTGCTGTACCAAAACAGCAAGGTATGATAACTCTCAACTGTGTTTCGGAAAGATCTTCGCCAGCAGAATTTAGAGTTCAAAGTGACATTTCTGTTCGAGCTGGGACGGGAGTGGAAAATAAAACAAGAGAAATCCAGGGCGGTCAAATCGAGCAGGATCAGCCAAACAGACGCCGATCACTGCTCCGCCGGTGGAGTTATCGCAATGCATGCCTCGTGGCCAGACCCTAAACAGGTGGTCTTAGAACTCCGGTAGGAACCTTGATGACGCCTGAAATTTGCCGCTCGACTTGATCTTCTTGTAGTGATGGTGTTCGTCTTCACGATATCTGGTCTTCAACCATCGCCCGGGTTGGGGGGTGTTCTGAGGAGTGATCATGATCCAGGATCAGTATCCTGCTTGGATCAGTCTCTCGTCGACTGTCATCGGGTCGCGGTGCAAGTTGCGCCACGAGAGAGGAAGCTGAGGATTGCGACGAGCAGCCACACAGCGATAGCCGGGTACTTCTCATTGTAGGATGCGAGTGATTCTCTTCATCGGCGAAAGCCTCGAAATTGGCCTTGACATTAGACTTCTCGGCCCGCCAAGCCCGTGCGACGATTTGGGCTGATGTGCGTTAGCACTGCCAAGACAGAAACACAACGACAACTTACGGATAGTTACAAGCAGCAGTCAAACCGGTGTTGCTGGCATGGATCTTGGCAGACATCCACTGACGGTAAACGGTGTATTGATTCCGTGGTCGACGAAGAAGAAGCTTATTGACGTTCGAGTGGCTCATGAGCTTGGGGGTCACGGTAGGGTGAAGAGTTGCGTCTAAATGAATGATTGGATTCCAAAAACCCACCATGAAGCTCTTCAACTTCACTTACTGGCCTTCATTTCTGTCGATATGACGACGAGGTAGGCGTACTTGTTCAAAATCTGCGCATACGGAACGCTGGTGACCCAGAACTGGATCCGTTCCACCTCGGAGCGGACAATAACGGCATGCTTGCCATCATTAATATAATTGTCAGGAGTACTCCGTACATTGGAATTATCTGATGACGACTCTACGAGTAAAACTAGGCTTAAAGAAAGGAAAAGGAAAAGGAAAGATACCCGACACGTCGCGTTGGATTCTACACGTACTTGAACAAGTAGAGATTGTGAATAAAAAGTGGTAAGTGCGATGGGTCGTTGGCCAGGGGATGTTCATGGGGTGGGCTTGGCCGAGGGTCGCCGAGGCCTCTGCAGGGCTCAGCCCGTTACAATTAAAATCTCTGGGTTAGGTCAGGTTGCGAGGTGACCACAGAACCGAACGAACTCACCTATAGTGCCCAAGCGCGACGCTCAGGATCCTTGTATCGGCCGACGTATCTTCAGTGTTAGTGGTGTATTGAACAGTCATCTCGTTGCCATTGAAACGAACGCCAGCGGAGACGTGTCAGCATGGCGCTCGGGATGGTATCTGTAATGTGAGAGTTTCAGAGGAAGGTGAAGGTGCTCCGAGGCAAGGAAAATTGGTACCAGAAAGCAGTTTGTGTGGTAAACCATAGGTTGGTGTTGTCATTTTGGGAACAATACGGAAGTGAAGCACAGACTCCGAGGATATATACCATGAGAAGAAGCACTAACGTGTTTTATCAGCGAGTGCACCATATCAGCGAGTGCACCATATCAGCGAGTGCACCATATCAGCGAGTGCAGCACTGGTAAGGGCTGCACAGATATTTGGGTGCAGCACTAACAACGGGAATAAGCTGTTAGTACTTCGACTAAGTGTTTGTGCAGCCCTTACCAGTGGTGCACTCGCTGAGAAAGGGTGGGAACAGCGAACAGTCAGAAGGAGAGTGAATGAAAGGAACGCCGAAATACCTTCTGCTTGTTCTGAGAGTCAAGTCGCATCGATCGACTCTAAGGCACCCCGCCGGGGCCCGCTGCGTCCCTGCAGCCCCCAAAGATGGCGTCAAACGCGAACACCGAAGACACTCGTGACGCGCTGAACTCGCCGGAGCCGAGACGCCGACCACTGCGCTCCCCCAAACCGTCGGCCAAAGTTCGAGAAACGTTGGTTTCTCTCGGAAACAAGGCAAAAGCGGCCAAGAATACGTCCAGTGCGGCCACGCGACCAGATGGTGGCACCCACGCTGGATGGAAGGTCCAGCGTCGCGCAGAGACTGCTGGCCGAGGCCAGCAGCGCGCGTCAAAAACATCGAGGAGCTGAAATCGTCATCCAACAGCAAACCGACATGCTAGCCAGACTCAGCACCGAACTAGTCTCTGTCAAAACCAGAGCTGGTCACCGTGAAAACAGAACTCGACAACGTCAAGAATCGCGTAGCCGAGGAGCAGAAGCAGGTCGCCGAGGAGTTGAAGCAAGTCTACGCGCAACTGGACGCTATTTCGCTCAACTTGGCCATCACAACAACGACCATCTCGACGAGCCCAAACCCGTCGTACGCGAATGTTGCGAGAACCCCACCGAATAGCTCCCAACGAACCTAAACTCGATATCGTCTATGGAAACCACTCCGTCGACTATGACCGACTCGCTGTTCTGCACGATCGACACTTCCAGAGTAGAGAGCGGAGAAGGTGATAAGACTACGGCGGGGGCAATCAGGACAATCGTGGAGAGAGAAATCCGGGGAATGGAAGACCGCGTCAATTGGCGATGTCGCGCAGTGACCAAAGACCCACAGAATCCGAACCGAATTAGGATGCCTGTAGGGATGAGGGCGAACTCAGAATGGTCAAGCAGGTTGCAGAGAGAAAGATGGCAGTGCTACGGGATGAACTTTACCCGATCAAGGTCGACAACGTCAACCGCTCGGTAGTTCTGGACGGCGAAGGCAACATCCGAACTGGAGCTGCGGAGGCATTCAGTCAAGAAACGAAACTACAGTGGCGAAGATTGCTTGGCTGAGTAGGAAAGACACAGCGAAAGCCTATGGATCGATGGTGGTTTACGTCACCAAAGGGAGCGATGCAAGGAGATTGTTGAATGAGGGTTTCTCCCACGCCTGGGGAGAATCGGGATATACACGGGTGTTTGAACGCCGGGTGCGCCGGGAGCAATGCTACAACTGCCAGGAAATCGGACATAAAGCCTTCAACTGCAAGAAAGCCCAGGTGTGCGCAAGATGTGCCAGGCAAGGCCATCACCACAGCGGGTGCAAGGAAACGATGATGGAGTGCGTTCTCTGCGGAGGACCACACGAATCTTCAGTCAAAACTGCCCGAAGCTTAATCCTACTAGCCAGAAGTAGGACGCATTCCCTCGACTTGACAGTTGAGACCACTAAATCTTCTCCTCTTCGACTACCCCCCCAAGCACCCTCGTGGCACTAACTGCAGGACTCGCTTTAGCTGCTGAAGATAGGACGCTAAACACATGGAGAACATAGCCTTCAAGCACGCCTGCAATTGTCAACTAACCACGAGCTTTCGACGATAAGTCACATCTGGTTTGAGGATTACTGCTTCGGGAATGACAACTTCAAGGGCTTGTACGAGATCAAGGCTGAATCACAGGAAGGGATTATGTACATGCCTAGCATCATGGCCCTTTAGGCTTAGTTAGCGCCTCCGGGCGGAATAAATATCCATCCATCCATCCATGCACTCGCTGATATGGTGCACTCGCTGATAACACATCGTTATAGAACGTTGGTGACTTGTTATCGGGAAGTGCCGGGGCCAAGTCAGGGAGCACTGCGACGCTTTTTTTCAATGGATGGTTGATGGCTGAGTACATGCCTCGATAAGAGAGAGGTTGTAACACAACGAAATACTCCGGGAGGCAAACGACACACATCAACTGGTGGGTGGAATTTCACTAGGTTTCCTGTTGTCACAATTGCCAATGAACTGACTGTGGATTCTTCCTATCCTTTTGTTCGTCACAGCTATACGCTGAAAACTTTGCGCTAGAAACTCTTGATAAATAAGAAACCAAGCAAAAATGGCATCGTCTGTCAGATTGAAGATTCTGTGATGTCTGCCGTAGCTTCCAAAGCGGCAACTAATTGGGTCGTGAGTTGATCGTAAGACGAGACCATGAAGCCGACTAGCCCGCCTAGCGCCAACAAAACGAGATTTCGAAGGATCGATGGTTGAAGCCCGTATGACCCCAGGACAAGAGAAGCTGTGGGAAAGATAACGAAAGGCCACCAACTAAGAGTCGTGGCGCGGCTAAGGGATTCGTTCGCCGAAGATGCCACGACGGCAGTTTCTTCCAGGGTATCGAGAATATCGGCGGTGATGTTGTTTACTTGCTTAAGCATACTCGAGTGGTCTTCAAGCTGTTCGGACAACGTCTCAGTTGCTATAGCCAACCGGTTCATGCCGTGCTGGAGGGTTTCCTGCCGTTGGGCGAGCACGGTAGCCTGTTTGTCCGAGAATTGCTTGGGAGAGTTAGCGGGCGACCCGAGAGTTGAGGGGTGTTATAACTTACTATCTGCTTCTGAAGAGAACTGGAGGACGCCATGGTTGTGGACATCACAGCTACCAGAGCCCCCATGTCGTCGTTAACTCTCTGCGACACGCGCTGTAGAGATTCCTCATGCGCGAAGGCTAGTTGAGAATTGCTCTCCAGAACATTTGCAAGCAAGATGCTCAACAGCTGCTGCAGGTTGTCGGCGTGTTGGAGTCCTTCGCTGATGGATTTCGAGGACTGTCTTAGTGCTAGATCCAAGTTTTCCGAGAGATACCTTTCCACTTTTGCCAGTCCTTCACTCAACCGCCCGATTTGTGGCGTGAGCTGCTCGAGTCTCTCCACTGACTGGCGGGCGCGGTTGTCGAGGTCATTGATCCGCTGCTGTAGCTCAGCTTCGACACTATCGGTAAGCTGAGCGATAACCCGTGTCAGTCGCTGGTAAAGCAAAATGTTTTTTGCTGCGATAAAATTAGTGGCGTCCAGCCGCTTGGGTCAAGAGCACCAACCTTTCTCATGGTCCGCCCTCGCGGCCTCGCAAAAGCGTAGCGCCTTGTGGCGATAGCTCACCCAGGTATTCCAAGCCGCGTCTGATGCAGCCAGAGCTGCGAGACATAGCCCAATCTCTCTCGAACTCACATGCAGCAGAGGTTCGTTCCTGATGGCGATTTGACTGAGCGACGGCTCCCGGAACTTTGCGCACTCCGCTGGAATCGCGAAGTTTCCTCTCTCAAGGTCGCAGATGGCCAGACTAGCTGCGTACGAATCGACAAAGTCGCGCACCTTGCGTCCGCTGTCGGTGAGGATTGTCGCTTCGTCCTTGCCGTCCACTAGTTCGCAGTTGTTCACCAAAAGCCGCGCCGCCACACGGTGGCAGAGGGGTTCCAACTCTAGTTCCTGAAGCTCGCTGAGCGCAACGGCATAAATGTTGGGGAGGCGGGAGCTCGACGATAGCTCGGATGGGTTGTCTAAGGTTGGCGCTACATAAAGAAGAAGAAACAAAGGTAAGTCTCAGCCGCATCCTCAATGGACTCACCCAACTTACCAGCCCGGCCACGCCTCCCATTTCCCCAAGTAAATCCGTTGATGCAGAGCACCAAAAGGGCTAGAACTAACCAGCAGACCTGCATCGTGGCCGTTGCCTACCGAAAGTTGAGCTCCGAGAGGAGAGGACGAGAGGAGATGGCGAGTGGAAAACGAGGGAAGCGGGAATTAATTGTAGAAGAGAAGACGCACTTTTGAGATTTGCGTTGGAGGTTAGAAAAAGATTTCGGTTTCGTCTGAAGAACAACCAGAGCTTTAACGTACATTATAATAAGCGAGCGTAGCACTTCTACTACCCCCGTAACAACTTCCCAAAATTACAATACAGTAATACTAAGAACTAACTATGACTAACGTTAACTATATTAGAAATAGCTGAATTAAATGATTTTACACCTTCTAACAAGTATATAGGCATTACTACTATGGAATTTGCTAAACTGAGTAGCAGAAATTCGGTGTGGTTCGGCGTCAAATGCAACGAAAACGAGATTCGCAAGACGTCTCTGCCCTCCGCTACCCCACCACCCCTAAACCACCCAGAAACCCATCATATTTGAGTAGCAAACAGAAAGAAGATGAAAATCGCAAGACCTCTGCCGTCTACCACCTCCAACGTACCCCTACCCTCCACTACACAGAGTCGCCTAGAAGATCCTCCAGACCCGAGTCAGCTGGGAAGAAACGACCATGCCGAGAAAGCACACTAAAGATAAGTCGCACGGTCTGCAAACCATCAGCAGCCGGGACAATTCTCTCCGAACCAGCAACGCCAAAGCTAAGGAAACGCTGCAGTGCCCACTCCAGAACAAATATGCCAGAAACCCCTGCATAAGCTGTCCGCTCGATGGCAATGTTGGTCCAGACATGGCAAAGTGAAAGGTCAGCTTGCCGGAACCACGGATCGCCAAGCACGATCTGAGCCACAGCCCCAAGGAGGGTGAATCCGTATAAGCCATTCACCACACTGCCGTCGGGAAGAGTCTGAAAAGAACCCCACAGCCGGCTGTCGATACGGCCAGGAGACGGCCCCATGCATGGGTCCACAACCAGGAACCGCCGATTGACCATGTCGATCTCCAGTGCACCCCATGAGATGTTCTGAACAGCGGTTTCTCCGTCATACTGCGTAGCCTCATCGTGGTTCATGGGAACCGCAGCAATGATGATAACGCGAGTTGCAGTCGAGGGGATAGGGTTGCGTTCAAGGTTCCAGCCGTAGGGATCCAGGTTCTCGACCAAGCCAGATGCCAGGCAAACGAAGGTATGGATGTCTCTAGCGCCTCTTCCAGCAGCAAAACCAAGGTTTCGAGCAACGACCCAGAAGGCTTCATTGGAGTTCAGGCCGTTGAGGAAAGCAGTACCGACAGCCATGCTAGTTGGGGAGAGGAAGGGATTGCCAGTCTCCTGGCCAGTCATTTCTCGGAGCGCAGTTGCGGCATAACGCTGAAGGTCAACGATATCCATCTACTTAGGCAATTAGCGTGAAGAAGAAGCAAGAAAGAAACAGGTGAACATACCGACTGCAGAGGCGAGGGGAACTGAGTGGCCTGCTCGGCAGCCATGTTGGCCTTGTATGCGAGGGAAAGTTGGTCGAATTGACAAGGTTGAACCTGGAGCTGTGGAGGACAATGCCTGCTGAGAGTCTAAAGGTAGAACAGTCAGCGAAACGTTCTAGCTAGAGGTTGTGTTAACAAGGTATACCTTAAGAGAACTAATAGAGAATGGCCAGAGCACTCTGGAAAAACCCAAGAGTAGTAGGAGGCATAAGGAAGGAGAGAATTTGGCGTAAGGGAGGAATTTCAACCGATTTTCAAAGCTACCAAGAGTTAGCATAGATTTTCTAATGGCATAGGATTGATCGAGCAATGTTACTATAGGACAGTTGTTACGGCGATCGCGCCGTGGCTGCCGGAACCCACGGGTGGGGCCTGACATGTGGGAAACACGGCTCCTGTGGGTCGAGAATCCTGCACCTCGCTGCCGCGCGACCTGTTTGTAGCGCAGCCATCGCAATGGCCTTGGAGAAGATTCCGGCCAACGCCTGCCATAGGCACATCACCATCGTCACCAGGAACCAGTCAGCGCTAGCAGCAATTAGGCAACCGCGACAACAGTCTGGCCATGGCACTATACGGCAAATTCTCAACGGCTCTGGACGTAGCACTTCCTGGCAAGCACACTCGCGATCTCTACGACAAGTTGAAACGAAAAGAGGCCTGTATCTTGGCACAACTCCGAACTGGAATGGCAAGGCTGAACGGCTTCTAAGCCGAATCGGAGCGGTCGAGTCAGACCTTTGTCCTTGCGGCCGAGCGAGGGAAACCGTGGAACATTTCCTATTGCGATGCGTGAGATAAGAAGCTCTGAGGGAGGACATGTTGCAATGCACAGTGGCAAGGCGAGGGAGCCTCTCATTCTACCTGGGAGGGAAAGCACCATCGGATCCAAAGATGTGGTCGCCAGACATGAAAGCAGTCCGGGCAACGATCAAGTACGCAATGGCGACAGGGAGATTGGATCTTGACGAGGAACGACGAAGATTGGATCAATCACAGTAGCGGAGCTCCACTAACACTACACAGCCTCAGCCAGCAGATCCCGCTTTAGCTGCTGAAGATAGGACGCTGAACACTTGGAGAACGCAGCCCCCAAGTTGATCTGCTAAACTAAGTCAAGAGGCAACAGGTGGCGTGAGAAAAGGGGAGAGAGTAGAGGGCTTGTACGAGTTGATGGTTGAACGTCAACGAATTGGATGTAGTTAGCGTGCCAAGGCCCTTTAGGCTTCGCGCCTCCGGGCGAAATAAATCCCATCCATCCATCCATCCTGTTTGTAGCTCCTCGAGCTACGTCTTAACAACAGAGCCTGCCCGTACCCGACTGAATAGAGCCCAGACTGTAGCTCAGCCCGACTATCAATGTCACTGGACTACATGCCTGTCCCACCCGTGACAACAGGAGGTAGAAACGACCAGAGATAATCCGCGAGATGAGGCAGGCGAGGCCCGGAGGCGAGGAACTAGAGGATGAAGAGGAAGCTAGAAAGAAGCACCTGGCGACCCCCAGGACTGAAAGAACAAGGACGCCAGAGTCGCTAAGGCAAGCAATTATGCTAGAAACATCACCAAAAACATATGCTGACAATGAGACTGACGGTCGTCGATGGCCACCTCTGGAGCAGCATGGCCTTGACTCCGACGTGGAGGTCACCTACTCGTTCATTTGGTCCACGCCGCGCGTAAGCACAGAAATACAAGTGGAAGACCAAGTCCCAGCCTTTACTGACACGAACTCTCCAGCGTGTTGCAGGTGCCTCCAGCACTGGCGGTAAGATAAGCTGAACCACCGAAGCCAGCAGGTGCAAGATTGAGAAGCTAACATTGGTTTACTGCTAGAGAAACCCAATCATGTTCCCTAGCGATTCCAGTTCGGACGCGGGCGCCAACGACTCGGGCTCTGAGCCCAACTAACCCATCGACAACACGCGTAGGGTCAGACAGGGCAGAGAAAGAGGATTGCCAATACTAAACATCAACGGCAGACCCGTAATGCTGCCAGCAACCGTGGCTGCCCCCGCCGGTAAGCACAATGGGAGGAACCGTCACAGCTGCCAGAAGCTACAGGATTGTATAGGCGACCTAGGAGGACGGCGACTACAATGATTCGGATGAGGAGGAACAGTCGCAGCCGAAGGAAGGCAAGGGACAGAAGGGCGGCAATGGGGGCAAGGGCAGGAAGTGAGCCATCGGAAGGGCTCCAGGATAGCGGAGCGGAGCATGTACTGCGGCTGGCGTTGTGTTGACACAGAGGGCGGATGGACGACGCGATAGGTTTTGCGTGACATGAGACGTCCGGAGCTGCGTTCTCCAAGTGTTCAGCGTCCTATCTTCAGCACCTAAAACGTGTTTTGCTGGCTGAGGCTGTGTGGTGTTAAGTGGGGTTCCCCTACTGTGATTGATCCAATCTTCGTCGTTCCTCGTCAAGATCCAATCTCCCTGTCGCCATTGCGTACTTGATCGTTGCCCGGACTGCTTTCATGTCTGGCGACTATATCTGTTGGAAAGCCAACAGCCACGGATTGACCGCACCGTAGTAATCGGGTACCAAAAGATGGGCAACCACTCAATTGATGATGATGTTCCTGTCTGCGTTCTTCCAGAAGTTCCCTGCCTGTTCGTGATCCTGAGAATCTTGGTGCCAAGCCATTAGGCCACCGCTGAACAGCCCTCTCTGACCACCTGTCAAGTCCGACAATTATACTAAAGCTAGATAATCTTGAAGTACTTGAATCTAGACCCTTGAATCAGCTAGTTACCTCCTTTAGTCTAGGAACTGGCCGCTAACTAGCTAATTACCTCTACTAGTCTAGGAACTACTGCTAAGAAGCGAGTTCAATTTATAGAAGAACCTCTATAGCTTAACGCCCTTATCCGATCCTAAGCCCCGCCGAGAATGGAAACCCTAGCTAGTGTTAGGACTCGAGGTCCCGTTGGGAGTTAATGTCAGAGTGAAGAGGTACGAGCAATGGGCTGTAACGGTCCCAGGAGTATATTGCAACTAGCTGGTGACGACTTTACGAGTTTGCCTCGAATGGAGAGAGAAGAAGAAAAGAGAGAACTAGATGACAGGAAGAGAGGGCAGCTCTTATATGCTCCGGAACACACAGACACTGCCTGCTTCAGGATGACGTTATCATGATACCACGGCCGAGGGTTGCCGAGGCCATCATGGGCTCAGCCCATCACATGGGCGACAGCACTGAGCAGCGTGGTAGCAGTCTGTGTGTAACGGTCCCAGGAGTATATTGCTACTAGCTGGTGACGACTCTACGAGTTTGTCTCGAATGGAGAGTAAGGTCAAGGGAGGAGGTGACTTACGGATGTGCCTTTCAAAAGTTTTGTCGCCTCGTTTGTATCATGCCCGCTAATTTACATTTTTATCTCATCCGCCGCCCCTCTTTATATTCATTCCCATTCTGGAGTTCAATGATCTGTTGAATATATATACAGGAATACGTCCAATCCAAGCTTGAATCTGCCTCTGATCAAGCTCATCCCAAGCCTGTTGCCAAGCTCGAACGGCCTCTTGTCGATTCTTCAGAGCCCCTTTTCTTATTGTCCTTCTCTTCATCCACGGCCAACATAGCTCGATTGCGTTGAGATCTAGAGAGTTAGCACACCACAACAGTCTCTGAATGTTATAAAGGCTATACACAACCCCTTGATATCGATGAGCATAAGCTGGAGTTTTCTCTTCCTGAACAAGTGTCCCTGGCCGTACTCTCTCACACTCTTTTTGTAACGGGCTTGGCCCGTAAAGGCCTCGGCAAACTCTCGGCCAAGACTCGAGATTCGGTGGACTTCTATCTTGTTGGATATCGGCGCACAGGCCAAGGATGTGGAGGATAAGACGGCAGGTATCTTGCATAGTGTTTCACTCTCTTTTCTTCTTCTCTCTCCATTCGAGACAAACTCGTAGAGTCGTCACCAGCTAGTTGCAATATACTCCTGGGACCGTTATACTTTTGCGAAAGGAAAAAGTTTCGAGATCAGGATCGTTCTTTGATAACGGTACCGGTCAATCCCCCCTTTCCCATCACGCGAGAGTTTTCCCGTCTTTTTGTTCCATCGCCATTCTGGCTTCTTCCCAGGTAAATTTCGAAGAGAGAGTCGTTTCATGCCGTTTTGGAGTTCCCATTCCTTTTTCATCAAAGGTTCAAACTCTTCATTCAGCCGTTCAATTTCTTCCTTCGCTTCCTTCTTCTCCTGTGCTGTTTCTGGGCCGCATGGACGTTTCTTATCATATATGAAACAACCCCAAAACAAAAACTCAGAATAACCTTTCCACCGTTCACGAATATAGCTTTTGACTAAAGCTTCATCAGCCTTCCTCCAAACTCGATAACCACCACGTCGAGAAATCAGAACAACTGAAGTTTCATCTGTCCAAATTACCCTTTTCCAGTCTTCAAGTGTCCAATGTTGATGTGCCAAACAGCATACAAGTCTCTCACGCTTCATTGTTTTCGTCAATCCAGGCTTCCTCGTCGGCTTCGTTTTGCGAAACCCATGGCGCTTGAGTATCCGCCAGATTGTAGTTGCCGAGATATCCAGACCCATGTGACTGAGTTCGCCAGCGAGATCAGCGCACGTTTTCTTTCGCCCGTGCCGGTCGCGTTATACCTTGGCGACAACAATCTCCACAGCTTCAGAAGTCTGTTTAGAAGGTCGGCCAGAACGGGGTGCATCTTCGAGCCGTTCGTCTTTGAGGATTAGCGGCCTTTCGTTGGGATCGAATCCGCGTTCGATCGCACTTGCGTAGATCCGCTGCACTTGTCGAACAGAACAGCCAGTCTTTTCAGCGACATCGGCCGTCTTCATCCCCACAAGTGGACTTTTCAAAGTTACAATAAGGGCTCGCGTCGCCAGGTCGGTATTTGGGGCCATAATGATGATGGGAAAAGTGACAGGCGAGTGGAGAACAGATGCGGGGTATATTATTTGATGGATAAAGGTTATACAGCAAACGGGGCGACAAAACTTTTGAAAGGCACATCCGTATCCGTAGATAGTGATGGATCGGGGGGAAATCGACCGAATGGTAGCCTGACCGAGAAATGGGTCGGGTGTCTTCTGTGGTGTCCCAAAACTCGCCCGATCTTAATATGATCGAGCCCTTGTTGGCCACAGTTGAAGCGGGTGACCACTAAGGAAGGAGCTCCCAAGTCAAAAAAGCAAGCACAACAGGTCTGGGAAAAAGCTTGGGAAGACTCGGACGAGCCCCGGATATAGTCTTGGATTGAGAGGATACCGTTCCATATCCAGGAGGTCATTCGCTTGGAGGGAGGCAACGAGTATAAGGAAGGCTGGGCAAAGGACCGTCGTCAGGATGTAGTTCCTAGGCCGGCCTAGCGGCAGGCGAGTTATGACTATGATGTCAGTCAGCCAATTTGGCGGGTTAGGTACCGTACAGTGGCCTACAGGGCATGCGGTCTTGGTCAGAAAGGCGGTGTGGGAAAACTTTTGGTAGAAAAAACTTTTGGTAGGAACATCCCTAGAGAGGTCGCGTCTCGCTGAGAAGTGCGTCGCTCGCTTATCATGTACGTTAGAATATTTCAAAAGTCGAACCTTTCTCGCTTCAAAAACGCTAAGATGCTGTTGAACTAAACTGGCCCCTTGGCACTTGGGGCACTGTTGCCCAATGCAGTAAGCGCGGAAGACTCGTCACCCACCCAAAAGCAGGGTCTGGCGAGCGTCCCGAAGCCCTCAGTTCTTTAAGCAACACACACACAAGACACACGGTTCAGACAGCCAATTCAAGCATCATCTTGTGCCTCAATTGATGCAGTATCACCTGGTTGGTCTATGCCTATTCGAGCCTGTAACTGTTACTGTTCAACAGATGCCGTTTGGAGGCGGTGTAACAAGTGTGGAGCCGGCTAGTTCTTGGCTCTTCATCTTGGCCCAAACCAGATAAGTGCGAAATTCATAAGCCACAGTGATCTGGCGACTGATTCATGGGTTGAGCCAATGGCGCGTGCTCAAATTGCGTCCCTCTCGCCTAACTATCGTCGCTCAGTGGAGTACTCCTCTTCTTTTCACGAACACCCTGGCTGGTCTCCGATTGTCCCGCCTTTTTCGGGGGGCAGAGTGGCACAGCTGTTCAGCCCAGGCTTGGCATTGCTTGATGCCCCTGCCTCTGACCTCCGTTCGTCATACCAGAGGGTTGCACCGCCCTTTGCTCGCTTGTCGGCGGGGCTTGACTGCATGCTCCGTTTACGATGCGGCTTAGTCATGAGTCTCTTTGTCTTCATTGGGCTTCGAGGGCGAGATGAGCCGACGCCGGCGCGTGGGTGGACGAGCTGAATAAAGCTGCGTGACATTCCCCCTCCTCGCCACAGCCCTTTTCCTGTGGCTTTCTGTCTCGTCATCAAAAGAGGTACTATCGCTGTTGCTACTTCGTCGCAGTTGGATCATTCCTGATCCAGTCCGTCAAACTCTCCTTCACTCTCGCACCGCGCTCCAACCCGCCGTACACCATCGCCATCGTCACCATGGGCGCTCATGGACTTCTCGCCGTCGGCGTCCCGCCGCAGCCACTCTGGCTCCTCTACATCAAGATCGCCATATTGGTCCTCTCTATCATCGTCCTTGGCCTCGGCGCCTATACGTTGTCGGTCGCAACCCTTGGCGATGATCCTGGTGCGCTGGATGTTTTCGTCGTATGTGGTGGAACCCGTTTCTCTTCGCCTGTGTCATGACATAGCTGACGTCCTGGCGCAGGCCCTTTGGAGCTTCATTACCTACGGCGGGGCCGCCGCATTCGAGATCTGGGCGCCCCGATTATTCTACCGCATCGTTGCCCTCGTCCTCCAGATCTTGAGCATCATTTTCTGGCTTTCCGCGTGGGCCTACTCAGCATCCGTTGCTGCACATGTCTTTAGAGTGTATTCTGGCGGTAAGCTCGGCGCGGCGCAGAGCTATGGCGGAGCCCTCGGGGGCTGTGCTGGTCTCGGCGCAATTGTCTGGTACGTTGTGCCTGGGCTATGGCCGCAGAGTAAAACGGTCCAAAGTTGACACTTGTTCTCAGGGTCCTCACCATCGTACACCTCGTGTTCTTCATCCGCGCCTGCCTCATGGACAACACGGCTCCCGGTCAGGCCGAGCTCGGCCAGGTCAAGACCGAGGCCGCGCCGCAGCAGTACGGTCAGCAGCAGGCTTACGCTCCTGTGCAGCAGTACGCGCCTCAGCAGCCTCAGCAGCCTTACGCCCCGCAACAGCCGTACCCTCAGCAGCCCTATCCGGGCCAGTAAACCCCTAATGTCTAGCATATGATTTCCTACACCAGCAGTCTTGTCAAGATTGGATGCGTGGGAGGCTTACGAGGGCGAGTTTCTTTGTTTTAATATGTGTTGGTTCATCGGCATGAGTAATGAGCAGACTGGAAGTTGAAGCAGTGTTGCGAAGCTTTTCTCTTGGTCGTTTCGGCTCCGACTTGCACGGCGGAGCGTTGAGTTTGTTTTTATTGTATACCACATACCCGGCAAAGTGTCAGAAGGTCAGGTCAGAGTCAGAAATCGATACCCATGATGTGCTTCTGTATGCGACATCATCAGCAACCTGCACTTCGGAGTTGTGTAAAGCAAGCACCACGACAGTGACTCTCAAACCACGATTATCGCGATACTAACTGGAACTGCGATGTCGGTTCAGGCTTACGGCTCAACTTTCATGGTAGACACGAGCATGCTATGCCGGTCTCCTGGCAGCACTTCGGTGCAGTATCGGGAATGAAAACCGACTCTGGGCTTATACGAATTTGTGTCTTCCGCTCTTGCCAGTCTGAACTGGTGCTCCTTCCCATTTGACATAGTTTGACTTGATTTGCTGAGTATGTTACGGAGTACAGGAAGTGCGAGCCGTAAGGCGATCATCAAGCCTTCGTTCGACCTCATCCCCTTCTCACACACATACGAGTCGACAACACAGCAAACAACCCCAGCTCCCGTCGTCATTCAATCCCCTAACATACTGCCCCTCGAAGCCACAAAGCTCACCATCCCGGCAACTACACCCAGTACCCACCGCGCATGATTCAACCGAGCCCAGGTGACAACCAAGTCGGCCATCTCTACCCTCTCCGCCCACCGTTGCCAACCCCCCCTGACAGAGTGCCTCACCACCGACGGCAGCGTCCTCGCCGAAGGCATGCTGAACCCGCCGCCGCCGCCCTCCTTCGCGTCGCGCAGCAGCATCTCGACCTTCCACTTGCACGCGCCGTTGATGCCCGGCTCGAGGTAGAGGAAGGTGATGGGGATAATAGAGAAGGTCAGCGCTGCGGCGGTGATGTGGAGGGTGATGAAAAATGAGTTGCTGGAGGGGGAGAAGGCGACATAGAGATTGGAGAAGAAGCCCGTGTAGATCAAGGGCGGCACCCAGACGGGGCCTTGCTGGTAGAGGACGAGCCATTGGCGGGCGAGGAGTTTGGGGGTTGTGGAGGTGGTGCGAGCTAAAAGGTGCATAGTGAGGGAGTATTGGAAGGTTATTCCTAGGGATTGTTTGTTAAGGCTGTCTGAGATCAAGGGGGAAAGGTTGAGGGAATTTTACCGGCATAGAGAGTTGGCATAGCTATGCCGGCCCATTGGGCCACGGCGGTAAGTGTTGGGAAGCCCATCTTTTCAATGCTGTGCGTTGGAGTTGGGGAGAAAGACCGTTATGTCTCTCGACGCTGCCATGAGAATATCATGGTGATGGTATGGGCTGCTGGCATTGTGATGACGAGATAAGAGGGAAGGGGGCAAAGATACGATGAGCCGATGGGGTGCACATGGGCTGATTTCTCACTTTCAGGCGGGATATCTTGGAATGAAACGCTCAAGGATTGCCGACTATTTGACATGTGCATGTTGAATACCGCCAGTGATTGGGTGTGTTGGGTTGCCGGGTATCACTCGGGAACTCTCCCGTCTGGTCGGGTCCGAAGGTCCGGTGTTTGGGCCGGGCCAGCATAGGGCCATAGGCATAGAAGAACTGACCCTTACCTCTTCACTCATTTGACTCCTTGAGTAGTCGCTGGTTCCCATTGTGGTCGCTATCCGGTCGGCCGGTCGTCTGATAGTTTGGCGGTCAACTTGGAAGTTTACTCCGGAGACATGGCAGTGTGCCAGTCGACGTCATCTCTGCGCCGAAGACAGAGATGCAAGAACAATAATGTACGCTATCGGAAAACAACCGCCTCGGCTGTAGACACCGAAGTCCTTGAAACCTAACGCAAGCTGTCAGATAAGGTACTTCGTAAGCCCCAGTTTGAATCTGATGTAACGGTCCCAGGAGTATATTGCATCTAGCTGGTGACAACTCTACGAGTTTGCCTCGAATGGAGAAAGAAGAAGAAAAGAGAGAACTAGATGACAGGAAGAGAGGGCAGCTCTTATATGCTCCGAAACACACAGACACTGCCTGCTTCAGGATGACGTTATCATGATACCACGGCCGAGGGTTGCCGAGGCCATCATGGGCTCAGCCCATCACATCTGAAGTTCCAACAATCTCCAGAGAAAACGCAGTAATGGACGGTGATGTTGCTAGATCCTGGGTTGAATCTAAAACGGGAAAAGCGCTAAAAGGAAGATGTCATATTATAATATTGCAAAGGGTTGTTGAGACTAGGTTGAACCCGGATGTTGTGTCCTGTCTCGGGATGGATGGTGTGACACGATTCAACTTCTATAATACCCTAACCCTAGCCGCACTCGACGCGACAAATGTTTAATGAAGACGCGCTTGCGGAGCGCGTCTCCTCCGTCAACATGCTGGTTTTCGACATTGAGCCGACCCCATGTTCAAGTGCGTTTCTTGAGCGAGAAACCAACCGAGTTCCCCGTGTCACAATGGCAGCTCCGTCCTCGCCAATCGAGTATCCGGCCAGCTCGCCGCCCCCCAGCACCAAAAGGCCACGACCATCCGACGCGCCGAAACCACAAAGACCCCGCGTCATCGCCAGCTTCCTGGCTGATGATGACTCCGATGATGACGATACTACAAATCAGCCGTCCCCCAAGCGGCGAATGCTGCACCAAGAGACCCCAGGTACCCCGGTAGTTTTTGGAGCTGGAGCTGAAGGCGTCGAAGAGAGTTTGATCGAGGCCCGGCCAGCCCCCCAAGACGCCGCCTCCACCCCGCCCGACAGCCTGCTGCACGAGGCTACCCAGCAGGGAGCAGAGCGTTACGAACGTCTCTTCGGCCTTCAAGGGTTGCCGACACTGGCAGCATTCACAAGCCACGATCCGCGCCCGACCCCCTATCACGTCTCGACATGTTCCGGCGTCACGATACCCATCAAGGAACGCAAGCCCGCCGCGGCAGTCTCGTACGCAACCATGGTCGCAGCACGGTCCAAGACAAGGGAGGGCCGAGCACACAAGAGCTACTACGGTATCGCCATCCACGAGCTCATCGACGGCGCCAATAAGGAACTGGCAGCAGCACGCAAGAAGGCCGTAACAACACCCATTGCCCCACCGGCCAACCCTGACAGACCCATCTGCTCTGTCGAAACACAACAAACCAACCTCAAAAAGTCGTTCAAGCGCACCATGCTCTGGACCGAGAAATATCGCGCACGCAACTTCATGGACCTCTGCGGCGACGACCTGACCAACCGTCAAGTCCTCCGCTGGTTGAAGAGGTGGGACCCCATAGTCTTCCCGCACGCAGCCAGCAAAACCAAGTCAGCAAACAGGAGGCACCACGGTCAGCAACAACAGGGACAGCAGCTCGAGGAAGAGAAACCGCACCGCAAGATTCTCATGCTGCACGGCCCTCCCGGCCTCGGCAAGACCACTCTCGCTCATGTCTGCGCGCGGCAGGCGGGCTACGAGATCTTGGAGATCAATGCCAGCGACGAGCGGAGTAAGGATGTGGTCAAGGGGCGGATTAGGACAAGCTTGGGCACAGAAAGCGTCAAGACGGTTGAGAACAAGAGGTCAGAACCGGGAAAACAGCAAAAGGTTGCCCGGCCTGTTTGTGTGGTTGTTGATGAGGTGGATGGTGTGGTCGGCGGATCAGGGGGCTCGGGCGAAGGCGGCTTTGTCAAAGCATTGATTGACCTCGTGATGCTGGATCAGAAGAACAGTGCCGGTGCTGCGGCGGCCGCTGGTGGAGGGCGACGGAAGAAGGGCGATGATTTCAGACAGATGAGGCCTCTGATCCTGATCTGTAATGATGTCTACCACCCTTCACTGCGACCCCTGCGGCAGTCTGGACTGGCCGAGGTCATCCATGTCGGGAAGCCGACCGTGGACGCCGTCGTCGCTCGGCTCAAGACCATCTTCGAGAAGGAAGGTATTCCCTGCGAGAAGGATGCCGTGCGGAAGCTGTGTGAGGCAGCGTGGGGCATGACAAACGGCCTCGACGCGAAGCGTGGAGCGGAAAGCAATGTTGAAGGCGATCTCAGAGGCGTCATGGTGATAGGAGAATGGGTCGCCGGCCGGCTGCGGGCAACTTCCCCGGACGTCACCCCTTGCCTCACCCGGCAGTGGCTCGATAGAAACATCATCCACGACCTTGCCCATGGCGGCGGAGCCGCCAGAGGTCTCGGACGAGGCGACACCAGAGAGATTGTCACACGCATCTTCCAAGAAGGCGCCGGCTTCCCGAAACAGTCCAGCCCAGCCCTTCAACCGAGCAGGACCACTAAGCACGAACAACCCCAAGCCCAACTCGGCTTCGCCGAGCAACAAAAGAAGTACGCCATGTCCCGCCTGCAGGAAATGATTGATACCTCAGGCGAGGTCGACCGCATCATGACAGAGATTTTCCTAGAGTACCCCCACCGCGAGTTCAACGACGACTCGTTCCTGACCAAACCCGACATGGCCTACGAATGGATGCACTTCCACGACACGTGCTCTTCCCGCCTCTTCTCGAGCCAGGACTGGGAGCTTGCGCCCTACATCAGCCAGCCGGCCCTTGCTTGCCACCACCTGTTTGCCTCCCCGCGGCGGTACCAGGCCCAGGCCGCATCCGGTTACGGCGGCGGCAGGTGGGGCGAGGCGGCAGACGACGGCGAAGCCGACGCCGCCCCTCTGCCCTTCTCCGGAACGAGGGCCGACTATGCCGCGTACGAGGCCGAAAAGGTCAACCGCGCCGCGCTGCAGGCAATCCACGCTCAGCTGCCGCCGACGCTCTCCCGCGCGTTCCGCAGCCCGGAGGATATCGCCACCGACTTCCTGCCCTATCTCGTCCGGCTCGTCTCGCCGGACGTGAAACCCGTCATGGTGGGCGGGAGCAATGACAAGATGGGCGCCGTCGCGTCGGTGCGCAGGGAAGCGGAAAAGGTCATGGTGAAGCGCGCGGCGCAGGTGTTGGCCGAGGTGGGAATCGCCCTGCATAGAGGCAAGCTCGAGCAAACGGATGGCGGTGGCGGTCCGGTCGGGAGGACGCAGTGGGTGTACCGAATGGAGCCGTGAGTCTTGAACCCATCTCAACCATCCGCCGCCCCAAGAAAAAACAGGATGCATGCTGACATACTGGGAACCAGTGATCTCGACGCCCTCGCCACATTCGAAACAGCCTCGGCATACATCCTTGCCTCCCAAGCGCCAACCCGCTACGCCGTGCGTCAGGTCCTAGATCAGGAACTCCAAAAGACGCTCGCCCAGAAACAAACCGCGTCAAGACTGGCCCGGCTCCGATCTGGCAGCGGCGCCCCCGCCACGACTACCCGTCCCGACACTCACCACCTCCTTCTTGACGATGACAAGGAGAACAATGGCATTGCCGCCAGGGCCGCTGTCGGCGAAGACAAGCCCCGTGTCAAGAGGGACTTCTTTGGCAGGGTGATTGTCGAGAGACCGCTCCCAGAGGCGGATGGCAACGCTGCCGGGGTCAAGAAGAGGAGGAACAAGGAGGAGAGCGGGCAAGGCGCAAAGGTGTGGGTTACGTATCATGAGGGACTGAATAACGCTGTGAGGAAACCCATCTCGCTTGAGGAGTTCATGAGGGGGTTCTAATGCGAGGATGACCACGGTGCACTCTTTGGGAGTGTTGATTGCCTGGACTGGATAGGTGGGGAACGATGAGTGATTGGATTCGGCAACTTGGGATTATGTACTGTGTATGTTGGCCACGAAGCAGAAATGGTACCTCATACTATTACACCACCCATATGAATACGGTACCCCAACGGGTAGGCCGTTGAGGTCGTTTCAGTGTCGTCCGAGGTGGATTCACTTTCCTCCGGGCAGCCCGGCTTGGCGAAAACGACAATCCGGTCCCGGCGGCGAACTTTCGGCCGCACTTCGGCCCGGGCAACCCGGTACTTATTGGCTGGCGGCGTCGTCCACTCTCGCTGATTGCTCTAGGTGCTGAGCTTTAATCAAGGGGGTCAGCCAGGTCACCAAAACCGGACCATGTGACTATTTTGGCCAAATCACCAGGGGTCGAAGTGCAGTTCCCACGCCGCTTGTTCCTCGGGACTCAGATGGATAATAAATGTCACTAAGGTAAAAAAGCAATGAGGTAACGACCATGCCTCGCTTGCTTACTCAATCCAGAGTCAACACACTTAAGCCAGAAACAAACGAGATTAAGTCCCCTCTATTCCAACACCAGCCCTCTATCCCGTTCAACTCGACTCCGCTCCCCGCCTCTCCAAGCTCGAAATCACACTCGCAACCGCCGTCTCAATATCAGCATGGAAATAAGGCCGGTTCACGCCGTAAAGCGGTACCAGTTTGCGGCCGTCGCCACCGCTCGAGGACGCAATACTCGCAGCAGCGGCCTCAACATCAATCTCCTTCGCCTTGGTCCCGACTTCAGAGCCCTTCACGTCCGACGACCGACCGCTGTTACCCGTCTCAGCAACGGCAATCAACAGCTCCGACGACGCGCCCTTGCCGTCATCAAAAGAAGAAGAAGCAGCACCACTACTGCTCTTCCTCTCGGCGCCGAATCCGCTTGCGACCAGCGCCCGCTTGGTCCAGCGGTTGGCCACGCCCGCGAAGTGCCACTCCACGCGGTCCGGGTCGGCGTAGCGGTCGAACTGGTTACGGAGATCAATCAGGGCCTGGGCGGCGGTGACGTCGAGGAAATTGACGGCCGTGAAATCGAGGATGACGGCGCGCAGCGTTGGGCGGACGGCCATCTCTTCCGTGTTCAGGGATTGGCCGCGGCGCGGCCCGGGGTCGTTCCAGGGGCGGTCACCAATCTTGTCGTACTTGTTGAGCTGGGTGCGGCGAGTGCGTTTGAAGATGTGAATGGTAAGATGATCCAAGTGTCGGGCGGAGTTGACGTAGTTGAGGCCTTCGCCGAAGCGGTAGATGAAAACACCAGGGTACGGAGACTTAATTTCGATTTCGGGGTTGGAAAGATCGCTTCGGTCAAGGGCGATGAACGCCGTGTGGGAGTCCTCGCCGAAACCATTCGCGCTGAGGGAAGTGTTGCCTCGGACCATTCCTCGTGGAATGGCTCGGGTGTGTACTGCGCCAAGGAACCTGCCCGGGCTCTTCGCAACGCGGAAGAGGAGAAGAGCGGCCGATGCCGCGATAGTGACGTAGATGCCGTTCTCGATCGACGTGAAGATGGAGACGAAGACACCGGCAAAGAAAATGACAAACTCGAGTGGGGAGGCCTGCCAGTACTGGTAGACCTCACGCGGAGGCGTGATGAGGTCGCCGACGGCGTGGATGATGATGGCTGAGAGACCGCTTGAGGGAATGTAAAAGAAAACAGAAGTCAGTGCGTACAGGGCCAGAAGGACAATGACAGCAGTGAAAATGCCGGCAAGGGGGGTCCTGACCCCGGCCTTTGCCTTGATGGCTGTTCGAGAGAATGAACCGGTGGCCGGGTATCCGCCGAGGAAGGGCCCAAAAACGTTGGTGAAGCCGATGGCGACCAGTTCTTGAGACGGGTTGATAATGTAATTGTTGACCCGGCCAAACGACTTGGAGATGGCGATGTGCTCAATCAGAAGAACCAAGATAGTAGTGGGAATGTCGGGTCCTAGGGCCTGCAGGATCTCGGTGTTGATGACTGGAGCGCCGACATGTTGGAAGCCTGGGTGATTGTCAGCATATATGGAGGGTCAAGGCCCATTTGTGTGTTGCTTACCGCTTGGTACAGTGCCGAGGATTTTGAACTTTGCCTCTGATGCCTTGGTAACGTTCCGATTGACCAGCCAGCTCACGAGGATGTAGATAATGACAATGAAAGCCATGCGGAGGGTCGAGATGAAAAACCACGTCTTGGCTCGGCTGGGATACTTCCTTCCCATGAAGTTGCAGAACCAGCGGATGAAGTAGAGGCCGAACAGGGCGGTTAACCCCATGGCGGCATCCAATTTGGTTCTTGGCAGGCCTTTGAGGGTGTTGATGATGACTTGGTACGTCGCCTCGCGTGTGTTGACACCGGAGATGCCCATAAGGCCGGGGACTTGGCCGGCGGCAATGCTGATGGCAGAACCCGTCATAAAAGCACCAATAGCCACCAAGGGGATGAACTCGACAATGAAACCAGCCCTAATGAGACCCAAGAACAAGAGGACCACCCCGGAGATGAGTGCGAGGCTTCGAGCAATGGTTTCGGCGCTCAGGTCAGGGTTCGTTTTTTGCACGTTGATGACGATGTTGCCGACGATGGTCGACATGACCGCGACCGCCTGCCGTTCGGTTAGCGTCAGACCAAACGGCCTTTTGACGGGATGCGTCATGCGGACGTACCCCGATGGTGATATCTTTGGAGGTGGCGAAGGCCCAGTATAGTAGGAAGCCAACGAAGGACGTGTAGAGACCATACTCGGCGGGGAGGTTGGCGAGGAGGGCATAGGCCATGCCCTGGGGCACCACCACAAAGCCAACCGTGACACCTGCTGTGGTTAGAATTCCACTTCGCTAGCGTACCAGCCGTCCGCCCGTCACTCACCAGCAATGATGTCGCCTAGAAGCCATATCAGATTGTAATGGAAGATCCACCCCAGAAATGGGAATAGCTCCCTCAGGTAGCTTGTGATGCCGGGAATGGTGGGAATGAGGTGGGACAAGGCCTCTCGGACAGAGGGTTCTTCCTCGATGTACGATCCATCGTCATAGAAAGCGGAGTCGTCCAAAGTCTGGTCAGGGGGGATTCCAAAGAACCTCTTGACGCGTTCGGCGTGCTGACTCGGAGCCATGGTAATCGCCGGTATGGATGTGGGTCGCCTTGAGGTGGAGGATCCGGGAGGAGCAACGGCCGAGAAAGGAAGCCCAGAGGCGACTTTTATATGGCCAGAAGAACACGCTCGACATTCCCCATCGGGTTGCTCCCAAACGTGGTGTCCCGAGGCACTGGCTCAGCTCCGCTCGTTGGTGTGAGCTTCCACTGCAGACAGGGGAAGGTTGAGCGGGAGGCAGGGGTGGGGAATTAGGTTCAGGATCTAGAGGGTGATTGACGACAGCGCGTGCCGTGGGATGGAAGACGACAATCGCTGATCTTGCCAGCCAGGCGGGCGGTGATGACACATGGGAATGTGGACACCCTCGCCTGCCAGCACTGTCCACGCGAGAAGCTGCACGCAAGTGGCGAAGACCGGGCCTGGGCTAAGCTGGGATATGGGGTATGTTTTCGTGGGCAATTCAAACTGAGATCCTCTGCAACATGGATCCCTCGCTGACCCTGGGTTGCGCTGTGTAACATTTGGCAGTCCCAGAATGGTTCGACTGTCGAAAATCTGCCAGACAATGTATGTAGAGAACAAACGGGCCGTGGGGGCTCTTCCGGAGCGGGTACTTTGCTTCGGGCCTTCGGTCAATGAGGGCGTGAGGGGCGCTGTTGGAACTCGGAAAGGGTCCCGGACGAAGAACTGCAGAGCTATCCGCCTTTCTTCACCCCTAGGACATAAAGAATGGAGACCCCCGCTGATATCGCAAGATGTAATGTGACGCAAGTTGCCCATTATTGTTGCGTACTCTGGGGCTCTAGTTCGCCAAACAGGAGCTTGAAGCTTTGAAGTCGCGTGTCAGGCTGTCGCTCTCGTCGAGATAGACCGCTCGACGCCGAGATATCAGACCTCAGTTGAGGCTCAAGATCTCTGGGCGACGCAAGTTCCCGTCTCCCACGAGAAACAAGAAGCACCCCAGAAAGCTTGGAAAGCTTGTTCGCCGTGAGGCGCACTGCTGGGCTTGCTGGGCATTCTGGGCATTCTGGGCGGCTGGAGACGCGTGAGACAGCATCATCAGACAGCAGTGACCGTTTAGCGGCTGCATCACGGCATGTGGTGGCGCAAACGACACGCTTGCCAGAGTCGGGTGTTTTGAGGTTGTCCGGCTCAGCTTGTCTTTGGGGGCAGTGGGCGAGAACAAGGATTGGTTCCTTCCCGTCGTCTTTCCGTTTCCGGATCCTTGGCGCTTGAAGTTCCCCCCGCTTTTGCTTGTGGTCGAGCGGTGATTGGCTGTGCCGTGTAAGCCAGCTCAATCACACCATTTTGGGTGCTTCTCAGCCAATTCCAGAGTCCTTTGGCATGCTCACCAGCTCAGTACCTGTTTCGTTGCTTGGTTCTCAGCACAGCTTTGTGCGGTGGCTTCTCCAGGGCCAGTTCCCAAGCTCATCCTTATTTCTCAACCCCGCCAGCCGGCCTAGCTCGTTTAGTTATTCCATCTCGGATTCGGTTAGACGCGTGGGGGCAAGCCGCAGGATGCTGGCGGCCCAAAACCGACAAAAAGGGAGCTGCCGCCCCCCTTTGCGCATGACGACATCTCAGGGATCGTTTTGCGCAATACTTGACGTCCAACCACTGCCAGCCCCCGCTGAGCACGCGACTTGCCCTGCTTGTGCGCAATAAACTTCCCTGTCCAAATCTTTTGAGCACGGCAACCTGGATTCTGCGGAAAATTGAAATACCCGTTACAGGACGGTCTTTGGCTCGGGCAGTTCCGCGTTTCGTGGAACAGAAGATGAGCTTCTCGATCAGACCCGACAGTTCGATGCGATAGCGAGATTGCGGTAGCCCTGATCTTTGCTTCTTGTATGCGTGTGGGCTCGCTGGGGAGGACTCGTCGGGTTTTGCGAACCGACGATGGCCTGCAGGCCGGGATTAGGGGTGGGCAGCATGGTTCAATGCCGTGGAACAGGTCGCGGAGGTGATACTCGGACTTGGCAGACGAAAGCCAGGTGGAAAGTCATGGCTGACGACATTCCAGTCTCGAGTCTTTGCCTCACGGTCAGGACTTGACGCACGACATGAGATTGATGTGTCGCATCAAGAGCGCACAGCTTTCAGTCGGTTCGGGAGCCCCTGCCGACGCGCCTTTCTGCTTACGTTAGCTGTAACCAACCAGCTGAGTTGACCCGGTGAACGTCAAGTTGGACACCCGTTTCGCGGAACTCGTGGGCAACGAGGAGAAGGGAGCCAAGATTGGCGATTTCAACGGTCAACCTGTTCTCAATGCTCTAGATAATTCACACAGCAACAAATGCAAGTCGCATGGAGCAGTTGTCGATGAAACTGGTTAGGTGAGCTGACACACTTACCTTTGACACTGCTACTGTGCCCGGCCACTGTGAGGCCCTGACTGGCCGTGCTGATAGGTCCCGGGACTGTCCTTTTGCCAGTGGCGCTATCACGCCTTCTCACGCGATGCATGCTCACCATGCTAAGAAGCCCATACCGAACTAAGCTAACCTGTCCAGGAGCACATGTTGCAGACCCTTTACGTCCTGTTTATTACGTGGCGGTCTAATGTCCCCCAACTTGCTCTAAAGAACTGATCACGACGGACAGAGATCGCTTCGTTTTGCTATGTCTCGTTCACTACCTTTGGGTTGGCATCCGCCACGCATATTGGGGGGCAGGCTGGGCGGCCCGGATGGACACGGCCCTAGACGAGAGATGCCGTCCAGGTTGGGCCGTCCAAGCTTGGGCACCGAGGTTGGTCCCGTCGCTTATCATGTCCGGGTACCCAGCCCTCACAGCGATGGTGTGACCGACTACGTTCTTGCCATTGATGCACGAGTTCCAGGGGCCTGGGACTTGACCAACAGAAGCATGCACCTCGGCTCCATCAGAGATTAAGCACAGTGACGCGAAATCTCGGTAGATCCATGCAACGTGTTGCATTTCGACATCCGGACCCCCGGTGACGCCTTTGCGATAAGCAGCGTCAGGATCAAATGCAGTCCTCCGCTGCCGCCCGCCTCGCCTACAGCCTTGATTCTGGGGCTGAGGGCTCGTTTCCCGAAAGGCACCTCGACGATGATGTGGCGCCGTCCTCGGGTATCGGACCCGAGGGCTATAAACCGGCCGTCACAGCAAGCCATATGTTCGAGCCGAGCGTCACACCACTCCCCTCCCACGCGTGGCCAGGCCAAAATCAGCCATTCCTTCCTTACAGCCATCACCATGTAAGCGCTGGTGCCGGTCGCGGTGATCCGTCGGCCATAGGTAACTAACGACCATACCAGATTCCCGCCCACAACCAGCTTGTCGGCACGACTGCCATATCGGGCCCAGAGCAACAAACCATTGCCCCGTTGCGCCCAGAATGGACCTCACTCCGCGAGCAAAATCCCCGAGGCGCTCGCTGGCTAGCGGCGCAGTCCGAGTTCGCCGTCGACGACGACTCCAGTTCAGTCACGAGTCCCGATGGCGGCCCAGATGAATTCTGTCCGCCGCTGCCAACCCAGTCATCGCAAAATCCCAGGCGGCTAAGCACTCACCGCATAGCCAGACCAACAGAAGCACCGGCACCCATACCAAACTTCCAGCCGACCGCGCGATCGGGGAGACCCTATATCCCAGACTTCGACTACAACATGGAGTGGCCCGATCCGTCGGATGCCGGTGGCTTTTTCATCCCACAGCCCAACTACGAAAACGCCGCCGGCAAAGGACCCGAAATAGAAGTCACATATCGTGGCAGCCCCTCCTCGTCGTCTAAGGTCGACTCGAAAAGAATCGCCCACAAGCTGTCGGAGAAGAGTCGGCGCAACAGGCTCACAATCGCGATTCGAGAAATCCAGAAGCTGCTTCCCTCCGAAGTCGGGGGTGAAGACGACGGTGAGGCTCCATCACAGCAAGACGCCGACTACACCGTCCGACCCGGCGTGCCCAGCAGCAAGCTTGACATCGTCGAGATGGCGGTTGGGTTCATCAAGGACCTAAAGGAGAAGAATGCGGTGATGAAAAGGAGGTTAAGAGAGCTGGAGAAGGAGATGGAGAGGTGTCAGTGCCGACATGGCCCACAGGACGCTGTCATGGCTGAGTCAGAATCAATGTCGAAACCTTCGTCTACGGAAGACACGGCGGGCTGAGAGAAACATTAGACAATGTCCCAACACACGGAAGCATTGAGGACACTGAGGACTTATGGCCAAGACAGCGACTCGAGACTGAATCTTCTGAAAGATTAGACGTCATCCTGCGAACACGAAGCACCGACACAAAATTAGAGTCTAAGCTATCTTCATTGTCCGTTCCGTCTCAGTGCACACCTATCCAACCCGGTTCGTCAATTTCTTCTTTGCAGCCAAGATTTCGAATACGAGTTCTCTTTCTACCTTATTGATACCTCACAACCTCCCCCCGTCACAATCAGAAGCCCTTCTCCATGGTTTCCAGGTGATCTTGCACACTCCGTGTACATGTATGTGCTCGCTACGCCGTAGTAATCATGGCGATACTGCGTTTCGTCCGCTGTCACAATCCAACCCCCCCTCCCCCAAAACTCACCCCCACCTATCATGCCCAGAACGGGGAATCCCCGCATCCCGATGGTCCCCACGCGCCAGTGCGCCACAGCTCGGCTCTCGCGCGCGGCACATCCGACTCGTTCATAAGTTCTGCTTAGCTTGATTTGGTGTGACGTATTGAGGAAACCGGCCAAATCAGTGTTTTCGTGGTAACTATTTGGGTTTTTGGAAGCCGGTGCGGTGAAGAGTGATGGGCGATTAATAATGGAAGCCATCCGTGCGGAGAACTGCTGCTGTTTGTTGTACGACATTTGCAGGCCGTGGTACCAAGCACAGGTGTTTGGTGCCAGTGATCTGTTAGTCCGCTGTATGATTGCTGGGAGGAGTCAAGTTGAAGTCTCCCTTCCACCCATTTGCGTACTTTTCCAGCGGATCGTGGGATGTACTTCTCGGCGTATTCGGGGTTGAAGAAATGAAGGAGGATCCTCAACGATGGTGAACGGAAGGTCGTTGTTAACGATCCAGTTGACGAGATGCTTCTTGATCAACTTCCCTGTCGAGTCCACTGTCAAAACTGTCGTCGAGTCCATTGTCGAGTCCGCTGCTAAATCCACTGTCGAATCCGGTCTTGCTTCCGCGGGTGCTGAATCCGCTGTGGGCTTCAGAACCTGGGTGGCTGCTGCGGCTTGTTGCATTCCAAGACCGACGACTTGTGCCTCTTCGCTGGCGGCTCCTTTGCACTATCGTGGCGATTATGTTTCATCGAGAGATGGGTAGCGGCACTGATGGTAGAAGCAGCTTTGAAGGGCTGGCTACAGTACTTGCAGCACCAGACGGCATCGCCTACCTTTCCATCACGATCCAATTCCACCAGGTAATCACCGTGGCCCGATATCCACAACCTCCGGGATGTCTCCTTGGCAACCCAGTCTTCTGGAATATATTGCTTGGTTCCCAGTTCGACCATCGGCCAGTTGAAGAGAGGTTTTTGAAGCACTTGCTCAGAATCGACGTCCTTCCAGGCTTCAGATTGCTTAGTCATGGTCAGACGACCCTGGCGACGCATTTCAGTGGCCAGGGGCCGCATGGGCTGGCCCAAAGAGATCTCAGGATCTGCAGTCATCTCTTGGGCTTGTTGGTTCAGAATACTCGTCGGTTGACTCGGTCGAAAGTGGTATTGCGATCCGTGTTCGTGAGTTGCTCCGTTTGCACCCACTGCGCCAAGATGGGTTTGGAAAGAAATTGCTGAGAGGCTCTTAATTAAAGTTAAGTGGCCGGTCGGATCGGCGATTTTGGAGCGTCGAGAAGTATGGTCTTGGCAAATATGTCAAGTCAAATTGTTGCGGTGACTTGTTTGAGTTCAGACGGTGTGTCTATGGAGTGTTTGGTTGGAGCTTCGAGTCGGAACCGCGTCGGCGGCTGATATCAGAGATCCTGCATTGACACGTCCCGGTCCTTTGCCGGTGGTGATAAGTTACTTCCCACGCGTTTAGCTGCGGCAGCATGCTGTAAGTCAACGGTCATTACGATTTACAAAATCCCTTGTTGACCTTCCTGAACCTGACTTGCTCCTCGCGGTCCGACATGGTCGATAAACGGAGTCCGGATCTAAATCCTGCGGAGCTCGTCGATGAGCCGCTTGGCGTCGCCCGGATTAAACTCAGCTTCCACGAAGTTCTCGAGGAGCACGGTCGGAACAGCTTGGCGGAGTCGCATCGTGAGAAGGTGCCATCTCTTGTCATCTCTTTCGCCCCACGTTCTCGGCCTTTCCCCAACCAAGTCCTTTCAAATTTCAAACTCGCCTCGGCATAAACAGTCTCTTTGGCGTCAGCCAACGCGAGCTCCTTACCTCCCTCATGGCCGCAGTCCCAGCAGTCTCCATATCGGTCAAGACGGACCGCTGCTCATCCTCGGCTTTCCTCTCGATCTCAAAGATTTTCCAGCTCCGCAAGCACCACAGGAATACCGACCCAACAAGGAACATGGAGCCGACAAAAATCTGCGACGGCAAGAACTGGTGCATCCCCTCGCCCTTGGCAAGCTGCAACGCAATCGCCTCGCCAAACGTGGTTGGCAGCACCAGTGCAAAACAGATGGCGCCGTACGTACTTCCCGCCTCGGCGATGCCGACGACTTCAGCGAGGATGGGGTTGACCGTGCTCCAGAATGTGCCCGACACCACCCCGGCCGTCGCCGCGAACACCAACAACCCTACATAGCTCCTTGCCGGGATCCAGACCGTCAGACACAAGACGCCGCACAGCAACGTCATGCACAACGCCATGTTGATTCGCCCGACCCGGTCGCTGTAGTAGCCCACCACGGGCCGCCCGAACCCCAGACCCAAGCTGAGCAAGGCCTGCACGAGGGCGCCCTGCGACGGATTGAGCCCGATCGACGTCGCGTAGCTGGGCAAGCTGTACCACAGCGCGACATAGCCGAACTCGGTCACAAAACCCCAGCAGAGGATCAGGAAGACCTGGATGCGGAGAAAGTCGCGCGGGCTGAACGAGTAGCGATTGGCTCGGCCGGCCGTCGAGGAGGACACCGACGGCGGACGCTCGCGGAGGAGCAGGGCACACACGGCGTTCGCGGCCAGCGAAGTAAAGCTCAGGATGCGCCAGGTCCAGGCGATGCCGGACACCTCGATCAGGCGGCCCGCGATGAGACTGTACGCGAGCCCTCCCAGGCCGGCTCCCGAGGTGGCAAAGCCGACGGCCAAGCTGCGATGGGAGGAGAACCAGGGGGAGAGGAGGTTCATGGCCTAATGACAACGATCAGCGAAATTTGAGTCAATCGTTGGAGCCTTCCGAGTAACAAGCGCTCACCGGAATGTAAATCAGCCCCATTCCCCAGCCGAAGCAGAAGGCAAACGACAGAAAGAGATGCCAGATTCGCGACGCAACCGATGCCGAGAACAGACCGGCGAACACCACCACTGCCCCGAGCAACATGGTAAGCCGCGTACCGATGCGCTTCTGCAGAAGGGCGGTCAAGGGCGAGATCAGCAGGGCCTGGGAGATGGACAGCCCCCCGATCATGGCATACTCAAACTTGGTGGCGTCCCTGAACGATTCCCACGTCATGTACCGGTCGAGGAAGACGCCATATGCCGAGTTCACGCCCCAGGTGTTGGCGTTGATCATGAAGACGCAAAAGGTGCACACCCAGCCGTAGCCGCCGTCGGGAGGGACATCTTCGAGGTTTGCGACGTTGGAGAGGGATGCGGCCTCCCTGGATTCTCGGCGAAACGGGCTTCCGCTGGGGGAGTTGAACGTGTTGGGGCCCTCGTTCGGGGCATCCTCTGACACTGCAACGGGGCCGTCAGAGTGGGTGTGACGGTGGGGCGGCATGCTGGAGAGGGCGATGTCCGCAGAGTTACGTGAGTGTCGAGCAATGGTTGCCATCTTTGAGTCGCTGACAATGGGTATGTGCGAACATTGGGTCTACTGATGTTTACCACTCACGGAGTGCCAAAGATACAGGGCAATTATTTGACTTGTACTAATACCCTGGAAAGCAGCGGCATGTGCATGTGGGGTAGGGAGAAAATGCCCCGAGAGCGGACGCAGGATGACTCCATCGAAGACATCCGAAGGGCGCGGCAGTTGATTCCGGGCCGAAGAACCATCCTTGATGCGACACGGACTTTGTTATAAGGGAAGCACGCCATGAAACATATCGCCATGCACAGATCTCGTATACCAGCGTCATATCCAAGGCATAGCCACAACTCAAGTCAGTTCTACACTGCGTTTGTATAGCTACATAGGTAGGTACCTTACTATTTTCTGCGTAGGGGCTCTGGATAGGGAAATTTTCACAATATTTTGTAACTTAGAGCCTTTTCTTGCCGCATGCTGACCCCGACAACGGACCTCAAAACGGACCTAGGTGGTGAAAGTCGCGACCCAACGCCTATACTCTTTCGAGGTACACACTACTATGCCGCATGCACAGCCAAAACAGTTGTGCTCTGGGCGCTCGCAGTCGCACTCCGGGTCAGGCTATTCCTCGGCCTCGGGCTTGGGTTCCGGGTCGGGGCTTGGCTCCGGTGGGTTGTTCTGCCGGGACAAGAGCGTGCTGTACGAGTAGCCCCATTTGACGTAGGTACTGCCGCCTAGCTCCTAATCGAGCTTCGCCGCACCCGCGACGATGCTGAAGTAGGTTGGAGACACCCCGGCGACCGCGAAGTGTGGCTCTAGGTGCCCTCGTCCATGCTGGCGATGCCCGGTCTAAACTCGTCGAACGATCCGGCCAGCTGGTCGAGCTGCGAGTCTCGGCCGCCCCATTGGTCAGGTCGCCCGAGATGACGATGAAGGAAGGTAGTGGCACCTCCGCGCGGCAGAGACGTTGCAGCTTTAGCCTCGGGACGCCCATGATTCTCCAGCCGGCGCGAGCTCAGAGTGCTCAGGCCACGGAGGCAGAACTTAGCGAGCATACTGGGTTGTTCTCTGAGTAAAGTTAGGTCTTGACGTATCAGAAGGAGCTTGGGGTTGATGGGCTCGCGACCAGGGACCCTTTGATAGCTTGACCACCGGCCCTTATTTATCTTCTTCTTCGTCGTCAGTCGGCGACGGTCGACCAACCTGCTGACAACTGTCTCTCGCAGTGATTACCATGTGTATTTTCCTATATATGGATAGTAGCGTAGCGTGACTCTACTCTGTAGCCATTCCGGAGTTGAACGGCGCTATTCCCCAGCTCTCAACTGATGTTTTCCAATTTTTCCCCAAGCTTATGGCCATATAGGGTTGCAATTCGCCCAGATCCAAATGGATCCTGGGTAGAATGATCCCCTTCTGAGGTTTCAGCGCAGAACATCCACCCCGCCAAGCCAGTCAGCGTGTCTGGCCCAATTACTCAAATTTCAACGGCATTTGTTCATTTGGCTACGGCCCTCGCGAGCCACGGTAGGTTATCGCTTCATCAGCCGCGATGCTGGGCCGGAAGGCATGTTGTTTTGTGTGGCACGGTAGGCCGGCACGCTGACGGGCTCCGTGAACGACGCCCTAGGCGCCATCATGAAGTTGAGCCAACGAAGAAAACTGCACAAACTTCGATTCGAAGAAGGGGAGCCGTTTGGCCGGAGAATTCTCAAGTAAATTGATAACAATCGGCTGCGCCTTGTCGCTCAGCTTCGGACCAATCTGAGGAATTGGACCATGAATACCTCATGTTCGGGCTTGGCCAGCGATTGCTGATGAGTTGGCCGCTGCCTTGCTGCGCCCCGCGTACACAATTGCTACTGTCAGATGACCGCCAGGGTATCTTATTGCTTGGAATGCTTGGATACAAAGAGTTGGGGTGTATACCCAGCTCTCTCCAGTTCTCGTGCCTGTGCCGAGTTTGGTCCTAGGAGGCATCCGAGGGGTGATGCGCTTCCGCGGTCATTTGTAACCAGTCTAACAGCTCTTGATTAGATCAGGTACTTGGCCAGGAATTCCACCTGTACTTTGACAGTCTCGTCAAACCTCTCATCCACGTTGAGCACATCCATATGGCCCTTCTCTGGCACAACATACAACTCTTTCGGCCCAGTGAGATGGTCGTAGATGACGCCGTATTTCCGCTTCACATACGGAAGCTCTTCGTTCTCGGCCGTCACTAGGAGCACCGGTGTCGGCGCCACACACTGTACCAAGTTCTCGAACGGCCCAGGAAATCATGTTGTAGAATGCCCGAACGGGGATCTGGTTGCTAAAGCCCGGAATCCGTTCCAAGGTGCTGACAACGTCGTCCACGGTCATGGCGTTGGTGCACCTGAACAGACGATAGTCATAGACCGTGTCGTCCTCGTCGCCCAGCCCACAAGGGCCATACAGAGCGGCGGGTTGCCTCTTGCACGGGATTCGATGTCGCGCATCGCGAGGGCGAGGAAGTGGTTTCGCTTCGCCTGGTTGTCCAAGTCGAACGGCACGGCCGGGCAGATGGCGGCAACGGCTTTGATGCGCCTGTCCAACGCTGCGGCGGCCAGGGCGCATGCCCCGGAAATGAATAACCCCAAGCGCGATGCGCCGGGCATCGACCGCTGGGAAGCGCTTCAGAAAGAACACGGCTTCGTGGAGATCTTCTGTCTGCTTGGCTGCGTTCGCCTCGCCCCTTGGTGTGTCGTCGCTGGCGCCAACGCCTCGGTTGTCGTAGAGCAGCACTGTGATGCCGGCTTTTTGGAATGCCCTGGCGGCTTCCAAGTACAGACCGTGCACAGGCATGTTTAGCTCTGAGTTGGTTGCGTGTCAGCAAGACGTTAAGCGTCTGTAAAGAGGTTTGGTAAGGTACTGAACTCCCGGGGTCATGATGATTGCTGGACCTCTTCCTGCCGTTGGGAACAGGAAACCCCGGAGGGTGATACCGTCTGACGAATGAAGCTCGACATTTGTAGCACCGTTGTCACTGCATGGTTCCATATTCAAGGTTGAAGGCATTGCTGTGCCGACCCAGTTTCGGGACACAGGGGACAGCAAGCAAAATCTGAAGGGCGCCGAGGGTGTCGGACTTTGTGTGAAGTCGCGCAGCAGTTTTCTCCAACGCTACGTGTATCGTCGTCGAGAATACAACTCCGCCGACCTGGTTGAAGGTTTCAGCTTGAAAGGGCAAGACGCTTACCTAAGGTATCTTACATATAGCTGGTGTAGTAGTATGCATGTGCCTCAACCGCGCGGGTTAAGTGGTCGGAATGTTGATGGATCGGAGACTGTCACACTGGACGGTTGGATCTTCCAAGTTGACAGGGAGAATCTCCTAATCTCTGCAGAGCGACCCTGAGATTCATGATATGTACCTCGAAATCCATTTGGAGTCCGAGGTACAGTGTCACATGTAATGAAATCCGAGCTGCTGCCCAGTCCGAAGCAAGGCAGTCAGGTGGCACCGACCCAAATTTCACGTAAACGTCGCTGCTACCATGCAGTGTTCTCCATTGTTGGCAGCAGCATCGCAGGTTCTAGTAGGCCAGTTAGAACATGGATGCATAAAGTACCTGATCCTTCTACCGGACATTAGAGTACCTAAATCGCTCAGGGCAACCCTGTCAGTCGTTTTAGCTTACCATAGGAACCATGGGATAGTCCGAGAAATCCAACGAGTTTTGCGAGTGGCGGCTGCGACATCGCCCAATGCTTGAGCACCAAACACCCATCATCATATAAACCTATGCGGTGCGGTCAACCCGACACCATCAACACTCGCCGTGTCGAAGCAGTCTCTTCAGCTTCGACGGCCATCACGGCCATTCCTCGAAGAAACGAAACCATGACGACTGAAGGCAATGGATTTTCCCATCCCTCCAGTCTTCAAACCGTGGCAAATGGCGACAGCGAAAATGTTGCACCCTCTGGTCCCCCCCAGCAAATGCCGGTTGCGGTAGTGGGCATATCCTGTTGACTCCCCGAACGCTGCAACACGCCGCAGGCATTGTGGGAATTCCTCATGCAGGGCTCAGTGGCCGACAGCCAGCCGCCCAAGACTCGATTCAACCTCTCTGGGCACTACGACGGAACAGGCCGGCCCGGGACCATACCCACGCCCGGCGGCATGTTTCTCGAGGACACCGACCTCGCCAAGTTTGACGCTTCCTTCTTCAACACCAGTTATGCCGATGCGATTGCGATGGATCCGCAACATCGGCTCTTGCTCGAGGCTGTCTACGAGTGCACGAAAACTGCGGCCTTCCGTTGGAGTCCATTCGCGGGGCAAAAATAGGCTGTCTCGTGGGAGCCAATACTTGTGGTGAGGATCGTTCCCTATTCCAACCTGTTCTGTTCATGGATGGCTTGTTCAACGATTGTCGCTTCGGCGTATTCCAGAGTATGAGGCCGGCTTTACGAGAGATCCAGAAGATCAAGTCCCTGGGACGAGCATAGGCCTCAGCCGCTCCATCCTCAGCAACAGGATCCGCCACTTCTTGGATATCACGGGGCCCAGGTACGCGAACCCTTCCTCCTGGGCATCGCCACATGCTGTGCAGTTTCAATCGAATGCAAGTTGACAATGCCTCGTAGCATAACCCTAAATACCGCCTGCTCCTCAACACTCATCGCCATCGATATGGCGTGCTCCTACCTGCAATCACACCAAGCCGATGGCATGTTCGTGGCCGGCTTGCTGCTCTTCATGGATCCCGGCGCCATTCTGGATTCTGGTCCGATGGGAGGCGCCTTCTCGACCACGGGAAGATGCCACACGGTTGACGCAAAGGCGGACGGATACGTGAGAGGCGAGGCTATCAATGTCGTCTTCCTCAAGCGGCTCAGCGATGCCATCCGGGATGGTGACCCAATCCGGGCTGTCATCCGAGGCACAGCGACCAACAGCGAGGGACGCACCCCGGGTTTGACATACCCAAGCTCGAAGGCACACGCGCATGCGATGCAGGCTGCCTATCAGAGAGCGGGTATCGCCAACCTGAACGAGACAGGTTACCTGGAATGCCACGGCACCGGCACGCTGGCAGGCGATCCCATCGAAGTAGCGGGCATTGCCTCGGTATTGCTCCGACGCGTTCAGCCGCCGACGAGCCGCTCATTATCGGATCCATCAAGAGCAATGTCGGCCATTCGGAGCCGGCGGCCGGCCTCTCCGGCTTGATCAAGGCCGTGCTTGCCATTGAGCGCGGCATTATTCCCGGCAACCCGACGTTCATCACGCCCAATCCGCGTATCTATTTTCAAGGCAGCCGTGTCCGCATTGTTGGAACCCGCATTCGGTGGCCGACATCGTACGCTACTAGGAGAGCGCGCATCAACTCGTTTGGATCCGGAGGTGCCAACGCACACGCCGTGCTGGAGCAACTGGACTCGTGTCTTCCCGAGTCTGTTGCGGGCACCTATCGCAAGAGATTTGTCTCGTCGTGGACGGCGAATCAGCATGCATCCGGCCTACTCAGAAAGAACGACGACGCCGAGTCGCGGGAAGACGGCCGCCCGTACCTGCTGGTGTCCCGGCGAACGACAAGTCGTCCCTGAAAACGTCGAGGCCCTGTCGGCGCACCTCGTCAACCCTGCTGTGAGCTGTAAGCTGCGCGATGTCGCTTACACGCTCTCCGAGAAGCGCACCGGGCACCTTCATCGAGCTCATTTTGTCGCTCCCTCGCTCGAGCATGTCGCTAATATCACGCCTGGCTTGGTGAGCACTGGCAAACAGCGGGCTCAACCCTCAAGGATCGGCTTCGTCTTCACTGGTCAGGGGGCGCAATGGAGCCTGATGGGGAAGAGCCTGGTCGAAACCTTTCCCGCTGCGGAGGAGTGTGTCCGGCAGCTGGACCGAGTCCTCCGGGACGAGGTAGACCCTCCGCCGTCGTGGTCGCTGTTGGAACCTCTGACGGAAGACATGGACGCCCAACGGCTGCGGCTCCCCGAGCTGGCTCAGCCGCTCACCACCGCGCTGCAGCTTGCCATGTTAGCAGTGTTGCGTGATTGGGGAATTCAGCCGCGCAGGGTCGTTGGCCACTCGTCGGGGGAGATTGCCGCTGCCGCGGCAGCTGGCAGACTCACGCCGTCTGAGGCCATCAAGCTGGCGTACTTCCGGAGCCTGGCCTCCCAACGTGAATGCACTCGGCGCACAAGCGTGGATGCGGAACGGCTCGGAATGCTCGCTGTCGGTGCTTCCGCCGAAGACGTGGCGCCGTATCTCGACCGCGAGCCGTCGGTCCAGATCGCCTGCTACAACAGCCCTGGAAGTGCGACGCTGTCCGGCCCGCAGACCGCACTCCAGCGGGTTCAAGACGCCGTCAAAAGCGGCGGCCGCTGTGTCAGGGCACTCCAGGTCGACTCGGCTTACCACCATTCCGAGTACATGGCGCCCGTCGCGGTCGAGTATGAACGGCTGATGCGGGAGCAGTGTCAGCTTACCGCAACGGACGCGGTGGTCCACGTGTCTGTATTCTCGTCGGTAAGCGGCGGGGAGATGACGGACACGGCGGACCTGTTCGAGCATGGCTACTGGCGGACGAACATGGTGAGCCCAGTGCGCTTCTCCGATGCTCTTTCCGCCATGGTTTCTGGGAAGCATGGCTCCGAGCTCCTGATTGAGATCGGACCCTCCAACGCCCTCGCCGGACCTGTGACGCAGACACTCGAGACTGTGAAAGGCGCCGACACGAAGGTTCAGTACGTCTCGGCAGCAAAAAGGGGACCCGAGGCGGTCCACGCGCTGCTGGGCGTTGCCGGTGTCCTGTGGGCTTGTGGGAGTCCGGCCGATTTGAGCAAGGCCAATGGGTATCCGGATTCCCAAGACGCAGAGTTCGACAAGCCGTCCCTCATCATCGACCTGCCAAACTACCAGTGAAACCACTCGGTCGCCTACTGGCATGAATCTCTGAGCAACAGATACTGGCGATTCCGACGGTTTCCCACGCACGACTTGCTCGGCTCCAAAGTGCTCGGCGTCCCCTAGACGTCCCCAGTGTGGAGCCAGGTCCTCAAGCTGGACACACTGCCCTGGCTCCGTGAGTACGACGTGAGAGGCCAGGTCATCTTCCCCGGCGCTGGATACATCGCCCTTGCTATCGAGGCCATTTATCAGTACAGCGTCATGAACGACGAGATTGCTGAGGGTGATGCAGATTCCATTACCGCCTCCAAAACGTCAAGTTTCTCAGGGGGTTGGTACTTGGAAATGCCATGTCCTCCGGGGATACAAGCATTGTGCTTGGTCTAAACCGCGCATACAACTCCCCTAGTCAGTGGCACGAGTTCCGCATCCTGGAGCGGCGGCGTGATGCCGACGTCTGGTCCACCCACTGTGTTGGGCTGATCCGGATTGAACAGCATACGCAGTCCACATCAATGTCACCGTCGCCGCGGGGAGCCTTTGGACCTCTGGAGTACGCCGTGCCGGGCAGCCACGCATACCGGGACGCCAGTCTGATTGGATACAACTACGGGCCCAGCTTCCAATGAGTGGTCGACTTCCAGTGGCTATGGGGCGACCGACGGACCTGCGCTGTGCTGTCCATGGACCCCGCCGCCTCAACCTACGGGCAGTCGTCGTACCCGATCCACCTCCTGTACTTCGACAGCTTCCTGCAACTCTGCGGCTTTCCCGTCCGCCAGGTCCAGGGCAGTCGCCATGACGGCCTCGTCATCGTCCCCGCCAGCATCGACAGCCTCTTCGTTTCCGCGTCTCGCGCTCCCAGGGGACACTGCGCGGTCTCGACGCAGGCGTATCACATTGGCGTCGGTTCCGAGCGCGATGCCCGTTACAACAAAATGCCCGGGGGGATCTATGACCCTGCTAAATGCTCCACCGTCCTGGTGGCCGAAGGGGTGAGCTATGAGACGCTGGAGGCTGTGGGCGATCGCTCGACCTAGCACATGTATGCGACATTTGTGTGGGACGTTGACCTGTCGCTTTCGGACGCGACGGGTCTGGCCGCGACGTTACAGCAGCAGCAGCTGGACTCGGTTCAGCGTATTCTCGACCTGTTCCTCCACAGGCAACCGAGCCTTCACATCCTCGAGGTGAACACCAACCCCTCCGACACGTCTTGCTTGTGGTTGGACGGCACCAGCCCGTCGTCTCCTGCAAAAAGACTCGTTCAGTCAACTTACTGCTGCGTCTCGAGCGATGCGAGAACCCTTTGACAATGCGGGACCGCCACACCGGCCTGCCACGCGTCATTTTTCAGCTGGCGGACCCCGCCGTCGAGCGCTTCGGCAAGAAGACCGCTGGCACCGCGGACCTAGTCCTCTTGAAGACCACGTCAACATCAGGCGAAATGACAGAACTGCGGTGGCATCGGATGTTGGAGGCCGCGGTTCTTGCACTCAAGAAGCCGGGGCAGATCGTTGTCCCGCACCGACGCCTCCTCTGATACCGCGGGCGACGAGTGGCAGACGGTGCTGGAACATCTCGGCTTCTCCAACATAAAACTCCTTTCCAGGCAGAGCAGTCGAGTACCGGGCATCGTTTGGGCAGAGATTGCCAGTGCTGTGCCTGCTGTCCAACCGAGCTTGCACGGCCTTGTTTGTCTGAGGCTCTAGAGTCACCAGGATGAGTTTGCACTCTTCCAAGAGAGTCTCAGTCCTGTGGTGGCCGTGCAACTTCTACAACCGACATTGAGCCGGGCAGCAATGCTTTGGTGGTGGACGAGCTTTGGGACGCTTCTCCTGTCAATTCAGTAGTCACCTCACCAGTGGGACATGCTGCAGGAGCTGATTCAAAAGGAGTGCAACATCCTCTGGGTCACGAGCGGCTCCCAATTGGAGGTTTCGAGGCCTCACCGAGCCACCTCCCACGGGTTGCTGCGCGTCATCAGGAACGAAGAACCTCATCTACGGATCGTCACGCTCGACGTCGAGGAACACGAGAACGGTGACTACGCGGCAGCCGTGGGTGATGTCGAGGCCTGTCTCAACCATCTGGCTTCCCCAGCAGAAGAGTATCGGAACGAGTGCGAGTTTGTCGAGAGGGCCGGGCTAGTCTACACGTCACGAGTGTTAAAAGACGACCAGCACGACGAGGTCAAGTCTGAACATGTCAACGGCCGGCCGCCTCGTCGACTTGACTTCCACGCCGGTGTCTACGATCAGGGTGGTCACCGTGGTCCTGCACCATGCTTTGGGTACGGGCCGAACGCCGCGGTGTCATCGACTTCTTGCACTGCAAAGAGAAGCCCAACGCCGGGCTCCCGCCACCACCCAACGAATTCATCGAGGTGGACGTGTGCGCTGCGGGAGTGAACTTCAAGGACGTCGCCGTAGCGATGGGGTGGGCCGCCGGAAACCAGCATAAGCTTGGGTTGGAAGGAGCCAACATCGTCAGCCGCGTCGGCGCCGGCGTCCCGTCGTCCGCTTTCAAGCCCGGCCAGCGCGTTGTCTTCCTGCAGAAAGGGAGTTTCGCCAACAGGGTCCACGTTCCCATGCAGGCCGTCTACGCCATTCCCGACGCCATGTCTCTTGACGTCGCCGCGTCACTGCCGGTCGCGTATCTTACCAGCCTGTATGCCTTGTTCGACCTGGGAAATTTGAAACGAGGTCAACGTGTTCTAATTCATTCTGCGGCTGGTGCCGTTGGAAACGCGGCGATGCAGATTTGCCGGTATATGGGTGCCGAGGTAAGTACAGCCCATCCAAGTGGGTGTCTGGCATGTCGTCTTGCTCACGCCTTATTTACACAGATATACGCTACCGTGGGGAATGACGAGAAACGTGTCTTTCTGCAGGACGCATTTGGAATCCCTTCCCATCGCATCTTTTCGTCGCGGACTGCCGAGTTTGAGCGCAAGATCATGGAGGCCACGGACGGGCACGGCGTAGACCTTGTGCTGAACTCACTGTCCGGAGATCTCCTCGAGGCATCGTGGAACACCGTAGCCTTTGGTGGTACGCTGGTCAAGATCGGCAAACGGGATATCAGTGACCAGAATCGGCTGCCCATGGGGCCGTTCAACCGCGGAGCTTCCTTCCACGCTCTCGACTTGTCGCTGTTTACGAGATGGGGTGAAGTGGTAGCCCGGTATGTCTTTGAACTGAACCGTTTTGCGCGGCTGGTCAAGCTTGCCAGACTAACTCGGTTTCCCAAAATCCAGTTTATTCTCCCGTTTATTCAAGCTTCTTGATGAGGGGAAGATCAAGCCTATTTTCCCTCTGCAAAGACTTGGTTTTGATCAAGTTCAGGACGCACTGATTCGCCTGTGCTTAGGACAACATATCGGCAAGTTGGTTCTTTCGTCGGGCTCGGATCAACCCTGCGGGAAGCCTCACTACGTTCAGGTAAGGGGTGAACATATCAGCACGCCCTGGTTTGCCTTTAGCACGCAGCGAGAGAGCACCTAGAGCGTATGATTCTTGTCCATACGCTAATCACGCCATCCAGGTTCGGCCCGCTCCGAGGACAGCGACATATCGCGACGATGTGTGCTACCTGGTCGTCAGTGGACTCCGGGGCCTGTGCGCTAGCCTGGCCGTGGACCTTGCGAAGCGTGGCGTCAAGCACATCGCGACCATGTCGCGGAGTGGTTATGACGATCTGAGGTCACAGATCGACATCCGACATATCCGCAACCTGGGGAGCCAGATCGACCTGTTGGGGGGGATGTTACAGCTCTGGAAGACGTGCGGAGGGCATTCTCAGAGACTACCGTTCCTGTCGTCGGGATTATTCAGGGCGCTATGGTACCCTTGGTAAGTAGTTTGGTCTTTTTCCTCTTTTTCTCTCCCCGGCCGTCCGAGTCCCCAGTCTCCCCACTCACACAATAATTACCCGATTAGGACCGACCCTTCTCGTCCATGACCAGTCGACGAGTACCATGCCGTTTTGGGTTGCAAGGTGCAGGGAACCTGGCACGTCCACACAGTCGTTCTCGAGCGTGGCCTTCGCCAGGATTCCTTCACCTCCCTGTCCAGTATCGCCAGCGTGCTGGGCGGCCGCGCGCAGGCCAACACGTTGCTGCCAACGCCTTCCTCGACTCCTTCCCCGCCTATCGATACCGGCTCGGCCTGCCCGCCCACACCAGCAACCTCGGGGTCGTCGAGGACGTTGGCTTCATGGTCGATCGCGATGATGTCTTTGAGCGGTACAAGGATAGCGTCATGACCTTCATCAACGAGGACATGCTCTGCAAAATGGTTCAGTTCTCTATTCTCCAGCAGAATCCCCAACCCGTCAGCTCGACTAGTCTTGAGCACATGGTTACGGGCCTCGAGATTCCGCAGGCAAGCCACTCGGGTCTGCGGGCCGACCCGCGCTTTGCACGCGTTTTCGTTGCGGATGGGGCCGGCGAGGGGAAGACGGGAAGACGGGAGGTAGCGGCGCAGGGAAGAACGACGACGAGTCAAAGGACGTCCGGGCACTCAAGCTCTTGCTGAGCTCCTCTGTGCGGGATCCGGGTGCTGTCTTGGACCTCGCCGTCAAGGCTGTTAGCGCGTGGCTGTTCAAGATGCTACGCCTCCGCAAGCCTGTAGAGGCCGAGCAGTTGTGCGTGTATGGTCTCGACTCGCTCGCGGCCGTCGAGTTCAGGAACCGGTTGCGCTCGGAGCTTGGAGCTGTGCTGACAACGCTGGATATTACTACGACCAGGTCGTTAAATCCTGTGCGAGGTTATTTATTATTGCGAAAGCAACCCGCAAGTAATGAAGATCAGTGGTTGGTCAAACTTAGCATCTCCATGTCGGAATGATGATTGTCTTATTAACGGGTTACGTCATTTACACATTGCGTTGCAGTTCCTCAGCTGTGAACAGTGAGACGAAGGCGCCGCCACCCCCCTTTTTAACACTCACTGCCCCAAACGGAGATCACTACTCAAACTGCCTCGTTTGGATGCGCCAGGGTGTATAACGTGGGCTCCCCGGTGCGTATCGTATCAGGAGCTGCTCCATGGTTTTGAGGTGCTCCGAATCCGAGGTCTCTGCGTGAAAAGCGGTAGCGCTGATAATCTGATCATATCATTCCCTAGCACCATTCCAAGAGGCTCGGCTTCGTACAGTACCTAACTCGGGCCGTAGCATCGATCACCACCCGCTGTGATCACCTGCCAAAACAGGCAATCACTAGTTCCATCCCGGCCCGGAGTCGGGACTTGCGTCCCGAATCGCGCGTCAACATACGACTGCTTATGTACAAAACAGCTGGATCGCACATGTTTCCCCAGTTTCCCTCTCCAGTCACACCAACTTCATTTCATATTATCCCATATTTATCCCACCAGTCACCATAAAACCTCGATCACACAATCATGCCTTTCCACATCCGCGACGCCATCACCTCCCCATCAGACACGGACGCCATGTTCATCTCATCCGCCTTCGACTCGTGCATCCCGCACCTCGCCAGCATTGGGAGCGCCACCCAATGGGGCACCACCCCGCTGTCCACCTCCCGTCCCGACTTGGTCACCCGCCACATCACCGCCATTGCCGACGCTGAAAAATACCGTCTCTCCGGTTCCGGTTCGCCCTTGCGCGTCTTGATTGCTGAAGCGCTCTTGCCGCCGAGCGGGAGCGGGGAGGAGGAGTCCAGGGTCCCCGTCGGCGCGGCGACGCTGCGTGCGGGTTATTTTCCTCAGTATGTGTGTGACCAGAAGCACTTGCAGGACATTACCAGCAGAGTGCTGGCTGGGGACGAGGGGCCGTTTATGTTCTTGGAGATTCTCGTCACGGATTTTAGGGAGGCGACGAAAGCGTATCGCAAAGGTGCCGGGGCTGCGCTGGTCGAGTATGCGCGCGAATGGGCGGCGAGGGAACTGGGGATGGGCGTGATGTACGTGGACTGTTGGGCGGGGAATGAAGAGAAATTGGTTAGGTACGTAAATTTTCTACTTTTTTCCTGGAAAGACCTTGGGGGTGGGATAGGGGTGTGTGAGCGGGAAAGAATTTTAGGTGGGTTTAGGTGGGTTGAGATGCTGATTGAGACACAGGTTTTATGAGGCACAAGGTTTCAAGAGAGTGGACAGGTTTGTGGTTGAGAAGCCTAATGGGGAGAAGTGGCCGGGCATGTTTTTGCGAATGGATATTGGGAAGAAGTGCTCGGTGTAAGTGGTTTCTCCCGAGACGTGGGTTTGGGATCCTGTGTTGTATCGCAACTTCCTCTCCGTGTACGGGTATGGTGCCACACCCCTCCTTTCAAGGCCGAATCCAGCCGAGAATGGAGGGAACGTGTAGACTTGAACCCCAACTTCAAGTTCGCACAAGAACAGCTTCTCACGTTTGCTCGTGTACGTTGACGCCCTTCATACCCACCTTATCCTGGTCCTCGCCAGCATAACGCCGCGAGATGGTAACGCAACCTGTGCCCTGGGAAATTCGGGCAGCCGCGAAGCGAGCAGACACTTTGAGCAAAATCCCCCAGGCTTGGAGACTGGCTCCCGCTGACCTGGCCAAGGCCAAGAACCAACGCGACCTCACAGGACCCTTTGTTCAACAGTTTCTCGATGCCGATGAGATATCCATCATTTCGAAAGAAAGCGTCGATATCGTGAACGGCATCAGATCCGGCCAGCGCAGTGCCGTCTCCGTCACGACGGCATTCTGTAAGACAGCGCCAATTGCCCATCAGATAGCAAGTCTATGTTCGCTCCTCCCCCAAACCGCGCTTTGACTGACGTCTCTTCGTATGGCAGAACAATTGCCTCCACGAGATTTTCTTCGACAAAGCGCTGGATCGGGCCAGGGAATTGGATGCTTTCTATGCAGAGACCGGAAGAACCCTCGGTCCTCTGCATGGGCTCCCAGTCAGTTTGAAGGACCAGTTCCACGTAGAAGGGGTCGACACGACGATGGGGTATGTGGGATGGATTGGAAGCAACCTGGGCATCAAACATCCAAGTCAGGCACATCAGGTCGAAAGCCAAATCACAACCGAGCTCCTCTCCCTCGGCGCCGTACTTTTCTGCAAGACCAGCCTGCCGCAGACGCTACTTTTCGGCGAGACCAAGAACAACATCATTGGCCAGACTCTCAACCCGCACAACCAGAACCTGTCCTGCGGTGGCTCATCCGGCGGCGAGGGAGCTCTTCAGGCGCTTCGTGGTAGCACTCTTGGTGTCGGCACCGACATTGGCGGTTCAGTCCGTATTCCCGCCGCCTTCAACGGCCTCTTCGCTCTCAAGCCAACTCCAGAGCGCCTCTCATATCGCGGCGTAGCCAATACTAACCCCGGACAAAACACATACCGGTCGGCCGTTGGCTTTCTTAGCACCTCGCTGGGAAGCTTGGAGCTGGCGTTACAATCTGTGCTGTCCACGCGTCCATGGGAACGAGACCCCGCCGTAGTCCCCATACCTTTTCGCCAGGAAGTTATCAACGAGTATCGCAGTCGTGCCGACAAGGACGGGGTGGTAATCCTCTCCGAAAAGCCCCTGAAACTTGGCGTGCTATGGTACGTACGATGACCAAAGCCCCTGCGTCAACAAGAACAGAGCTGACTCAACTGCTTAGGACTGACGGTGCCCTGAGGCCGCACCCTCCCATTTTGAGGGGCATCCGCGACGTTGTAAATGCTCTGAGACAAGCTGGGCATAAGGTAAGCGTACATTGCTTATGTCTGCCATATCAAAATCCTTTAATTTCCTGATTGCGCCTGCAGGTTGTTGACTGGAACCCTCCACTGCATGCCACTGCCAAGAAAATCCATGTACGTCAAAGGCTAGGCGATCGAGTTCATGTGGAAGAGTCTCCGAGTCCAAGCTGAGAGTAGGGTTGAACAGCTTGCATTTCTCCTTGCCGACGGTGCCCATGACGTCCACAGCCACCTCAGCCGATCCGGCGAACCCCTGATTCCGGACCTGCAAGAAAGCTTCAAACTGCGGCCACCGATACCCCTTCTGGAGTATCAGAGCTTGACAGTCGAGGGTCTTGAGTATGAATTGGCGTACTCTGACTACTGGAACTCAACTGCTGTAGACGGCCATGTCGTGGACGCAGTCATCATGCCGGTGGCGCCGCACGCCGCTGTGGTACCGGGGAAGTACTATCACACAGGTACGAAATGCTTTAACTACCTCCAGCTCACTGTGTTTTAGCGAAGCTAAACAGCTACTTGCGGCAAGCATATACCGAGGTCATCAATCTCTTGAACTACAGCGCAGTAGCGATCCCGGTCACAAAGGCGGACAAGGCCGTCGACCTCGTCGACGATTCCTATCAGCCGTTGAACGATATTGACAAGCTGAACTGGGATGCCTGTATGTTCACCGTCCCTGGTAGCTCTTTTGTTGAGATGGCACGCTCACTAATCGTGGTTTCAGACGATTCGGACGTTTACCACGGCGCGCCGGTTGGCCTGCAACTAGTCGCACGGAAATTCGAAGAGGAGAAGGTACTTGCCATAGCCGGCATTGTCACCTCAGCGCTGGAGACATACCACAGAAAGTGAGTCTTCGTTCACAACAACGGCGAGCAAGAATATTAGTACTCCGTATATGGTTACTAACCATTGATGCTACTCACCGTTAGGTCTGTCCAAATTGCGCAGGAATAACCTGTAACGATGAGTCGATACCGTGGCTGCGGACTGGGCATCAATTATATTCGAGCTCAATTACTCCAGCAGGATGAAGGCCAATGGCCTCCGCCGAAAAAAGACAACCTTGGTTCCGGAACATATTATGATTTGCTCAATCGGGAGCGGCCGGCATGAACGAGGATCATTCGTCGGTTAGATAAGGTATGAAGCGTTGATACCCGCGGCCCGGGGTTAGTCTCAAGTCTCGGAGGGTTGTCCGGTCATGTATGTTACCGACTTTCTCATGGGATCCCTGCCCGCCGCCTGCCGTCAGTGCCATGTCTGCAGAGGCGGTGTCTTGCCCGTCAAGCTGTCACGGTCTTGAACAAAATATGTTAACAAACTTATGCAGGGTGCGCTGATTCGAGCAGTTGCGTTCGGCGCTGGCGGGTGAGGCGGGTGATGGCGCTGTGGATGTTTGGGCTGAAAGGATGGGGTGCAGACGATTGTCGATTCGATTAAGCGGAGGAGGTCAGTGCTTGCCCACAGCCCCATCTATCTACGACAACTTGAATCCTGCTTCCCCGAAACGCCCGGCGGTCAGTCTCCATCCACTTCATCGCAATTAAGCCTTCTGAAAATGTTGATCGGATGGTCTGCGCTCGCATGGGCTTCGGATCTGCAAGATTGAGCGAGACAACGTGTTCCTTTGTTGGTCGAGCAATCCGTTGAGGCTGTGTCTGGCGGCTTCTTGCGTGGCTTTCATCCCATGCCACCACAGTTCTTAAAAGGCAGTTCGCCTGGGACTCTCAGAAGTTTGCCTCTGTCATCTATCTGCCCGAGGTTTTAGCGTTTTCTTTCCCTTCCTTCCTCTGCTTTCCTTCCATTATACCTTCTCTTCCTCATGGACTTAGGTGTCTATACCTCGAATTCTCCACTCGATCTTTGACACACTCAAGCATCTTGAGCTCAATGCGGGAGATCGATCGACTGCCCCGCAGTGACGCGTAACGCTGCCGAAGAACACGACACCACCCCTTGTCTCTGCTTATTCGTTACGGTTTACTCAAGCACTATTTGTTCTTGGGCTCGGGTTTATAGTCCAAGTCCAGTCTGAGATGGGAGCACGTTCGTCGAGTTCATTTATCGCATAACACTGACAGCCAAATCGTCTTCACATTCCCCGGCCGCCATAGCAGCATCAATCGGCATGGACCAGCGCCGCGCCAGGCTCCATCAGCTGGCCGCCGAATGTGGAGTGCACCCCCTGCCGCCGCCCGTGGCTCCGCCGACCCCGGCCCCCGAATGCCGGTCGTCCACCGACGACTTCCATGCCGAAGAATTGTTGAAGAGGCGGCGCATGTCCGCAGCTCCAGACAGGAACTCTCAGGGCAGCCTGAAGCGAGCTTTCAGTTCCCACAAGAAAGCATGGGAACCAAAGGAGATCTTCGACGCGCTCGTGGCGCACGTCGCCAACGCCGGGGCGCCGGGCGTCGCCGATGCCCTCATTGCCAAGCTGCCGGCTGTCGGCGGGAAGCTGAACGTCACCAACATCAAGAGCAAGACCAGCTTGCTCACGAGACGAAAGAGCATTGAATCCATGGAGCGCAGCCACATTTTCCAAAAGGCCATCGAAAACCGCCAACACGACATGGTTGCCGTGCTAGCCCAGCATGCCGACCGTTTTACACTCGACCAAGCATTACCTTTCGCCATGCGGTCCTTTGACCTGACCATGGTGCATCTGTTGCTCAGTCGGGGCGCTAGTGCCTCTCAAACACAGGATGGGCAAGATGCTTTCCGCCAATTGTGCATCATGGGCGGTCACTCGGAAATGGTCGAGCTCATCCTCCAGTCGGAAGGGAGGCCGTCGCCAGACTTGCTCTCCATGGCAATGGTTGATGCCGCTCGAAAGGGATGCCTTCACACTGTTCTGAGACTCAGCCGCTCCTCCGCCGACGGAGAGTACAACAAGGCCGAAGCGCTCAAGGCTGCCATCGTCCAGTGCAGAGTGGATATTGCACTTGCCATCCTTACCGCCACGAAGCCCCCCGCCGTGGGAGGTCAAGGTGTTTTGGAGAGCTTTGGGCAGCTCACCAGACATCCCACCATGGGTCCCAACGAGAAAATAGTTCTCGCCGAGGCATTGCTCTGCGCCGGTGCATCGGGGGATCCCGTCTCAGTCGCCCTCTCCCAGGCGTGTGCCACTGAGTTCTATGACATGGTCAGGCTCCTCATTTCGTATGGAGCATCGATCGAGTTCCAGGACGCTGCCATCGTTCGGCGTGCCGCCTCCGCAGGGCACAGCAAGCTCGTCCAGTTGTTGCTATGCGAGCCGTCGACGCTCAGACCGATATACGCTTCAGATTGTGTTGCGAGCATTCCGAAGGCGATTGCCTCAGAAGACCGTTATGCTATGCTCAACATGTTGCTGAAGAAAGGCGCAGGAGGAACGCCGCTGCACAACGCTTTGATTGATGCTGTTCAGGCCGGCGACCTCAAATCCGTCTCACTCCTCCTGAGGCCTCAATTTCCAGACGTCCTGCCAATCACCAGCCAGAGCCGACGTAGCAGCTCTCCGGGACTTATCCTGGTTAGACATGAGATGGCCTCTGTTGACCATAGGAACGGCCTGGCACTCACTTCCGCGGTCAAAATGGGCTACCTCGACATGGTGAAGCAGCTGCTGGCTGCTAAACCATCCACAGAGACCCTCGATAAGGCATTCACCCTGACTCTGGGTCTCCAGGTGCCCGCCCGTTACCACATGGTCGAGCGCTTCCTCTCCGCGGGCGTGTCTCGGTCTAGCATCTCTGCCGCGTTGCAGCATGCCATCGACGAGCAGCCTCCTGATAGGGACGAAAATTTGATTAGGCTTTTGCTGCGACACAATGCCGACGTCAACTTCAACGACGGTGCTGGTGTTGTTTCCGCCGTCACGATCCGTGATCTACCGCTGCTCGAGACTCTGCTACGGAGCAAACCACCATCTCATACCATGGCTGCTGCAATGGCTAGAGCCATGCTGGTCGTTGATAAGCCAGTGCGGTATGAAATGGTCAGGCTGCTCATCAGTGCTGGGGCAGGACGGCAGGGCACCGAGGTGTCGGAGGCACTTACACAGGTGTTGCCCGTCAAGCCGACAGACACCCAACTCGCCGCACTCTTGCTGGAACAAGGACGGGCTGATGCCAACTTCGAGCAAGGGCTTCCGGTTACGATTGGTAAGCACAGACTTTCACACGCCTTGATATTCATCATCTCTTTCCATCCTCTTTCCATCTTTTCCTTTTTCTCCATTCTTTTCTTTTTCCTTTCTTTTCTATTTCCTTTCTCCTTTCTCCTTTCTGCTCCTCTCTTTTTCTTCTTTTCTTTGAATTGTTCCGCTTTCTTGTATTCTAATTTTTTCCTCATCTGTTTCCCCCCTTTTCTTCCATAACTTCCTCTTCTATAATTCCCTCATTTACACAGTCTTCTCTCTTATTTTCTTTATCCTCTGACTGTTTCCTCCGTCTTTCTTTCTTTATGAGTTTTCACTTCACTAACCCACATTAGCCATCGACGACCCCAATCCAGCATTGCTAGAACTCGTCCTCCAACACGGCCGACCCAACCACGACACCCTCTCCCGCGCCATCGACGCCCTCTGCTCAACCCACACAACCCCATCAAAAGCTTCCAAAGTCGACGCAATCCTCCATCGGAACCCCTCCAAAGAGACGCTCAACGCAATCCTCTTCAAGGAGGTGCAAACGCTCCTCCAGCTCCCTTCGCCACAGCGCAACCTCGACGTCCTCCGCTCGCTGCTCTCCGCCGGTGCAGATATCAACACCCACAAGGCCGCCGCGCTATGCTGCGCTGTCAGAGCTGCCGACGCTCCCATCGTCGACCTTCTCTTCGGCGGCGCCGTAACAGCCCCGTCCCCTGCCTCGCTAGCCGCTGCCCTGCCCCAGTCCCTCAACATCCTGGACCCTATGGACCGCCTGGCATTCACGCAGCGGCTCATTGCCGCCGGAGCGCCGGCGCGGGAAGCGAATCGCGCACTAGCCTACGCCCTCGCTACCCACCCCGGCGATCTGCCGCTGATTGGGCTGCTGGCGGGGCACGCGGACCTGGGGGATGGGGAGGCGCTGATGGTGGCGGTTAAGAATGGGAACGTGGACGCTGTGGAGATGGTGCTGGAGAAGGGCGGCGCGAAGCACACTGCTGCTGTACTGAGGCAGGCGTTTCAAGAGGGGATGACGGTCGCGAGCAAGGAGAAGAGGGTTGGGATTTGCAAGGCGCTGTTGAAGAGAGGCCTTCAGGGGGTGTTTGTCTCGGACGCGTTGCTTGCTGCCGCTAGGGATGGGGATGTGGAGCTGGGTGGGGCGTTGATCGATTATGGCGCCAGTATCGAGCATCAAAATGGGCAGGCTGTTATTGAGGCTTGCGGAGCGGGCTCGCCCGCGGTGCTGAAGATGCTGCTTGGCGGTAAGGGAAAGATTACAAAGGCGACGCTTGTCAAGGGGTTCCAGGCGGCTACCCAGGTTGGGGACTTGACAAGGCGAGCCGAGGTGTTCCGGCTGCTGCTCGAAAAAGGGGCCACGGGCGAGGCTATCGATGCACAGCTTGTGTTTGCGGCGAAGTTTGGCCAGGACGGCGAGCAGCTGGTGCGCTTGCTGCTGGAGTTTGGCGCCAATGCTGACTACAACGCGGGCGAAGCCATTTGGAATGCGACTAGGGGGGCAATGATGGGCAGCCTCAAGTTATTGCTTGGGGTTGAGAGCGTGGGACCTCGGCAGAAAAAGCCGTCCATGACAACCTTGCTTCGGGCACTTAAGGCGAGCCGGAAGCTGAGCAGGGACCCAAGGTACCAAGTCATCGACTGGCTGTTTCAAGCGGGGCTGCCCCCGTGCGAGGAGATCAACATTGCCTTGAACAGGGCGGTCAAGGACGAACCCGACGCTCGACTTGTCCAGCTACTTCTCGGGCACGGGGCTTCGCCACTCGTCAACGGCTGCGAGACCCTGACTGATGCCGCGCAGTTACTCTTGGTGGACATCCTCCCGATTCTACTCCAGGTCGATATCACTCCGAAGGATGTGTCATGGGCATTCCAGCAGGCGTTCACTCCGGACACTGCTGCAACATGGCTATCGGAGAAAGGGTTCGAAGTAGCCAAGATGTTGCTCAGAAAGGGCGCCGAAGGGCAGAGCCTTGCTTTGGCTTTGAGCACGGTCATAGACGCCTACGAATCAGATAATGGCAGCGTAGCCCGCAGGTTTGCTGCTGTCCTTCTTCAGTCCAACGTCGACGTTAACTACGGGGACGGGCTGGTCCTCCAGAAGGCGGCCCAAAAGGCGGATTCGGAACTCATTCAACAGGTGCTCCAGCGGCAACCGAACTCCCACTCTGTGTCGGTGGCTTTTCCATTTATATTCAACGCTAACCTACCGGAGGGTGAACTACTCCAACTCCTTGAACTTTTTCTAGATTACCACCATGAAGGGGAAAGGCTCGATGTCATGTTCGTCCACCCCGAGTCTGACCCGGTACTGGTTCGGGCGATCGACAAGTTTCCTCGTTCCACCAAGATCCTGCAGACGTTGCTCGATGCTGGCTACTATCACGACCAAACCACAACGGCCCGAGTCATGGAAGACGTCGAAGAGGAACAAGTCAACCTGCTGTTGTGGGCGCTGCTCCAGCCTCAGAAGCGAGTTAGTAGCGCAGTGATTGAACTCCTCACCGACCGTGGTGCCAAGGTCAACTTCGAAACAAGTCTCTCCAAGACGACTCCACTCATGCTGGCAATCCAGAACAAGCGGCATGACTTGGTGAAGACGCTTATTCTGGCCGGGGCCGAAGTCGACGTGACGGATGCCACCGGTAACACGCCAATGACTCTGGCCACTCATATTGGGGGAGACCTGAGCACCTCCATCATGTCGAGCATTCTCGCTGCCAACCCCTCGATCAACGATGGCTCCTTGCACAACGCCGCCAGGGACCTCAACTTGAAAGCAATGCAGGTGCTGGTCGAGTACGGTCACGATGTCGACTTTCCCAGCACCCTCCACGGAGGACGGAGCGCCCTCGGCGAGCTTTGCCTGAATGCCGCTCATGCTGGGCCCTTAACTGCCGCTCAGGAAAAGCAGATGGAGAGAGCAATGGCCTTTCTCATCAACAGAGACACGGATATCACTGTTCAATCTGACGGCAAATCCGTCCTCCTCCTGGCGCTGAACTCAATCGACCCGATCCCGACCACCCGCGCCCTCCTCAAAGTCGGCCTCTGGAAACACGTCAACAAACCCTCTAACCACTACACCGACGGCATCCACACTTACTCTGCCACCCAATACGTCGCCCGCGTCCTCTCTTGCTCAGACGACCTTCGCCCTCAGCTTCTTGCTCTTCTCAAAGCCAACCGCGCCGTAGACGTCTACTACGCCAACGACGGCCCGCAGCCCGAAGGCGCCGTCAACCTCCCGCCAGAGCTCCTCCGCGCCGAGCGCGAGCGCCGCGCACGGGAAGAGCGCATCGCCAAGGAAAACGAGGAGCACACCATCGCGCTGGCGCGGACCCAGGAGATTGCACAGATCCACAACCAGATCTTCCTCCGGCGGGCCGAGCTCGAGGACTCGCGCGCCCGCAGGAGGAAGATGGACGAGCTCGACATGCTGCGGGATCGGCAGGCGGCCGAGGAGGCGGCGTTCACGGCGGAGTTGAAGCGCCGCAAAGCTGAGCGTGAGGCAGCTATTGCGCATGAGCAGCGGCTTATGGAGTCGGGGCTGACGCGAGCAAGGCTGGTGGCCGAGGCGGAGTTGGAGCTCGAGGGGAAGAAGCAGGAGATGATGATCCGGTGGGAGGGGAATATGGCGCGGCAGAGGGAGAATGATGCCAAGGCGTTGAGTAATGTCAGGATTAAAGAGAGGGAGGCAATTGAGAAGCTTGATGCGGCTGCTGATGCGAGGACGGTCAAGAGGATTGCTGAACAGAAGAAGTTGGTTGATGGGCAGGCTGCGCTGGCGGCAAGGTTGACGAATGCAGGGGTTGGGGAAAGGAGGCAGATTGGGTACATCACTGGTGAGCTGGATTAGGGGCTGCGTTTGATGGGCGATTAAGTTGACGCCTGACCTTGCCTTCATTGCGACTTCGTTACCTGACTTGATGTTGAGGGCCGGGTAGATAAGGTAAACTTGTCTTGTTCATAAGGTATAGTGCAATGGCTGCTGTACGCGATGGAGTGTAAGTAATGGTATGTCGTTGCGGCTCAGGGGATTTCCCGTTGGTAAGGTACTCGGCACACCAATTCTTGCTCATGGTGAAGGTCATGCTTCAGGCACAACAAGCGATGTCAACACCCATCAGACGGTACAAATGAGCGATGACGACATTGTGCGCAATTGCTACCGAGGTTGCTTCACGCCGATCGCGCCATGCCCATACTGCAAGGCACAGTCCCGCGGTAAATTGGTAGCTCCTTTTTCGTGTAAGTCGCCGAACATGGGCAATTGCCTTATCCCGACCAAGAATCTCAATTTTCCTATATTGTTCTCTTCTCCTCATCGACGTCTGTCTCTAAACTGGCTAGTACGGATCAAGGCTCTACGGGCCGAAACGCCCTTAAACATGGCCTCGAGGCTAGCCTTGTGGATATAGACCTCAACACTATCCCCTCCGACGACGACAGCACGATGACGATTGGTACGTCCCAGACGACTTCCCAATATTTCCTCGGCCACCAACCTTACAATCCAATAGAACGCCATTAGCCGGGCAATTCAGATAGCCAAAGACACAGAAAAGGAAGGTAAAGAAGAGAGAAGAAATAATCGAGAAAAAGGAAAAGAGAAATAGAGTAAAAAGGGAAGGGGGAGGGAGGGGGTTGGTGGGCAGAGGGAAATGAAGAATATAATTAGATTAGTTACCCTGAAGAAGAAAATGGAAGCTACCTAAATGCCTTAATATACCCGTATAACTCTTGATACCAGCAGCCTATAGTATTGTACTAGCTCTGTCCTGAATTCTCAACGACTTCCACGCTAGTAAACAAACCTGAGCTGAATTGTAATGTCAGGAAGGGACATCAACAAGACTAGATCTATGTGCACTCGCCAGAAGCTCAACAAACCCGTATTAGCCAGCCAGGCCATTGGAAGTTGTTAATTAATCATTGAATAGGTATTGACTGACTCTGCTAGGCCCTGAGTCGGAGCCCCTGAAGCAGGCTCGAGCCAGTGTCAAATCAACCCAGCGACACCTCCAGAGGGTTCGAAAGCGTCAGCCAATTCCCACATCAACCTCATGCAGCCGGGACGCCTGAAGTTGTCGGAGCGGAGTACCGAATCACGGTGCCATGATATGGCGTGCCATTGCGGCTTGCGTAAAGAGCACGGAAGGGAGAGGCCGTCAGAGTCTTGTCCAGTCATCACTGGAATTTTGGCTTTCACCGAGAGGTGCAAATTTTAGGTTGGAGTACTATGTAGTAAACGCCGCCGAGTTGGTCAATAGAGACGGGGGTGGGGGAGTTCGACGCTTACGGAATCTCAACATGGAGATATGTTGCGCGCAAGTCTCGGCACTGCATCACACAAGGACCTCCCTAAGCAAGAACCAGTGCCACTGCCTTAGCTTTGTCGGCATGCGGCGATATTCCGTATGTGGTGCAGAACACATTTCTTCGTCCAGCCTTCATCAACCTAGTAGATTACCACTCAAGGCCACCTCATCAATTCTTGTAATAGCGAACCTAAGCTGGAAACTACCTGGTACACGTACAATTGGGCTACACATTCCAAATTCCGATTTTGACCAAATCAATTCCTTCGGCCCTGGAATCTCGCATGACACAACAAAATCAGGGCTTCCAGCCGTGCGAGTTGATGACATAATTACAAGCACCCCAGAGAACCTACTAGTATGAAGATCCGGGCGGCGCTCCGGCAGTCGCGTGCATTTTACCGGCGGCACGACAGCCGACGGTTTGACCAATATATCAGGAACATGTTTGAACCCTTGGCGCATAAGCTTTGTGGGGTGCATTGTGACGCTGATGCTCCTCGAGGCCTCGAAAAGCCAATCCAACTAGCCGCCAAGTACAGCTAGGCGCTCATATGCCCGTGATGGCATCGCGTCATGCCAACAAACGTGTTTGACAGTGCACACAAAGAGCAACGGCGGAGTGAAGGTGCCGCTTCACTGCCCCCCATCCCTCGCTGGGCATGTTCCGTAATGTATGGATTGGGAAGAGATCGTCGGCCCAAGACGGCGTCACTCTCAACGCGTGGATCTGGAATCTTCCCCCCCGTTGAAAGGGGAGGCCGGAATTCGGTTGGGAATGCTGTGGAGGCTACCCGCCCAGCATAACCAGGTTCATGGAGCCGAGCCGGGACGATGGCTACACAACCCGGTTCGCTGGGAGACCGCAATATCCGGATACGCAAATGCCGAAGCTGGAGTGCGATATAGCTTTATACTGGTCAGTGTGTTACTAACAAAGGTGCCACAAGCAGGTATATAAAGCACTTCCACTCCGCTCCCGAGAACCTCCCATTCCTCTTTCCTCAGAGCTAGCTTCTCCCAGTTGCTTCTCTTGTGTCCTCTGAACTAGCACGGGAATCACCATGGTCAAGTCCCCTCTCACTGCGGCCGTTTCGGCCCTCGGCCTCGCGGCGGCAGTCAACGCTCACGGCCACGTCAGCCAGGTCATTGCCGACGGGGTCACGTACACTGGGGGCATCCCTCACGGCGCTCCCGCCAACGCTGTCGGCTGGCTGGCCGCCAATCAGGACAACGGCTTCGTCGAGCCCAACCGCTTCAGCAGCGCCGACATCATCTGCCACAAGAGCGCCCGTCCCGCTCAAAACGCCGTCAAGGTCCGCGCCGGCAGCACCGTCACGCTGAAGTGGAACACCTGGCCCGACTCGCACAAGGGGTTCGTCTCCTGACTTAGCTATATCGTTGATTATCTTACTGACAAAAGTGTAGGCCCGTCATCGACTACATTGCCTCGTGCAACGGCAACTGCGCCAACGTCAACCCGTCCTCGCTGTCGTTCGCCAAGATCGCCCAGCGCGGCCTGAACTCGGGCAGCAACCCGGGCAACTGGGCCTCGGACGACCTGATCCGCAACGGCAACTCGTGGACTGTCACCATCCCCAGCAACCTCGCCCCCGGCCAATATGTCCTGCGCCACGAGATCATCGCCCTCCACTCGGCCGGCAACGCCAACGGCGCCCAGGCCTACCCGCAGTGCATTAACATCGAGGTCACCGGCGGCGGCTCCGCCCGCCCCAGCGGCACCCCCGGCACCTCCCTCTACCGCGCCAACGACCCCGGCATTCTCTTCAACATCTACCGCCAGTTCACCAGCTACCCCATCCCAGGCCCTGCCGTGTGGCGCGGTTAGATGGGACTAAAAGTCCAAAATTGGGTTCTGAGCGTTTTCTTGGGGATGAGGAGAAGGAAAGAAGTGTTGGCGGCAACCGTCATTCCATGTCCCGTCTCAAGTGCAGCAAAGGGCTCTCTGTACATAGCTACTCCGTTTCTCTCGGGCACCGCACCAGCCAAGATGTCACTGGCGCCCTATGAACTTCAATTCGAAGATATGAGCAATTCATGCATCGCCGTGTCTCGCAGCTCTATACCGCAGCATCCCGTGACTAGGATGTGTTTGGTACTGCGTGATCAGATTTTGTACCAAGAAAAAGGGGGGTAGAGGAGAAATGCGAGACTTGGACACTGCGTGAACGGGTCTGTGATGGATAGGAAAACTTGAATGTATGGTTATGATCGACTCTTCCCAGAGGGAATCTGCCCTACCCGACCGAGCTTGCTGATGGTGAAAAGAACTTTGACATGGAGTGGCGTGAAAAGCTCCGTCAGTGCCGAAGCAACTGTACCTAGGGCACTCCTCATCTACCTTAGGCGATGGAAGCGGCTGATGGGCAACCTGGAGGCTGTTGAGTTGCATCGCCATGTTCCAATAGCCAGGAGTGATTCGGCTGTGATTAGGGCACAAAACAGACAGTCTGATATCGGTATTGATCTTTGCTCGTATGATCCCACTTGTTTCGGATGGATGTGCGAGGTTTCTGGTCTCGACGAAGCTGGACAATGCAGGCACACGCTGGGGGAGGAGCACGCAGGTTGGCACTGACTGTAAACGGGTGAACCATGGAGCAGTACGAGCATTCTGAGGGTCAAGGAATTACCAGTGAAGAGGTTGGGAACGACCGGAATATCACGCTTACTTTAGATCTAGTTGACAGTGTATAAGTATACAACAACTGAAAGTACCTTAAGGGAAGAAAGACAGGAGGAAAATTACCATGCTACGGCGGAGTTCCCGGCTGCCAGGTTATGGGACGGAATGAAGTCACTTTGAGTGGTTAATGGGACGGGATGGGAACTCTCTCCATGCTGGATTGCGGAAGGAGCAGCCCTCACCCCTTGCTTCAGGCAGGACTCAGATGCTTGCAAGTACCTTGTCATCCCAGCTGTCAGTACAGCTCAAAATAATGTATGTAAAAATCATCCTCTCGATTAAGACCCATGTTAGCAGATCGCTCACTTGATGTACATCAACTGGAGCAGCACTCGGCACGTGGTTGCCGGTTTGGAGTCTCGACTTCGCCTGCGTAAGCGAACAGATGCACTCTACGATTCTGGTTTCTATGCGATTGAACACTGTCGCTCTTTCTCGCTGTAGGGGGTCTGCCAGCGTTGTTTAAACCGACCCAAGCTATTGTTGAGTGCACAACCTCGGACGCTACGACTTCAGAAACCTCACAATGACCTTGGACTTGGCGTGGATCATGACCTGGCGCTCGCCGGCCTTCCCGGTGTTATTGAGCTGGTTTTCCTTCCTGATTCTTTTCCTGACTTTTTTCTTTTCCTCATTTTTCTTCCTCCAAGCAGATCACGCCGCTGAACTAACTTCTTCAAGTTGGTTGTCAATTGTCAAGCAAATCACCGAATCTCCTCGCTACTTCTGACAATACTTGACTTGCGAGTTCCGACACTCCTGTCAACAACTTCTTTCTTAACTGGACCGGTTATCCGGCACAAAGCTTTCAACTGCCAACATCTCTCTTCGTTCTCCACCAATCTACCACACCGCAAAGACTCAACTTGAAGGCAACGGTCCGTCATTCAATCTGCTCTACTCCTCCGTGCCTTTGGTGGTCGAATCCACGCTTCTTATCCTCCGGTACAAGCAACCGCTAGGACTGTCTCGTCCCAATCGCGCTTCATAAGGTACCCTGCCAGGCTTACTCCTTCGATGTCCGGCCGAGCCGACCCTTCATCAGAAGTTTGACTTCCAAAGCCAGAATCACTGCATCCAAAGAGTCAGCCGTCTTCTTCAACACTTCGGCTTCCATCAGCCGAGGTTTGTTTCTAAACATTTATTAGCACTTAACCCATCCAATTCCCAAAGCATCAAGTTTCCATTGCGACAACATCCACAGAGCCGACTTCTCTCAGAAGCGTTCGCACATGCCAGCTTCCCAGCCATTCTCCCCAATCTACAATTTCTTCAACCTTCGCTTTACTTGACGCTTTCTGCATCTTACCCTTCGCTTTCTTTCCACCACAGTTGAAGGATCTCAAAGTTCCTGTTTCCTCTCGAACTTGCGAAGATTTGAGACCAAACCCCTCCCCTTCTTGATCCATCTTGCTCGCAATGTCTTTTCTACATTGAAGAGCAGCAGAGCACCCACTGATTCAGGTAGGGCTTTTTCAACGGAATTCCTCCGCCTAGTTGGAACTATCCAATACTGCACCGACCGATCCCAAACACCACCAGTCAACCTTCGTTGACCTGCGGCAGCAATTGTGCTCCGTAAGTTAATCAAAGTTGCAATTGAAACGGTAGCGAGGCTAACAATGAAGCGTAGGTAGTTCGCCAGACAGCCACGATAATACAGGTTTCATTGAGCTTCGCGCAACCCCCGAAGACATCGGACTCGATCAGGGCAGCTCATGCGCCGGCCTGGCGCACCTTATCGGAATGTTGAGTTCGACGCCAGATCCCAGGACGGAGGAGATGATCAATCGGCGACCGATGAAAGCAGCGAAGGTGGACTGTTTGTCCAGCAGGACTCGGACGTCGGAATCAAGGAAAAGGACGCGAACGATGCTGAAATCCACCCTTCGCCCCCAAGCCGCAAAGAAGACGATCATGAGCACGAGAATGATGGTGGTCGACCACCAGGGGCGCAAATTGGATGACGATGACTCGGATGATGTGATGGAGGTCAACCCCGAAACCCTCCCCGACAACCTCAAGTCCAAATTTGCGGAGTTCAAGTTTGGCCACTTTACCCAGGCTGGCAGGCGACGTGGTTTATATGGGCACAATCAAGGTGGAAGAATAGGACGCAATCTTAGCCCTAACCTGAAACGCAAATGATTAGGCCGATCCCGACTTTCAGATGGATGAATACGACATATTGTCCTATGGTGAACGCCCCAGGACGTGTCGTCGTCGAGGTGTGAAGCGTCAACGGACACATAAGGATAACGCACCTCAGCACCGACTGATGCCGAATTGGACGGAGCTTTTCTGGAACAAGAAGAGCCCAATTTCCTGAAGAGCCAGTGCCCGATGTCGATGAGAGAGATACTGACTCTTGCAAGAGTCAACGCCTGAATCGCAGCTGTCGAGAAGAAGGCCGAACAAGAGCCGACTATGCAGGTATTTCGGACGGAGACGTGGGCAGGGAACGAAGACGAAGACGAGGATATAGAGATGAACCTTCAGCGAGTACTCGGCGTCAAAAGGGGGGACGCAGGCGGAAAGCAAACCCCGGAGACGGACGCAATGCCTATCTCCGCGGGAGGAAATGAAAAAGGCGATGAGCCGCGTCAAAATCAGGGCAACAAAGTCAAGGCTTTCCGGCTAAAGCGGAAAACGGCCAAGGTATATTGGGAGCTGGAGTATGACGAGAAAGGCTCAGGCGCTCAGAACGTGAACATCACGGATAATTAGAGAAAGCGGAAGCGTCCTCTAACCAATCGAGAAAGTTTTAAACCGGGATAGGAGACACCAGGGAGACCAAGCTGATGAGAATGCTCAGAGCTTCTAACCCAAGCATGGCGAGGGCCGCTCAGGGGGCAATTGCCATGCCCGGCGCGATACAGACCACGCGAGAGCGCGACCAGCTCAAGGAAATGAAGAATATCCTGTTCAAAATCGGCTGAATCCAAATTCACGTTCCAAGCATGATGACTTGAAGAGCCTCGAAAACGCAAAGGATTCTTTCGGCGCAAGGAAGGCCCGGGCGGTCGAAGGCAGATGGGAACTAAAAGGCATGAAATCCACCCCCTACAAACCACCAACTGGTTGGGGTTTTATGTATGCTGAGCCAAGAGTACCCGCCAGATAGTCCGTACGGAGGCATCTTAGCAGACCAAATGAGGCTGGGGAAAACGGTCCAAATCCTCGCTGCAATATCGGTGAACCGACCTACTCCCGAGAATAAGCAATAAGGCCGCCATCAGACCTTAATCATCGTTCCGGCAACCGTCATTGATCAGTGGGGGAGAGAGATTGAGAGACACTGCGATCAGTCCTTCATCCAAAGAATTCATGAATATAAAGCGAGACAAAACTTGGACGCATGAATGTGGCAAGGTGCGGATGCCATTTGAGGACAACCGTAGATTGCCTATTGGACCGGAGGGATACTTATAGGCAGAGTACTGACCTTTGGTTCCACAGTCATGCCAGCTACCACGAGTTCCCAAAGCCTATCCATCAGAAAAGGCTCTAAGGCAGATAGCTGGGAAGAGGTTGAACGACGAGGAGTGGGCAGAGGAGTTCGAAGAGGAGATTGGCGAGCTCTTCGGCCATGGGTTCTTCCACGTGTTTCTCGACGAAGGCCACACGATCTGGAATGAGCGCAACAAAGAGTTTGTCGCCTGTTTTCTTCTATTATTCTTCTCTGTTCGTTCTTGCTCGTTACCTATCATCTTCTGGTTTTCTCTTCCAATCTGCTCTCTTCCAATTCTATGATATTTACGCTGTTGTCTCTCATGACTGACAGCATCTGCGCAGCAACACAGGCATGCATCAACCTCACGAGCAAGTACCGATGGATCCTGAGCGGGACTCCTTTACGCAAGTCCATTGATAGCCCGTGTCTGGACAGAGGCATCCCCATTACTTCCGGAAGCCAACAGTGACCTACCCTAGAGTTCTATCCCTATTTCCGATTCCTTGGCGCTCACTGGGCAGAGGACCGTAAGGAGTTCGTGGAGCAGTTCGAAAACATCGAGAAGGTACACAAATACTGAACAACTTGTAGACACGCTAACGCGTGCATTTTATAGGACGACAATCGTGAAAGGATTACTCAAGCAGTCACTAGCATCATGCTTCGGAGGCGGGTAACACTGCTGCAATTTCTCATTGAGATGGCGCTAACAACAAAAGCAGACGCGTTGATGACCGATTCCTCGGCGTTCCGATTCTCGATATTTCTCAAAACGCACCCAACGAAGATCATTTGGGTCGATTTGACCACGGAGGAGCGGTTGTTCTACAGGTAAGCTCCTGGTGTTTCTCTCCTTCTCGGGTCCCGTGAGTCCCGTCCAATCTCACTCCTGTTTTCTCTTCGTTCAAATCTATCTGACTGATTGGCACAGTCGTCTCGAGTAGAGGTTCCGGGACAATATGAGCAATCATATCAAGGCCGCGGTTCGCCAAAACGTAGCTGAGAACCAATCTTGCCTATCTCACCCGCTTGCGACAAGCGGTGGGCCACCCCTTCCTATTCGAAGGTGTGCTGAAGGACAACTTCACCTTGGAAGATTTCGACTACTTGAGGAAGAAGCTCAGCACAATCGGTGGTAAGACCCATGCATCAGCAATTCGCCCATTGACTGCAACTCGAGTACGAGGTCGGCATGGGCGGCGACGATTACGATGGAAGCTTTGGCAGGAGCCGGTTTGATTTGGTTACCACTTCGATATGGACGAGCAGTTGAAGGACATGAAGACCACAAAATTGATTCATGAGGTCACATGCCGTCTATACTACGACACTGCGACCGAACCCCAATCTTCGACGTAAGTCCTACCAGATGCTTTGCTTGGCCGGTTTGGTCCTCCCTTCTAACCACCTACCAGTGCGGTCACGCCGTTCGCTCAGAATGCATTGCCGGCGCAATCAATACAGAGCGACTGCCCGACCTGCAAAGCCCCGCTCCTCACAATAGACGCCGTCGACCAGCCGAAAGGCGGATACTGCGAGCAGAGCGACTCGGATGGTGGCGAGAAAAGATCAAGACGCAAGAAACAGAAAAAGGAGAAGCGGGAAGTAGGAGACGACGATAACTGGGCTCAGCGAAAGCTCCGGGACCGTTCCAAGTGGATCGAGCAGTACAGCAACAACTACCCCAGTCAAGAACTTATGACGAGCGCAAAAACCATTGCGGTTAAGAACAAGACCCTCATATGGCAGAGGGAAGGCCCTGACAACAAGATCATTGGTAAGCCTCCTCGAAAAGAAATTTTCCCCTTCTTTTGCAAATAGCTAACTACCAGTTAAGTCTTTGTCAATTGGGCCAAGCTGGCTTGCATCATGGGTCGGCTCTTCGAGGAACAGATACCCTTTCTCTACTACTTCGGCGACCTGTCCCTGGAAGAGAAAGCAGCCGCCATAAACGACTTCCGTGATAGACTCGAGATCAAAGTGCTGGTATGTCTCTCATAACCTTTCCATTCACTTCTCACTGTCATCTTGCATATGGGGGCTGCCGTTCTCGTACGCAGCTGCCTGCAAGGCTACAAACAGATACTAATAACCTTCGAACCCCAGATCGCATCAACCCGCTGCGGCGGCCAATCCCTCAACCTTACTTGCGCGAACCGCGTGATTCTTATCGACCGCAAGTCCCCTTTCCAACATCCCCTCAAGTCAAATACGGACTCAAACATTCGCTGTGTGATGTAGGATGGTGGAACACGGCAATGGCACACCAGGCCTCTGGACGTGTGCACCGCATCGGGCAGACCAAGCCAACATACCTTGTCAAGATCCTCGTCAAGAACATTATCGACGAGGGTTTGCTCGAGATCCAGCAGGCCAAGGAGGGCGGGGTCGCCAAGGCGCTGCAGAAAAACGGATCTTACAAGACAGAGAGGACGGCCGAGGAATTAATGAAGTTTTTTCAAATTTGGTCCTGATGGTGGCGTTTCTGTGGGAGATGACAGTGGTGGGGGAGATGCGGCTCAGGAAAGTGTGATTATGCTGAGTGACGACGACGACGACCAGGAGCATGGTGAGGGCGGTTGCGAGAGTCACCTTCAGGATCAGATTGAGGGTGACAGTGACGGTGACGGTGGTGAGAGGGAAGGGGTTAACACCGATATGGCTTCGGGCATGACGCTTGAAGGAGTTCAAGTCAAGGGCCGAAGTTCAGTGGGATGGATGGTGGTTTCAGTTTGCTAGACACAATTGCTTGGAGAGGCCAGATGAGAATACCATTTGACTCGGCATTGGGGGTTGTTGGCGTGGCCTGACTCAGGCCGCCTGAGCCGGGCTACTTAGAGTCACACACAATGGAAGCAGCGGATCTAAAGGGAACTGAATCCGCTATTCGAGAGACATATCCGGGGCCAGTGCGGTTAACCCACCATCAAGTGACCTATCTAGTTGAGGGGCTTGGGGAAGGACTCTAAGGAAGCTGAAGGAGCTGCAATTAGCTGCGGCACAGCCAGTCATGTTTGGCTCCGAGAACGCAAACACATCATAAAATTTCACGGCTTCTTCTTTGTTTCGTCCCGCTGTGTTTAGATTTTTCTCCGCTCTCTTTTTCATTTCTCCTTTCACCCCAAGCTTTTCTGATGTTTTCGACAAGTGTACATCCCTCTCGACCTTGGAAGGTCCAAGGAATGGGAGCCTGGCCAGTTGCTAGGGGATCTTGACGATTCTTTGCCAACCAACACCATGATCGTCTCCCGACCTGGAAAGCATCGTGTCTGTCCCTGTGGAGCTGCAATGTTTACTGTGACTTCATGTCGTCACCGTATCGGGGTTAGGGTCACTGACCAGGCCAGCAGTCACCTCCCCGCTTGCCCTTACTCATCCCGCAACCACTGCCGCCAGCCGGCCCGGGCATATTCGCGTGATACTTAATGTTGCCATCACCCAGCTTTCTTGCACCCGTTGAGATCTTGTCCACCCAAACGAGCTGTCGAACCGTCTCATCCTCTCCCCCCTCAATTTCGCTTGTTGCTTAACTCCCTTGCACAACATCCACTCATCCCACCATCATGATGTCGCTCCCCAAGACCATGTCGGGAATCCTCATCGAGGAGACGGGCGGGGTCGAGGCCCTGCAATGGAAGACCGATCTGCCCGTACCAGAACTCAAGGAAGGCGAGATCCTTGTGCGCAACGAGTTTGTTGGCGTCAATTACATTGACACGTGAGCCAGCCCTTTTGAACATCACCACCCATCACTCACCCCACCACCCCCCAACATTACTACGAAGTGTGTAAACAACGCGCTTGCGAAGGCATACTGACCCAACCCCCTCAATGGAATAGCTACTTCCGCACCGGCCTCTACAGAGCCCCCCTCCCACTGGTAACAGGCAAAGAAGCAGCCGGCGTCATCATCGCCCTGCACCCCTCCGTCCCCTCATCGGACCCAACCACCCCACTCAAAGAAGGCGTCCGCGTAGCCTACGTAGCAGACCACGCCTACGCAGAGTACACCGCGGTCCCGGCAACCTGCGCCTCCCCAATCCCAGAGGGCCTGTCCACTGAGACGGCCGCGGCCTCCCTCCTCCAAGGCCTGACAGCACTGACCTTTGTGCGCGAAGCGGCCGGCTTGGCGCGCCCGCGCGGCACGACGCACCAGCTGGGCGTCAGCGAAGGGCCTTGGGCGCTCGTGCACGCTGCTGCGGGCGGCGCCGGGTCGATGCTGGTGCAGATGCTGGTCGTGCACGGGGCCAAGGTCATTGGTACAGCGGGCGGGAAGGAGAAGTGCGAGATTGCGAGGCGGAACGGGGCGCAATGGGTGGTGGATAGCAAGGCGGAGGATGTGGTGGCGAGAGTGAAGGAGATTACGGGGGGAAGAGGGGTGGATGTGATTTTTGATGGCGTAGGCAAGGCGACGTTTGAGGCGGATCTGGAGATGGTTGCTAGGAAGGGAACGGTGGCAGTTTTCGGGAACGCGGTGAGTAACAGTTGGTCATGTTGTAACGAAGGTATGGTTGAGCTATGACCGTGATGCTGACTATTCGCAGTCCGGGCCGGTCCCGCCGGTCGATGTCTTGAGACTGGGGGCCAAGAACATCAAGCTGATGAGGCCCGTGTTGTTCTCGTACATCGCCATCAAGGAGGAGAGGGATGCTTACACCAAGGAGCTCTTCGAGCTACTCCTTGCCGGCAAGGTGAACGTCAAAATTCACCATGTGTACCCGCTCAAAGAAGTCGGGTCTGCACACACTGATTTGGAAGGGAGGAAGACAACGGGCAAGCTGCTGCTCAAGATCTAAAGGAAGCTTGTCTTTTGTCTATCAATGATTAAAAAGCCTGTAATAAGTCCTGAAAAGGGAGCCTGCCAACCCCCCCCCCCCCCCCGAAGATGAAATGGGTATTGCTCAGTTCCGCGTAGCCTTCAGACCTTCCAGAAGATGGGTTGGCGGGTCTTGCCGGTACCCCTTGGGGTTGTTCTCAACCCAGCGCCACAAGTCGGCACAAGCATCCTCCAGGGTAAGCTGTGTCTTCCACTGCAGCTCCTTGTTGGCTAGCGCAGGGTTGGCCGTCAAATCCAGGACGTCACCGTGCCTCCGTTCGACCACTTCATAGGGGAGATCCCGGCCGACGACCTTGCTGAAGGCCTTGATCATCTCAAACACTGTGCTCCCGCGACCAGAGCCCAGGTTCCAAGCCTTGACACCGGGCTTGTGCTCGCGAAGGTAGTTGAGAGCAGCCAAGTGTCCGCTCGCAAGGTCGAGGACATGAATGTAGTCGCGAATTGCCGTGCCATCCCTCGAGGTGTAGTCTACGATGGACGTTAGCCCCTTTCCTTACTCTGTCCCGCCTGTCTCCGCGCTCCCAGTTACTTACCGTCGCCAAAAACGAGCAGCTTCTCCCGCTCACCGGTAGCCACCTTGCCGAGCAAGGGGAGGAGGTTGTATGGCACGCCCTGGGGGTCCTCGCCCATGATGCCGCTGGGGTGAGCACCGCAGGGGTTGAAGTAGCGAAGCAAAGCACCATTCCATTGGTCGTATGGCTTCCCAGCCTTCTGGTTCTTGCGTCGCTGCGCCTCGACGTGGTCTGTAATGACCGTTTCGATCATGACCTTTGTCCGGCCGTATGTGTTCGTGGGCCCGATGGGGCAGTGTTCAGGAATGGGGATCATGTTGGGAACGCGCGTGGCATCGCCGTAGACGGTGGCTGACGAGGAGAAGACGATGTTGGTGACATCATGCTTCTCCATGGCGCGCAGAAGCGTGATGCTGCCGCCGACGTTGACGCGATAGTACTCGAGTGGGATCTCGCCGGACTCGCCAACAGCCTTGAGGGCGGCGAAGTGGATGACGCTGTCGATTTCGGGGTGTTTGGTAAAGACTTCGTCGAGAGCAGCCTCGTTGGTGATGTCGGCCTGGTAAAAGACAGGGCGCTTCCCGCAAATGAGCTCAATGCGGTTGACAACCTCATTCGAGGAGTTGTACAGGTTATCGACAATGACGACATCGTAGCCGTTCTCGAGGAGAGCAAGGGTCGTGAATGAACCTATGTAACCGGTGCCACTATGAGACAGTCAGTATCCCAGGCGATTTTAGGCAACGGCTTCTGCGAGAGTGGGCATTGTTGCACGGCCTGTTGTCATCTGCGATGGCAGAATCATGAGGGGATCGTGGAGTGGTGGAGGGGTGGAGTAGCTTACCCGGTGACAAGAACAGTTTTGGAGGCCATGGTGTCCCTGCGTAGTTATTGTGCGTGTCGCTTGGGAAAAGAGGGACAGTGTTGCAGAGGAAACGGGAACGAGAAAAAGGGCAGTCTCAAATGCTGCACCTGGGATGTGCCAGATTTTAAACGCACGTTTGTTGTGAATGCGTAACCCGAATGTTTGCCATTGAAACGACGTGGGGCACCGGTTAGAAGCGCTCAAACCAGTACCTGGGCAGGGTTCCCCACGTCGCAGCCATCTTTGAGGGTCGGGCTGTCTCGGCCGTCGCCCTGAAGATGGCCCGGGATGAGGTCACTCATAGGGGCCAGAGCGAAACACGAAGTCAAACGCATGGGAACACGAGAGAGGGAGGTGACAAGCAGCGTTGAAGAGAGTAAAGTACCTAATGTACGTTGATCGGGTTGGGTCTGCATGTAACTGTAACGACGGAGTATCTACTTCAGGTTACTCCGCGCGAGTTGTGGAAACATGTGGCGCGGACGAAATTCCTGAGCAGGAGCGGATTCCGTTGTCCCGTTGGCTTGTGTCGATGGGTGATGCAGAGGGGATCTGCTGACTTGGCATGGCGATCAAAGATTCAAGCGGTGCAGGACACTAGAATCTCGATAAATGCATACTTTGTTTAGAAACATAACCTTGTCATCCGATACAGGATTCTGCACCTTGCAGCGGCACGGACCTCATCTTGGTGGACCTCGAAAAACGCGCCGCGGCTTTACAGTGCGTGCCGACACATTGAAACAACAATGAGGACAAAGAAGACGGGGGTTGCTGCGCAGCCATGAAAGAGCCATTGCCATCGAGAGTTCAAAGAAGACGCCGTTTTCAGCCATCAAACGAGTCCTTTCTTTCCGCTTGCGATGCATGGTTTGGCGCAAAGCCATTTTGCATTTCTGCACCGCGGTCCTCTTTACTTCGTGCGTCGAAACCTTCGAGTCTCCGTTGCTTCTATCTCAACTTCCGCCATGACCAACATCGCGACTGACCAGCGACTCACCCACTAGACTGCCCCTCCAGTCCTATCGCCCTCATCATTTTCAGGGCTACTCGAGATTCAACCGATCTGTATATCAGAGCCATTACTGGCCCCTCTCTGGTTCGACTTGTGTCGTGCCGTGTACGAAGTACAACCTTGCTTTAGGTTGTGGTGTTTGTGAGCGGGAGCATTCAATCCGAAGTGTCAGTTGGCAAGCTCGTGCGGGCCCGCGCTGTGTTGTTCATTCAAGGTCGGTATTCACCTCCATTCATACCCAGCCATCACTATTCATTCCATTTCACTTGCATTTGACCAAAGCCGCTTCCCCGATGTAGCGCATCTCCAGTCAGGTCAAAAACATCCCCCCTGCCGCATCTCTGGTTGCCACTCATCAACCCCAACACATCTCATCCGTCGCGTTTCATCTCTCTGCACGAATTTCGCGATGCCTTCAGATGCGCTGAGCTACCCCCAATTTGAGATCATCGCTGACCTTGTTACCGGTTCACAGTCATTACGCGCCGATTCGCCGGTCGCTGCAACCACCCACTCACAGGACTCCGTCGAGATCACAGCCACCATGCGTCGTGACGGACGTCGGGTGCGGGCGACCATGAGTTTGTCGCCAGCACCACAGGGGAGAGCCGCAACCCCCATGAGAGATCCTGTTACTGGACGAATGATGCCTGAGCTGGGAGCACTTTCCAGAACGCCCGTTCCCGCCAAGTACAGTACCTCGTACGGTTCGCCCATGACCCAGCTACCGGATCGTTCCACTGTACATGCTGGCGGTAACCTCGCCAAAGCCGCAGCCGAAATCTTCACCGCTGTCAAGCGCGACAACGTGGCTGCCGAAATCCGCCGCCGCGCTAAGGACCAAGCAAGGGCGGCAAGAGCCGGGAGGACTCCATCACCACCTGTCTCAATAGAGCAGACCATTGAAGTAGATGACCCGGAATCCGAAGAGCGCAGTGAAGGTGGAGAAGAAGCGAGCGAGTATGAGGATCAGAGCGAAGATCAGGATGAAGACCATCTCAAACCGCAGACCAGAAAGCGCACCCCCAGGACGCTATCCCAAAGAACCACTCGAAAGAGACTCCGCGACGATGAAGAGGCGGAAGCACGTACCGAGCAGGAGCGGGAGGAAAGGGATTATCGGCTGAGACGGGAGCGGTCAGCGGAGGCCCACAATCTCCGGAAACAGAAACTGGCCGAATCGCAGGCCACCTGGGAACAACCCGAGCAGAAAAGGCTTGCCCAACAAACAGCACGAGAAGAAGCGGCAAGAGCAGCTATGCCACCTCCACCGCAGCCGCCCGCACCGCAGTCTCCTCCGCAGATCACCATGACCCTGGCCAGCGCCACTACTCCCACTGGTCCTAGCGTCAACCGACCCGGTTCTGCTCGCAGTTTCGTCGAGGAGTGTAACATCTTCCAGGATGCGGCGGTCAAAACCCCCAGGCAGCCGTCGCCAAAGATTGCACGCCGACCTAAACCGCCTCCACCGGCGGCACCTCCCCAGCCCGCGCAACCGCCAGCGCCACAGCCAGCACCGGCAGCAGCGCCGCCGCCCGAGCCTGCCTCACCGCCGAGTGTATTGAAGCGGCCGCCAAGACGTCCCGGTGGCACGACACCGGCTTCTCGTGAAGGGCTATCGTCAGGCCCCGACCAGCGCGGGGCGACCTCTCAGCAGAGGCCGCTCGAGAGGGAGCCATCCGCCTCCGAAGACGGGGACGAGGCGCAAGCAACGAGCCCATCCGATCGGCAGGCTGCCTCGAACAATGCGAATCGTCATAAGCCTCTCCACAGCCCAATGCATGTTCCGGAGGGAAGGGCTGAGAGTCCGGAGAAAGGGCCCGAAAGTGTTCCCAGTTCGGGTGGTTATGAATGTCGGACGCCTTGGCCCAAACTCAAGCACGCCTTTACCCCCTGGTCAATCCTCAAATTACTTACAGGCGCCTTTGCCATGTTGCACTTGCTCCGCCTTGGCCACGTCTTAGTCCGTCCAGGCCTGTTCGACACACCCAGTCTGACTCTCCACTGGTACGGTTGGAATGACTGGGCAAGCAATGTCGGACAGTTCTTCCCTTCACCCTTGCTGCACCCGCTTGGGGTTTTGACAGACAACCAATACGACGATCTCAGAGACTACCTCGAGAGCAGGACGACAGCAACTGAAACCGCAGTCAAAAATCTCAAATCGATTCTGCCCAAAGTGGTCTCGGTGCGCAAAGCCAAGGACGGCAGGATACTCATTGCGGACGAGTTCTGGAAAGCTCTCAGGGATCGCATCGAGCACGACAGCAGCTTGCTCTCATTGGATGGGAAGTCTCGCATCTCCGACAAGCACTGGAAAGCGATCGAGCAGCGGTTGAAGGACGCGGGTCTGCTTACCAAACCGCTCTCAGCCAGCGATGTAGAGCGGATCGTGGACAAGACCGCGCCAGCATCCTGGGAGAAATGGCTGGAGAAGAATAAGCGGAAGGTCATCGAGATTCTCGGACAGGCCAAAGGTCCGTCGAAGGAAAGTGATGAGACAGTTGTGTCCAAGGGCGAGTTCCTCCGGGAGGTGAACAATCGTTTGGCGAAATCCAGGGAGGAAGTAGACAGCGAGATGCACAGCCTGCGGAAAGAGCTCCACACGCTCATCAGCGATGTCAAGAGGATTGCCATGGCAGGGGGCATGACCAAAGCTGACACCGCCAAACTCATCAACCAAGTCGTTGACCAAGAAATCACCCGCCGCCTCGCGCGGGTGGGGAACAAGCCCGGTGGCATCGGCGTCGATGCCATGTTTCGCAGCCGCGTCAACTTCTTCGCCCCAGGCAACAACGCCTATACCGACACGAGCCTCTGCTCCCCAACCTACAAGGTCATCACGCCCCTCGTCGGCTCCAAAGAATGGGTCAAGAACATGCCCCTCCGGCCCCAACACCTCTTCGAGGCAGGCCAGGCCCTCACCCCCTGGTCCGAGCCCGGTCACTGCTGGTGCGCGGCCATCCTGGGCGACCACAACCGCACCCGCCCGGCCGTGCTCGCCGTCCGCCTCCCGCAGTTCGTCATCCCACAGCACGTCATCCTCGAGCATATCGACCCGGCCTCGACCACGGACCCGCTCGCCATGCCGCGCGACGTCGAGGTCTGGGCCATGTTCGATGAGCATTCCCGGAAGGAGCGCGTGCTCGACTGGATGGCGGCGCAGTATCCCGGTGATATGAGCAACAAGGAGCTTATCGACAAGGGCTGGGCCAAGATTGGGGCGTTCAAGTACGAGCATAAGCCGCAGGACGATGGCGTGTATGTGCATCAACTGTCGAGGGATTTGGTGGATCGGCTGAAGGCGGCGACGGATTTGGTGATGATCAGGGCTGTGTCGAATTATGGGGCCAAGGACCATACGTGTTTCTATAGGGTGCGGTTGTATGGGGATGTGGCGGAGGAGTTGGAGGCGGAGCGCGAGAGTAGAAACTGGTGAAGTTTTTTATGGTGATGGGTGTTTGGGGGCTTTGAGGCATGGCGTTTCGGGAGATGTGCTAGCGATACCACACCGTTCTGCGTGTGATTTATATATACAATTTGTCTTCCCGGATCGTCTTTCTGGTCCTCGGCGCTTTTACTGTTTGGGCTTGTGTAGCAGTGAAAGTGAATGTTGGTTGAGAGTGCACAGAAACCCTTGTGCTGGTTCCTCGTCATACCCGATGCAATCTTCACTGGCCAGTTGTTCTCGCCGTCGATAACACGCAAAGGTATCGTTTCTACGTAATCTGTACTGTCCGCCGATAAGCTCAACAGTAAACTACTCTTCCAACAACCCAGCAGCCAGCGCCTCCAAATCCTCGAGATTGTCTGGCTCGTGAGCCATCTCAATAACACGCTTCCCCCCCTTCTTCTTCTTCTTTTCCCGCCTCTCCTCCTCCTCCTTCTCGGAGTCATCCTGGAACCATTTCCTGGCCTTCTTTTTCGGCGGCTCCCTGGCTTCTTCCTCCTCCCCATCACTATCAGCCTCCCCTCCCGCAATCGGCAGCGACCGGAGCAGCGCAAGCGGGTCCTCCCCTCCCGCCCCCCCGTCCACCTCAAGCTGGGGCAACGCCCCGCCGTGCCTCTCAACCTCCTCCCCGCGCTCCCTCGCCTTCTGCCGCTCCCTCTTCTCTTTCCGCCGCTGCTTCGCGAGCTGCTTATCCTCCACGTCGGCCTCCTTGACCTTCTCCGTCTCGGCCTCAACAAACTGCCGGCGCAACTTGTCGGCGGGGCCCTCTTGTGCAAAGTCCTCTTCGTCTTGCAGCTCGTAGATCGGGTGCGCGTTGCCGTCGTCGTCAAAGACGAGCTTGTTTCCCTTTTCCATGTACTTGGCGAGCTTCTTCTTAGATTTGAGCAGCTTCTCGCGGCGGTGCGAGTCGATGACCAGCTCGGATTTGCCGAGCTTGACAACCTTTGGTTGTTCGGTGGTGGTCGTGTCGTTGGCGCGCTTGTCGCCTCCTGCCGCGGCGTCCAGTTGTGCGTCGCCGTCGAGGACGCGTTTGACGGAGAGGAAGTCAGCTTCATCGTCGGATGCGGGCCCGTCCTCGCCGAGGAGTTTGCGGTAGTGCGTGGAGAGGACGTCTTGGTTCTGCCGTTCGGCCATCTTCTGGTACTTGGTGCGGACCTGGTCTTTGTCCTTGCGCTTGCGGCCGTCACCGTCCGAGTCGGTGTCAGAGCCGCTGGATATCGCCGCCCGTGGTGCGTTCTTGATGCGCTTGATGTCTTCGCCCTTTTGAAATTTAATTTGCGGTGTCCCTGGGAGCCCGAGAGACTCGGCGAAGCCGTCAAGGTCAAGTTCGTTGAACTTGAAGACTTCCTTGTCTTTTTGGAGATAGATGGAGCGGGTGTAAGAGATGAAGGCCTTCTGCCCGAGGTATTTCAAGTCGGGAGACTGAAAGCAGTGACTCTGAAGCTCGTTCTTGATACTCTTCTTTTTTTTCTCGCGGACGTTGACCTTCTGTATTGGAACTCTCTTGTGCTCGAGCCGCTTGAGGAATCCTTCTTCCTCACTGGGTTCAAGGAAGAGCACTGCCCGCCCCTTGCTCTCGTACCGGGCTGTCCGTCCAACGCGGTGAATGTATGTATCAGCGTCCTCCGGGCAGTCAACTTGAATAACCCAGTCGACTGCCGGAAAGTCTACACCTCTGGCGACAACGTCGGTAGCAAAGAGGCAGCTATGCTTTGCTGAGGCGAACCGCGACGTGATTTCCATCCGAGCCACTTGTTTCTGTCGGCCATGGAGGTGCAACAGCGGGATACCCGGCTGCATCCGCTTGAAACTTTCGTACACGAACCGCACCTGTTTGCCCGACGACAGAAAGACGATGATTTTGCTCTTGAGGTTGGCCCGTAGGAATCCCCAGAGGGTGTCGAGCTTCTCGGAAAGGGGCGTAACGATGTAAGACTGTTGCAGCGATGCTGGTGTCGCAGTTTGCGCGGATTCGTGTACCGACACGTATTCGGGGTCCTTCAGGCTCAACCGTGCAAGGTCCGAAACCCGTTTGCTCTGCGTTGCGGAGAAGAGAAGTGTTTGCCTTGTCTTGGGGAGATGCTCGACCAGCGCATCCACAGCGGATTGGAAGCCCATGTCCATGATTCGGTCCGCCTCATCTAGCACTAGGATCTGGAGGTTATTCACATCGAAACCTGCCGTCTGGTCCAAGTGCTGCAGCATCCGCCCTGGCGTACAAACGAGAATATTCATGCGCCCCAACCGCTCAGCCTCCTCTTTTAAACTCTTGCCTCCAATCACCAGACCCGCTGAGAAGTAGTGGTTCCTCCCAACTTTTCGCAACACCTCGAAGATTTGAACCGCCAGCTCCCTGGTGGGGCTGATGATAAGAGCGCCGAGGCCGTCGTATTCTGTCCATTGCGCCAGGTAGAGTTTCTCGAGGACGGGGACGAGAAAAGCAAGCGTCTTGCCGCTGCCTGTTTTGGCAGCGCCGAGGATGTCCTTCCCCTTGAGGGCTAGCGGAATCGCGGCTCGTTGGACATCGGTCAGAACCTCGAAATGGGAGGCGCGCAGCCCGGATGCGGTTGCTTCGCAGAGAGGGAGGTCGGTAAACTTCTTGATGTCGGGTGACTTGGGGTCCTTGGCGCAATGTTTAGGCAGGTGCTATGACGGATACGATTGAACACTGGGGAGAACTGCCCACTCACCAGCTTATTGACGGCCTCTCGGAGCTTGTTGAGATCTTCCTGGCCCCGTTTCCTCTTGAGCGATCTCGATTCTGCCTTTTTAGGTGCTGGTTTATTACGGTGTGCGAGACCGCCTTTTGTGCTGGCGGCCGCCATTTTTTCGTCGCCCAGGCAGTCGCGTCTGAATAAGCTATTGTGAAGTCAAGCTCATGCATCAGCACTGGAAAATTTTGGCGGAGAGCAATTCTGCCATGTTGCCCCACCGCAAGCCAAGAAACATTTAACCCGTTTAGATCAATAGGGTTAGGGTTACGATTATGTTGTGGTGCTGCCATTCTCGAGCCTATCTTAACGACTCATCATGAGCCGAGATCGATCGTCATGTTTATTTATCACAAGCGACTCACTCTAAGTGAGAGCAGCATTGGTATTGCCAGCTCAAGTCTCTGATGAAATCTCATACGATGTCACGCATTTGTCCCAACATTCAGATGCGTTCCGGATCCAAAACATACGGTATCCAGACAATCCAAAAAACTAAAAACCATCCCCTAGCCCTGGCTTTCCGTGGCCCTTAGCAGCCATGCCAACGGCAACTTCTTCGTCCTCCTGACTCCGACTCCCACTCTGGTTGTCATACGCAAGCCGCAGATCATCAATCTCATCACCAACCTCCATCCATTTGCTGCTGCACGCCGGAATGGGCGACACTTTGCAAAACGCCCAGTACAGCCCCGCGGAGACAATAAACCCGCCGAAGAAGTTGACGTTGTATACGTATGTCGCGCCGACCGGGACTGGAGTGCCCACCGCGCCCGCAAAGCCCACCACATTGATGAGGATTCCACCAATGTACGCGGCATACGCACGCCAGTGGAAGCCATAAGTGAAGTAGTACGGCCCCGTGCGGCGAGCATCATAGAGTTCCTTCACTTCGAGATACCCACGGCGGACAAGGTAGTAATCCGAAATCATGACGCCGGCGATGGAGGACAGGAACACGCTGTAGGCCGAGAGGTAGGTGGTGAACTGGTTGCTGGACGTGAGGAGGTTGTACGGGCACATGGCAAGGCCGATGGCGGCACAAATGTAGCCGCCACGGCGGATGGTGAGATATCGCGGGAGCAGAGCCGTCATGTCGGTGCCCGCTGAGACTGAGTTAGCGGCGATGTTGGTGCCGAGCTGCGCAAGGGCGAACGCAGCAGCGATAACAAACACGCCGAAGCGCTGCGCCGAGCCACCATCGTCGATGAAACGCTCCAGGAGGACGAGCGGGTCCCAGATTGGGTCTCCCCCGTAGATGATGGTCGAAGACGAAGAGACAATGATGCCGATAAAGGACGTCACGGCGAAGCCGACCGGAATCGCGAACAACTGCGACCAGAGAGCGTCGCGCGGCTTGATGGCGAAGCGGGAAAAATCGGGGTCATTAACGATCAACGTCGCAAAGTTGGCGATGGAGCTCATGACTCCCTTGACAAACTCCCAGGCGAGCTCACTGCCTTTTTTCGTGGCTGGCTGCCGCACTATGGGACCAACACCGCCAGCGCGGACCACCGCCCAGATGAGGAAGGCAATGCCGGCAACTGGGACGAAGTATGACTTGACGGTGAAAAGGTGGCGGATCTTGTGGACGGGGAACCAGATCGCGGGCAGCGAGCAGAACCAGAAAATGAAGAACGAGACATAGTCGGCTGTTTTCGTACCGGAGCCTTCTGAAAAGGTGTTTGGGATCGTATCTCGGTCCTAGGGCAAGTGTTAGGAGAAGTGCGCCACTGGTGAAAGACTCGATGTGCTCACCCAGCTCAGCCAGATTGCCCGGATCATCAGATACACGCAGTGTCCACCAATGTACGCTTGCACGCCATACCACACGCATGCTGCTGTCCGTCAGCCCGACACAATCTCCCCACTGGTAGAATAAGACTACACACCCATAGCAGCCCGGTTGAAAACCGGCCACAGGCTCCCCCAGATGCCGAACGACGAACGACTGACAACGGGGAAACCGATGTGGTATGTGGCGCCGATGCGACCCGTCAGGCAGATGAAGCAAGCAGAGATGGCGTATCCTATCCAGACGCAAAGCCATGACTGCCACCACGATAGACCCCCAACGATCATAGACGACGAAATCATCCACGTGTTGATGTTGAACGAGTCGGCGATCCAAAACCCGACAAAGTTCCAGGGACCCCACTGGCGGCGCTCGGGCTCGACGGGCTTGAGGTCGTGGTTCGTCAACTGAAGCAGCAGTCTGCGGTCAGCGGCCGATGTGCGGAAAGATGTGCGAGAGCCACGGCGAGGATAAGGCAGGCCCATGCCCACGCCACGATGACGCTCAATCAAGGTTTCGCACCATCAACTGGGCGCCGGTCAGCCCGGGCTCGGCCTCGACGGCCAGCTTATCGGCCACACGCCGAAAGATACTGGGCTTTTCCGACATGGTCGCGACGCTGTCGGGTGCGGGAAGTTGGTGGTGTTTGAAAAAAGGCGGTGATAATGGGGAAGAAGGCCCGCTAGTACAATATGTGTTTCCTGCCACTGGACCTTATTGCTGCCCTGCAAGATGACGCCCAACGCACGTGGAGGTTGGATTGCGGGGCGAAGGCAGTTGGACAAGGTTTGACGATTAGCTGCAAGCTTTGGTGCCGGGTAGGGTCGACTTTAAGGGTCCTCTAGTTTCCACCTTCCCGAGACAACGGCGACACAGCTCGGAGTTCCGTGTATTGACAGGCTTATCAGCTTCCACTCGGCCCAACCTTGAACTTCCCCCACGCTGCACCCATGCGACCGTCGATAGAGAGATACTTGACGTCGGACAAGATCATGGAGGAAAAGTTCCTGGCACCCCGAGCTAAGACCCATGTTCGTGCCGAAGATGTGGCAAGGATTGCGGCAGGTTGGGAACCGTATGCGGCGTCCAGGTCTGTGTTCGGCAGACAGGTCACGATTGAGATCTTGGCTGATGTGATGGATTTGTCTTGGCATTTGAACGCGGCTTGGCCGAAGTCTCGCTCGGCAGTTTATTGGCCAATGCGGCAACCAGAGGAGTTTCGCCTTATCTGGCCGAGTTAGGGCTGGGCAGGAGGGCTAGGTCGGATTAGCTGTTTTATCTTGTTGGTCGCGGAAGCGATAAGGATAAGCTATCACTAAGTCAAGAAGTGCTCGCAAAACGCTTACTCGATCGTATCGAGTCAGGTCAGGGCAAACGTTGAACGCACCACATCTGGCCAACAAGGGCGCGATGTCTCAATCCAGACTGGCCCAACCACAGTGCAGGGCATGAAGAGCTGGCATTTGGACATCTCAATTGCATCCTATCTGGTTTCATGAGACGGAGACCGCATCCACTCAGCATGGTGTTCTCCATAGGGGCTTTGGAACTCAACTTCTCAGGCTCGAGTGAATCGCACGAGTATGCCTCAAAAGCGCCGTCGCCGACGCCATGCTTCTCCCGACTCGCCAAGTTTTTGGCGTGTAGCTGGATCTGACGTCGCTGCAATCTTGCATCTCAGATCGGCGACACTTAGATCACATAATCCATCATACCCGGGTGGTATCCTGGAGGAGGGCGGTCGTCATCCTTCTTGCCCCTGGTGGCATTCTGGGTACAGGAAACTGCTGGGCAACAACGGAGGGAGTCTGCCTGCTCTACAGGCCTCCCCGCCAACAGGATGGCTCACACTAAGTGCCCTTCACGACACTGATGCTCGTCTCATTTTCTTTGATCCTGATCCGCCACACGTTGAACACTTACCCCAGGAAAAATCGGGGATCCGGTGTCTCAAGTATCACGGAACGTTCACGGCTTGGGCGCTCCTGTCCTGGATTCCCTTCGTCATCGTACCCTCTCGGCTTCGCGTCGAACTCACGGGCAGTTTGCTCCAGTGAGCACATCTCTACACGTCCTTGAGGTGATAAAGCATGGCATTCCATTATTTTGGAGGCCTATGGGAGATTGGTGACGATGGGTGGTTTGCGGGCGAGTAAGCTGTCCGCCCCGTCCGGGAAGTCGTGGGAAAGCTGCAAGGCCAAGTTCAAGTGGTCGCCGCTGTTACCGAAGAGGACGGACGCATTGCTCGTCGGGGGCCTCGAAACCGCTGCCTTGTGACGAGTGAAGGTTCAACTGGGCTCCGTCGATCACTCGGATGTCACTTGCCTGCAGCGGAGGACTGAAATTCTTGTTTGCCATGCCTGGGTTTGCCGGCGCTGATGAAGTCGGCGCAGATGAACTGGTCAACAGGTCGGCAATCCAAACTTCCCCACCGCTTACTGGATGCAACGTGGACGGGGTGTTGAATCAAGATACCACGAAGCCAGATATTTGCCAGCCTCAGGACCCTCACGATTCGGTTACAGGCGTGGCAAGGGCCGCAATCCTGCACGCTGGTGGAGAGTTCATCGGGGTATAATTAAGACGGAGGAATTTTGATGATACCCGAATCAGCTCCCAGGTCCGATACTCCCAGACCCAGTCCACCTCAAGGGCAGATTCCCCAAAATGCCCCGCGTGGCCCAGGCGGCGTTGCCGTTTCCTGGACGCAAATGGAGCTTACGATGGCAGAGGCCTCGGGTTTGATCGCAGCGGGTGTTTACATCTGTATGTGAGAGCTTTCTCAGTCATTGACCTTGTTGCCGTCTTGTCTTCCTACTGACCGTTACGTGCTTCTGGATCAAATACTGCTCCCCGTCATTTTTCCCGCTGCCTTGATCAGGTTTGTCGGCGAGAACTCGGTCGTCACCTGCCTCCGTCCTCGGCTGCGCATTGCAATTATCCCCGGGGCCAACCATTCTGCAGACCGACTCAGCAGCGCGTCATGGCGTGCTCCGACGAGTTAGTAACGGCCTCCTGCTGCAGACGGCAACAGTGCTGTTCATCCCAGTAGCCGCCAATGTCACTCATTGGTCTGTACCAAGCTGTTGAACCAGACGCCGGCCAGGACCTCAAGGCATTTCAATACGTAAAAATCGAGTCTCCCTTCAATTACAGCAACCCCCCCCCCCCGGCTCGCCGGTCCCCCCACCAGGGATTTGCAGGATAGTCTGCCCTGGGTCTTGGGAGAACGACACATGCGTGCAACTCTGCGGCGTGCGCCGAGAACTGTACGGCCGTCAAGGGTTGGTCGGTTCCGGACGTCTGGCGGACACCTCTTCGCGAGGGGTCCCGTCAGATTGGTCAGTCGGTGTCCAGCATCTTTGCCATCCAATGGCGGAGCCAGGTCAACACATCAGACTCGTTGGGGAGCTGGGATGATATCTCAAGTCGGGCTACTACCAGATTGGCATGTTGGTCCTGGACCCAACTATCCAACTGATCGACTGGCTCATTGTCGATGCCAAGAATGGAGGCGTCGGGTTTCGTAATAATAAGGTTCCGATGCTCGTCCATGAATACGGCAGCACCTGGATCGAGGACATCCTCTTCGTCGAGCCAGAGACTCATTGTGCGGAACTGAACTTCACCTTCGTCTACCATCTCTCGCAGATCAGCACCTTGAGACCCCGGCCTGTCAACTCCGGAAGACGATAACGGACAGGGTCCTCTCGATTTGACAGAGAGGACGTACAAGGCGGCCTGGGCCAGCAAGTTCTTTACTCTGGCTCTCTTCAATGCCACCAGCTCTGATTCGACAAACATAGCGCCCCCTTGACGTGACTCCTGGCACAGCGTTCGTGCGTCCCTCCTTCTATGACCCAAACAGCAGTATTTGCTCCAATGCTACCGACTCAGACACCAATATCTCTACAAGTAGCAAGAACTTCATGATCGATTGTCAAGCCATCAGGCCCACCTTGACTTCGGAGGCTATCTGCCGCTGCCGGTGGACTCGAAATCCTGTAACCGGTCGTCCAGTGAGAACCCATTCTACGTCAACTTGAAACATCTCAATACTATCTGTACGCCTCCCCTCTTCCTTCCCCGTCCACACCATATCTGTGCTAAGTAGGTGCCGTTGTACTCGCAACACAGCCGAGGTCTGCGCTGGTGGCACCTATTCCGATGTTGCTAACATCAACAGCAGCATAGTCTGATGCGGCCTCCGTTATGAAGCCGTGTACAGCACCGATAGAGGAGACGAGATGAGCCGCAATCCGGGTCACGCTGGGCCGTCTCTGTTTACAACTGTGCTTCTTCCATCCGCGCCACGATCCGCACCGTTGCCTTCCAGTACAACGGAACCGGCCTCGCCGACTTCAAAGTCACTTCCGCCTCACAAAAGACTTACCCCTCCCCATCGGACCACCCCGTCTGGGTCGTCAGACATGGACACCTCCCCCTCGGCTTCGCCCAACCCCTGTGGGGCCTGCTTGGCTACTCCGACGTCACCACCCCCCAGTCCTTCTCTGCAAACATGTCCACCATACAGTAACCCAGTCCCGCTTGCCAGGGATAGTGAACCACAACACCGTCACGGACGGCATCGACTACATCTCGTCCAAGATGGCCAAAAGCTGCCCGGGGTTGACTTCTACGTCAAGGCGCTGCAAAACACCTTCACCGTCCGCCGCGGGGGCGACGTCGGGTACGAGAGCTACCCCGGTTACTCAGGCCTGACGGGGCTGGCTTTGTACCATAATTGGCAGAACCTGAGCGCGACTACGGACGGAGCGGTCTAAATCATCAACTTGATCTGGACGGATATCGTGGACAACTCGATGGTGGGCACCAAGGGGTGGGATTTGGGTGATCCTGCTGCGGACGGCGGCATCAGGAGGAGGGATGGAGGGTGAGAGACATCACTGTACTTGCGCCGGCACAGCATTGCTGATACTTGTCCGGGTTGAAACAGCCGACGCTATTGCAGATGATGTATCCTTCACCGAAGCATTGAGAGCAAGAGCTGAGGGAATTGCACTCCTCATCCTGCCGAGTAAGAAGCCCAGACACGGTCACACGGGCGTGAATCCAATGCCAGCCGTGCTGCGCTGGCCACAGCGAAGGCGAGCAACGTCAAAAGCTACGTTGACTTATGTTGTGAGGTTGCCTGTAGCGCGGAAATAAGATGGGGGTTAAAACGCAGCTGGAAACATTCCAGTTTCTGCAAAACCCAGGACAATGTAATGTAATATGGCACATAAGATCAGACATAAATTCCTGAACTTAGGATTCACGCCTCTAGGGTCCAGGGCTGGGCAAGGGCCGACCACAATATTGAAGAAACATGACAGGAAAACAAACTGAATTAAAGAAGGGAAAAAAGGCCCTTAAGAGTAGTAGAACGAGAATGGATAAACAAAAATTCAGATTTCAGTTCCAGACAGCGTAGTCTTAGGTAGAACTTGTAAATCGCTTGGATGGTGTGTACGGACGACGTGATCGAACTTGGGAATCATGTCTTTGAGGGTCCCGATCAACAAGACAACCCTAAACTGGAGGTAGGTACTGTAGTTACTCGTGGGGGCTCCAAAATCAGCCGTCAAGGGGGCACGCACGACACTTGATTCAACGCACGCCAAGTGATATGGCTTATAAAAACTGCTACAGATTGGTAACACTCTACTGTTAATGCAAAGCCCGCCTTCCCTCGTCGCTGTTCAGCTTACATGCATCTCGTAGCGGCTTACGTATGTACATACACACACTGACTACGAGTCTCACCACTTAGATAACTACATAATGCTAGTTATAGTTATGGTGTTTAAAAAAAGGTGTAACCCCTTGAAATAAATTCCCTTCTCTTTACATTATTTGAATTGACCTCTAAAAAGGTGATAAAACTTTACCCTCAAATGCTGTAGATGCAAGTGATTAATTATGCTGTTGACAACGTGCGCTGGGAAATTGTCTGGTGGCCCTATCTCTTAGCATGCGTTGAATCAACTGTCGTGCATTGAATCAACTGTCGTGCATTGAATCAACCTGCCCCACTAGGCCCCTTGGCGGCTAGTGGGATCGGCGATTTGGAACCCCGAGGAGTAGTTTGCTCTTCTATGTAAGCCTAGCTTACATCTTTCCATGGTGGTACGCTCTAGCCTTTTTTTTCGGCTTGAGCTGCTTCTTTCCTTTCTCATTTGCCACTTGCCTAGGTTCTTTCTCAGGTTTTGATTCTGCTTTCCTTCTTTCCCTCCCCGGCGAGTGCCGCGAGATAAACAATTCAGGCCTCATTGAACGCACAAATCAGGAGTGATCAGGAACACTTGTCTGGACTTGGATGAATCAGCAGTGGCCAAATCCATCGGGCGAAATGACATCCACCATTTTGCATGCGAATATGCCTTGGATCCAATGGTCACACGCCCTTTTTTGCAAGGCTACGAGAGGCTGTATCCGTCAAGGTGCTGCGGTGTGTTCCCATGATCGGCCACGAGGACGTGTGTTTCATGGACCATGTTGGAGCTAGCTCAGTTAGGCTGCAGGTACGAAGGACCACCGCCGTCGGCCGGGCTTCGTCCATTCATATAGATTGAAATACCTGTGATTCAACAAGAAGGCTGGTTTCCAATCTCTGCTCCGAAATGCCGACACCCAATCATGTGGCGTTCCCCCCATCGACTTGCGTTTGGCAGGCAACGAAACTGGGTGGCAACCCCCCGCATCCATTTCTTTCCTGCTCAACATGAGATTAAACAACAATGCCACAGCGGCGAGCAATCAAGGCCAGCCTGCCCATGAATGAACTAAAGAGGGCTGTGCTCAACACCCTTCGGACCGGCGTTATAAAGTCACAGTGACTGCCCACCATCGCGACGCTTTTGTTCAAGAGCCAGGTCGTGCATCAGCCTCCTGCAGCAGCGCTCCAGTCTACACAGGCCAGAAATCGACGAGTTGAACGAACAAGGTCGCCTTGGATCTTTTGAGGGCAGGCTCACCCAAACGGTCATCTTCAAAGCCGAGGCATGCGAGGCTGATGTCCCAAGGTCGCTATTTGCGCAAGGCAAAAGGTAAGAAGTGCGCGCACCTTGCTTGCAGGGCTCCTCTGACTAAGGTAGTTAGATACCTGAGGTACAGGTGCTAAGCCTGCCTCGACACCATGTGTCAGAGAATGTACCCAAGAGTTATTTTCAGCTGTCGCCATGAGGTTGAGCAGTTGCCATACATTGTCAGATGCCGGGAGGCTGGGCGTGCAGATTCCGACTGTGACAAGCCCAGGGACAACTACAGCTTGGGCGTCTCATCCAAGAAGGGCACATGTCCCGATTGCGAGGCCCAGGGTCACTGCGCTGTTCGGTGTCGGATTACACACAGCTCTTCAATCCGTCATCGCCATATGCTCCTGTCTTCGCTGGCATGGTGACGGTGTTCATCTCAGCCTTTCCTTGGCTGGGACTGCTGGTTCATGCCATTTGGAAATATGGAATCGGACTAGAAGCATGCAGCCATGGAATGTCCCGGTCCGCCGGCTCCCGCAGATCATGATACTGTTCCCTCGCTCTTGAAGAGCCCGGAGGAACATGTAACCCGCCCAAGTCTTGTCTCCAAATACTCCGCCCGTTTCGACAACGTCTTTCTCGCTCACGCCACTCCGGCAAAGGAGTCAGAAACATTCCAGGCAGACCCGGACATCGAGACCAAGAGACTGTTAACGAACTTTTGATGAAGAGTCGGAACCAAATACAGCCAGGTGACCGTGGGTGGATGTGGATTCAGTTTTATGGCGGTCTTGAACGGGATCTTTCGTGGGCAGCTTCAAGTTGGACGTCCTGTTTACCGAAGACGGAGCTCAGCAGCTCGACTTGAACAGGACGAATTGGACAACCAAGATGCTGTGGAAACACATGTGCTCCAGTGCTGAGAGTTGAATGTGAAGAATTCTTTAGTAATTAGAAGTGGAGTAAGTAAGGTACCTTGCTGTACAGTGGGTATGATTCAGGGGTGGCAAGCAGTGTGAACGATAAACAGGGGACTACTAACTAGTCCTGAACCTGAACCTTTTCCGACACACACGCAAGTGTGTTTTCTCTTACCGAGATACCACTGCCATGCTCAAGATCAGACAGTTTAGGTAGTCTAGAATTCCTCATTCGAAAATGAGAACTCGCCACAGCAAGAGATTCTTACCTTATTAATAGTGACCACCGGTAACCAAGATACGTCAACCTTAGGACAGCCTCTTTCCTCAGAAGCTCGAAATGGGATAGAAACTCACGTTTTGCTGTGGTGTTGGTCGCACTTTCCGGATGGCGACACGAGGTGGGACATGCAGCTTCATCGACCGAGTCTGCAACAAAAGCTGCGGGTTGATGGACCGATGATCGATCCCCGTCTCTCACAAAGCCCGACTTGCGCCTACACATGTCCTCTTGTTTGGCACCTACTTAAAAAGGAGGACAACCCGGAGGGGGTATGTGGGCGACAGCGACCCGAACGGGGCTGCAAACCGATGAAACGGGCCCCGTATTCCCAGATACACGGGTTGCGCCATCCTGTCAGGTCAGTATTGGGAAGGCGGGATGGTGTAATATTCCGTCGACATGATGCCGTACCCCCCCGTTCCCGGGATCAGGCTGATCAGCCGGGAGGGGAGGGAAAACGCTCAATAGATACGAGCACGTCGAGCAGCCAGGATCAGGAAGCCCACGTGTGTGTTGCCACGCGTCAGGAATTTGGCAAAGTTCTGTCTGTACTGTGAAGTATCCCCACCTCCGGTTTTGTGCCAATGTTGGTTTCATTTGCTCGTGATGATAAGCTTTCGGGCACCGAGAACTGCCGCAACAGAGTGTGACCTTGTTGAGCAAAACTGCCGCATTAGGAAGGTGTCTCTACATCGACAGTCCAAGACCCCGTACAATACCCATTCGCGAATCGTAGTTGGCGCTGCACGGTAACACAAATTTTGGACCAGATTGCACCACTGTGGGTTGCCACAATCAAAGCCAATGCCGGTGGCGGGAGCGCGGGACCGAGAAGGGCCCCTGAGGGAAGGCATTGAAGGTTTAGCGTTTATGAAAATCCTTATATAGCGCAGCTAGAGACATGGTGCCCTAGAACCATGGCTCGATGGCGCCCGAGAGCGCAATTCCCGACCCGCAACCTTCAACTTAGCTGAGTAGCCAGGACAGCTCCAAAACATGGCCGTCCCTGACACGGCAGTCTTCCAGGTCCCGGCCCGTGAGGAGCCCGAGACAGTCACTTAGAAAGTGGCTTTCTCAGATGAAAAAGCGAAAAAAGGAAAAGAAGGCGCACCAGATTCCCCGGGAATCCAGGCCGTTCCTCCTGCCTACGATGGGGACAACAGCAGCCAGGGCAAGGACGAGAGCAGCGAAGATACCATCATCATCACAGGTGCCGATGCTGCCTTGCATCTGCTGCCGCTGTGAGACGATGGCGAGCCTGCCTTGACCTTTCGCGGCATCTTTCTCGCCACCGTTCTATCAGCCTTTCAGGCCGTCATGTTCCAGATCTACTACGTAAGGTAAGTTGGCATTCGACATCTTGATCGTTGTCTACTGACTCTTGCTTACTTGCGCAGCTCAAACCGACCCAAATCACCATCCAGGGGACTTTCATCGTCCTCATCGCCATACTTCCTCGGCAAGGGATGGACGGCTTTGTTTCCCCGCGGTGACAAGTTGGCCGCCCGATGGAGGGAGCGAGGCGGCCAAGGCAAGTTGCCCTTGCTGATTTCGATCGCCAATCTCATCAACCCCGGCCCGTGGAATCTCAAAGAGCATGCCATCTGCGCCATCACGGCCACGTCGGCATCCAACGCGGCCGCCAGCGTCGCCGTTTTCGCCGCACAGGACCCCTTTTACGACCTGCCCATCAGCGCTACTACAGTCATCCTGACGCTCATTTCGATCGGACTGTTTGGCTACGGTATCTGCGGAATGATGCGTCCTTTTGCTGTCTGGCACGTCGATGTTGTCTATTGGAGCTGTCTCCCAACCGTCAAGACGCTCCAGGGCCTCCACTGGCAGGACCTCAAGGGCTCCAAGCCCCTTCGCTGGTTCTGGTATAGCTTTGTCGGCATGTTCTTCTACGAGTTTCTGCCTGCCTATATCTGGCCGTGGCTCAACGCCGTTTCGATTCCCTGTCTTGCTGCGATGCGCGCCACGGGCGAGAAGGCGGCCGTCCTTACCAACCTTTTTGGCGGCTCAGTGAACAACGAGGGCTTGGGAATCCTTAGTCTGTCTTTCGACTGGCAATACGTAAGAACCATGCCGTCTCGAAGTCGAAGCCGACACTGACTGTTTACTGCAGATCACGTCGTTCAACACCTCGCTGCCCCTGCCATTGCAAGCTCATTCGGCGCTTGGATATCTCGTCTGCTTTGCCGCAATGCTCGGCATTTACTACACCAATGCCTGGGATGCCAAGTCGCAGCCCTTTATGTCAACAAGGCTTCGAAAGGAGGACGGCACTGCATACCCCGTAGCCGAGGTCTTCACTGGCGGCATCCTCAACGTGGAGGCCCTTCAGAAATATGGCATCCCCCGCCTCACGGGAAGCTTTGCATACGCCATGTTTATGGCCAACGCAGCGGTATATGCTCCCCCAGTTTCTTTGCGAGGTTTTGCTTTCTGACCGCCTGGCTTCTAGATCGGAGCTCTCGTTGCACACTGCGTGCTCTTCTGGGGCGGAGACGTCGTCAGAGCATACAAAGCCGCGAGGAATGGGCGACACGACGATCGCCATCACGCGCAAATGATGAAGCATTACAAGGAGGCGCCGTGGTGGTGGTATATTGCTATATTAGTCCTCAGTTTCGTCCTCGGTCTTATTGTCGTCACCACGCAGCATATTACCCTGTCCGCCTGGGCCTACGTCGTCTCACTGCTGCTCGGAATGTTCATCGCACCCTTCGTAAGTCTTCTTAAACCCTGATGCTCATGGCTAAAGCCAGGCCACTGAATCTGCAGAGCACGCTGCTCTACTCCCGCTACGGGAACGGGATTGCTACGAATAACCTGTCAAAGATGCTGGCCGGTCTCATCCTCCCTGAGCGCCCCATCGGCAATATGTATTTCGCTGCCTGGTCACACAACGTCATTGCCAACGCCGTCAACCTGTGCAGTGACTTGAAGATGGGCGAATACCGTAAGTCACTCTTGTGAGATTTCCTCGCGGCTGAACACGCAGAGCCTGACCGGACGAAAAACAACAGTCAAGATACCGCCTCGAGTCATGTTCCTCACCCAGGTCTATGGTACCATCTTGGGCGGCTTCATCAACTACGGCGTCATGGTGTCCATTGTACGCGGCAACCGTGATCTGCTCGCGCACAGCGACAGCAACAGCGCATGGAGTGGCGCTACCATCCAGTCATACAACACCAACGCAATCTCTTGGGCGCTGGCCAAGTACCTCTACAAAACGGGCGCAAAGTACGAGATGGTGCCTATTGGCCTGGCCATCGGAACTGGCATCGTTGCCATCCACCGCCTCATTGCATACGTGAGCTTACCCGGGGCCCCAATCTCCCTCCTCTTTTCCACGTCAAATCATCCTCTTCCAGTTATCTCGGAACTAACCCTCTACCTATCTCTTCCTCGCAGTTCCTTCCCCGAATCCGCAACTTCTCCCTCTATGACATCAACCTGCCCCAGTTCATCCAGTACGCGGGCTACATCCCCTACAACGCCTCGCAGACCTGCGTCATCCTGTCCCAGGTCCTCAGCGGTTTCTTCGTGCAGTTCTACCTCCGCAACTACCGCCCGCGCATCTTCAGGGACTACTCGTATCTCATCACGGGCGCCTTTGACGGCGCTAGTCTTACCGCCCTGTTCATTCTGTCCTTTGCCGTGTTTGGGGCCGGCGGCCCGTCGGTGCCGTTCCCCAAGTGGTGGGGGAATAATTCGGATGGGTATTACGATCTCTGTCCCGTGCCCGAGTAGTAGCTTGGGGCTCAGGGGTTCTCAGAGATGCCTGCAAGAAGAAAACAACGAGACAAGTGTCATCACTTTGCTTGGGCCACGCACCAGGCGGCATCTTGCAAGATGTCTGATGGGCAGGCGGTGGCACTGGACATGCCTGACAGGCAAGTTCTCCGCGGATATATCCTGTAGTTACATCCAGAGGTACCGCAGGGCTGAGGATTCTTGCTGCTGAATGCCATCAGACCATGAACTTGAACTTGTCCTTTCTGTGGTCCTGTCGTCCACAGCGCACTTCTGAAGCTGGTTGTAACCGAGATGAAGATAACAAGACAGCACAATGAAAATCGAACATGATATGCTTGCAGATAACTTACATGTATCTTTGATTCTGAGACTGGGAGTGCCGACGAGCAAGGTCTCGGGGAGAATCTCAATTGTTTTACCAACTTCAAAGTACTATCGTACATTCGAGCCGCAGAATAGGAAAACATCATCCGTAAGTAATCACACACTGTCCTTTTGCTCAGAGATTGGACCTTTTGCAGGTATGGTACCTTAGTTTTGTTTGCTGAAAACGGGTTGCTGCCCGGCCAACGGCATCTTGGCATGCACGTTGGCACTCATCTCACAACTTCAACCCCTCACAGTGGCAATCTTTCGTTCACTGCCTAATTAACGTTAGCTCTTCCATTGATTTCGGTTATCCAACATCAACAGAGCAATCCTCTTGCTACGAAGCTGTATTTCACAGAGTTCAGAAGTAAGAGCATTAGAGAAACCAGGAACACAACACAACCTCCAAAAATGGCCTGGACTGCGGACAAAGTCCCGCTCCCCGAGCTCGTCGAGGCTCCAGAAGACATCGGCCAGAAAGCGCGGCAGCTCGCCGGCATGATAAGGAAGAGCGAGCACTTCATCGTGTTTACTGGAGCGGGTATCTCTACCTCGGCCGGCATTCCGGACTTCCGAGGCCCAGAAGGAGCATGGACTCTGCAGGCCCAAGGGAGGCAGCGAACCACAGCCGCCGTCAGCACCCTGCAAGCCATTCCAACCACCACGCATATGGCCATCGTCGAGTTGCAGAACCAAGGCCTAATGAAGTACCTCGTCAGCCAAAACTGCGATGGGCTGCACCGGAGGAGTGGCGTCTTGCCTGTGGGACTGCCCTGAATCTACTGCTCTCCCCTAAATCCCCAATTCCCTGACGGCGGTTTAGGACAAAATATCCGAACTGCATGGCAACAACAACCGTGAAGTTTGCAAGAATTGCGGCAAGGAGTACATCCGTGGTCAGTCCACCGCCCCGTTCCCTCCCGCCCATCCAGATACCTTAACTCCAGTTGTAACCCCCCAGACTTCCGCGCCGTAGCTGATTATACCACCTCGGTACACGACCACCGCACGGGGCGCAAGTGCACGCGCTGCGGCGGCGTCCTCCACGACACCATCATCAACTTCAGCGAGCCGCTGCCCGCGCGGGAGCTCGCGCTCGCGCTCGAGCACGCCCGCAAAGCCGACCTGTGTCTGGTCCTGGGCTCGTCGCTGACCGTGGCGCCCGCCAACGAGGTACCCGAGGCGGTCGGCAAGCGACGCCAGCGCGGCGGCGGCGGCGGCGCGAAGCTGGTCATCTGTAACCTGCAGGCCACGCCGCTGGACACCATGGCGGATTTGAGGGTGCATGCCAAGACGGACGAGCTGATGGTGCGGGTGATGCGAGAGTTAGAATTGGAAATCCCGGCGTTTTCGTTGGAGAGGAGGTTGGCTGTAACGGTGGAGGGGTTGGACAGGAAGATGAAACTGAGCGTGGAGGGAGTTGACGTGGATGGGACGCCTGTTTCGTTTCTGAAGTCGGTCCGGTTGGTGGGGAGCCGTCGGGCATTGAAGTCGGAGCCGTTCGTGTTCCCGTTACGGGGTGATGCTGCTGACGGTGAACTGGAGTGGAAGATGGAGCTCGAGTTCATGGGGCATTACGGGGAGCCCAACCTGGAGCTAGTCCATAGTATCCGGGAGGAGGAGATGGGGATTCAGGCGGTGTATCTTCTGCATTACAACCCCTACAATGGGGAGTGGAAGACGAAAAGGCTATAGGTCATACCTGCAGTATAGCCCTTGAGTGATTGTTACAGTAGTGCGAAACCAGGGACAGGGGTCCCTACCACTTGATTGCAATGTCTTCCATTTCAACAACCACCAACTAATTCTGACCAAAGGAAATCGAGAATTGAGGAAAGCTCACAATTATCTCTCAGTCAAGCCAGTTTTTTTCTTCGTCAAAATAGGTCGTTTGGGCGATTATCTGGACGTTTTGGCGGACCCTGGTCGTCAAAGGTCAGACAGAGGTTAACAATCATTCCAGAGGGTGACTGTACAGCAGTCGAGTGTACTCGTGCATCGCACAAGCTGCTGCTTGTAAGAAAGTGGTTTTCGGCGTACGCTGGCTATTCCCTCATTATTGGAATATGTCTTATGAGGATGGAAACGGTACTAGGTACCTTAGCTATGTTGCAGAGAGGCAACTTGGACTAGGATGATACTTTGATAAAACCTTAAAACAAAAGTGATTATAAGATGATAGTTATACGTATTAGACCATACAAACTAACAGTTTCCAATTCATCACCCTGACAGGCCATTCAAGTTCGAGCTGCTGATACCAAAAAACCTCGAAGTGGATCATATTCTGCTTCTTCATCTGCGAGGTTATCGACACGTCGATCAGCTGTCGGCAGCCAGGCCTGCTGGTTTTGATTCAAAAAGTGCTACTTCAATATCCTTTTCATATACTATTGTGTCCTGACTTTGCAACAAAGAACGAGCCATACCAGGTACCTTAGGCAAACTTACTTCTTCTCACCCAGTTTTCCGCTGTCCACACAGCCATGCTCCGCTCACGGTCTGGCTGGCATACTATCGATGACAGGTAATCACTGGCCGGGTGAGTAAGCTTGTTCTTCGAGCACCTGGCTGCTGCGGATGGTCTGGTAGTGCCTGATAAAGGCGCCGGCTTCACCAGTAAGGATGTTGTTCTTCAAGTTGCTCCTGCATACTTTAGGCCTCTTATTCCAGCAGCTAACAACCCGACTACAGCATTCAACTATCGGTGCTCCCAAGGACGTCATACTTTGCGCTTAATAGGAGACAGGGCGCAATTGAATTCAGTCCCTGGGCTGTACACATCACAGGTTTTTGTCTGAACCGCACAGAGAGGACATTTATATCGTTGAGAGTATCCCAACTTTGGGTATGTATACCTCCTTCAAAATCTTCGCTGCCCGCTGCTGGTCTTTACTTTACTTCCTTTCCTCTGTCACTTCCAGTGATTTGACTTACAACACCTTTCTTCGGTCACCGCACAGACACACCATCGTGGACAATGGATCGCCCTGTCTCTACTCATCTTGAGACGCCCATGGAGGGCTGCATCGTCGTCAAGACCTGCATTAGCGACAGTGATGGGGAGAGCGACATTACCGAAGATATTCTTAGCGGCGGTGTTAACTTAGAGATTGTACGTAGGCACTTCTTGTTCCTGACCTGCCGCAAGTTTGGTCCACAAACACCATGTATGACTTCGTTGCCTGCACTGACTCTTGTTTTAGGCAGCGGCCCCGGCTTTGACGGGCCCCAGGACGCCTACACGACTCCGAAAAAGGTCGGGTGCGCGGGGCGTCGGGCGCAGCGAGCGACATGAGCGGCTCGGCCTTCAGTTCCCTGAACGCCAAAACGTCTCGATTTACTCCGCGGATGTTCATGCGCCAAGGGCAAGAGCCCCGGCAACAAGCATAGGGCCGAGGAGTTTAGAAGCGACAGGAAGCGAATCTCGTCCCGATCTCGCGGTGCTCAATGCGGAACACTCGGTCCGACTATCCCGAGTTGCGATGCAGCCTACCGTCTCAGCAGGAGAAGCCAGACACGCGACGAAAACGGTCAACACTGTTAGGACAATGCATGCCGGAGCTCAGCAGGATGTTGCGGCATTTGGCCCAGGAAGGACTCGGAGGGGAAGGATCAAATTCGTCAGAGCTGGGCTGGCAGCCGCCGGGCGCAACCCCGAGTCCGGACACGCCGAAGGACCGGACATCGCCAGATTCTACCAGGAAAGGGCTGTGATGGAAACACAGATCCGGTCCAAGGATGCCTTGATCCAAAGGCAGGCCGCATATATTGAAAAACTCCAGGAGGTTAGGGATCGGGTCGAGAAGCAACTGGCGGCGGCGAGCGAGAGGACGGTAAGACACACCAAGCGAAGCAGGAGGCAGGGAGCTCGAATCAGGAACAGTTATGACGAATCCCTCGTCATATTAGACCAGTCCCCCGTCATAGTACGTGGAGCAAGTCAGGATTTTGATGTCTCAACTCGGCCGACATAGACATTGGAACAATGTGAGAGGCATCCAAGTTGCTTCTGACCGCTTAGGCGCCCCGGCAAAATGTAATGTTGTTCATCAAAGGGACGTTGTTGTTCATCAAAGGCATGGGCAATTGCATATCTTCCACGCTCGGACGCTGCAGCCTCGCTACACTAGAGATCGTCAGACGAGGTCTGCACGAACCACTTCGCACCCAGTAAGAACATACTTTTGTCAGCGGGTTTCGGTAAATTTAAACGACCCGATTCGGGCATCAATGGGTAAAAGTCGTAATCTGGCGCCTCATCAGGGTCCTGAGGCAGGGCAGAGTGCCGCAGCGTTCAAGCCTTTGCAGTCGCTATGACAAACAGATTCTGCGACAAAATGTGTTGGGGACGGCATTTGAACTATTACGGGTGCCTTCGTACGGAGGTACGTGTAACTGGGCTTCGGACGAGAACGCTGATTGTGCCTCGACAGATCCATTACTCCCCTTTCCATTGGTGGTGTTCGCGCTCTCTTTGCAGCTTCGCATCAGCTTTGGTCCGAAGCCCCGCCCTGCACCAACGGCTGTTCCAACGTCGGGTGTCACCGGCAGCGGTACCTGAATACCCCATCTCCCCCACCCCACCTGCCAGGCCACGGATGGCTGACAGAGACGACGCCTCTGATTGGTTGGGGAACTCCGGGATTCGCCGAGCCTCATTGCTGCATGGCCGCCTTCCACATCCATCTCTCCGACTTCAGAGAACCAGATCTTGCCGGCACTCGATACATCAAATCTCAACTTGCCCACCACTCATGGTCATGGTATTGTGATCCTCGACGAGAAGAACATCGAGTTCCTGGCTTCACCTACAGCCCGTCCATCCTATTTCGACGCTCTCTTGGCCTGTGCGATATCTCTCACGAAAGAACCGAGAAGAGGATTTTCTGATTCCCCAAAACGCTCCCTGAACAAGCCGCAAATCCTCGCACTAAGGCCGCAAAGCGCAGGCGGTATCTCGACCATCCTATTGCACCTGAACCTCCTCGCAACTGCATCGACTTCTGAATTTCTCGCTCCCGTGCGAGCGACCCTAACACAACATAAAATGTCCACTCAACGGCCGTTCTTCCTCTCAACATTCTTCGCCGCATTTCGGCATCAAACGCCAGCGTCCTTGTCGAGCCCGGGCGCATCAACCCAGCAGCCCAACAAACACGCCACACAAGGATCAAACCCAACGCAACAGACATCAGGATCGACGCCACTGTCCATATCATCGACGGCGGCTGCGGCAGCGACCACGTCGGCGACGTCTCCGCCGTCGCGATCAGGAGGCGTCATGAGCCAGCTACCGCTACACTCCCCACGACATCATCACCACCACCATCACCACCACAGCGGCGGCATCCCGATACCCCAGCCGCAGGGCGGCCGAGATATTGGCCACGGCCGGAGGAGGGGGAGCGATAGCAGCAGCGAAGGGTTCAGGGATGCGCTCGGGGCGGAGAAGCTGTACATTGGCGGGCGGACCGCAACTGGGGAAGAGAGGTTTTTTAAGCTTGGTGTTGTGAGGAGGGTGAGGAGTGGAGATAGATTAAGCCTAGACCGGTTGAGTCTGTGAGGCACTGCATCAATATGGGAACTTGGTTGACGACTGCAGAGAATACAGGACTGCCCGGGGGTGGTCTCTCAGACAACGAATGACGACAATGTATGTTTGAGATTGAACGGGTATGGAAGGGTTCAACGGGCGTTTCTGGGGTTGGCGTCAGGCGGCGGGTTTGGCATGATCATGGACACGTAACAATACATAACATGTTTGGGCTCGAACGGGTTGGGCTGGAAAAAGAGTTTTGCATTACATATCACTTAGATATGCCCGACGAAAGTACACGTACATACAAAGCGGTCTCACAGCCTCCTCGTCTCCTATCGACCATGCGCAACCGTCGGACCAACACTTTCTCTACCACGTTCCAAGACCGCCAATGAATACGAATGTAACCGGCTACGGAGTAGCGACACACGAATAACGACGAAGTAAGAAGAGGGAAAGCCCACCATCCCGCAGAAACGCATCCCCGTGATCCTTCACCATTCGGAGTCTACCACATAAATCTCTGCACCCGGCCCCCATCAAGCAACCTCCCCTCCCCATCCCGCCAGTAAAAGGGCCTAGACAAAAACATGTACATCGTCCCAGCATTCAGCACTAAGAACCAACTTGTCTCCAGAACAAGCCGCACGTCGATTCTCCGCCCTACCTTCCACAGCCAGGCCGCCGCTGCCGGACTACGCCCTGCTCCGGAGGTAGCTGGTGTCGCATCTCCGATAGAGTCGCTAACTGACCATGAGGGTAGCAGCAGGCGGTAGAAGACCCAGGGGAGGATGAAATACCGTGGTTCGACCAAGGGTGCGGTGACGAGTGAGAGCGCGGTCGTGAGGAGCCAGAGGAGGGCGGTGGATGTTGGTGGAGAGGTGGAGGAAGCTGGGTCCTCGTCGAGGAAGGCCAGGGATCCGGCGGTTGTTGTTGCGGGGGCAACTGGGTGCTGGTTGGTGTCGTCGCGTACGGTTGGCGGTTTCGTTGTCGGTGCGGATGGTGTGGGTGGGTTGGTGGCATGGCTGGTCCCGGCGAGCTGGTCCCACATGAGCCAGCGGCAGAGGGTGTGGGCTGGCACGAGGGCCAGGCGGATGGTTGGGGAGCGCAGGATGGTGTAGCGGAAGATGTAGAACATGTAGTGTCTGTTGTCGGCCAGGGTGAATGGGTGAATGATAGTATTGTATTTGACAACGGCAAAGGAGACGAGCGTTGTGAAGAAGGTGTATGGGAGGGAGAAGAGGGCCGCTCGCCGGGTCTGGACCGAGAGCAGACGTCGGAGGCACCGGATAGGGCGGGTGAGTGCTGATATAAAGGATGGGATGAGGAGCGGCGCCGAGAAGAAGGCGAAGAGCGGCCAGACGTAAAGCATTTGGGCGAGATGGATAGTGGCGATATGGTTTGACTTGTCTCCTACTCTTCTGTCAGTTTTGGTTTGCAAGCCAAAAGATGGGACCAGACACACCCAGGACAACTCCCCCATTCCAAGCCACGAACCCGGCAAACAGCGCGAGGATGGTGATATGTGGCCATATTTGTCGGAGTATCCTACATGGGTTGCGCAGAGCGGCAACAGCAATGGTCAAAGCACAGAACAGCCAGTCTACTCGAGTCAGCAAAGTTCGGCATCCTGTCAAACCAAACGACGTACCCTCTAGGCCAGACTGGCGAAGAATCGGATCATGAACCTTCGCGAGGGACCCCTGAGCAGCCAGCTTTGCAGACCGCAGGACATGGACCGCTTCCAACCCGCCCATGTACACGACTACCCAGAAGACGTTGGTCTGGCGCATGAAGAGCGCGGAAACGCCCAAGATTACTGTCCAAAAGTCGTTGGCGGCACTAGGAGGTTGCGGTGCCAGGCGTAGAAGATGGTTCCGGTAGGCAGCGAGGACCACCACGGTCGAGACAACATCCGTGTAGTACAGCGCCGAGAAGAAGAAGATGACGGGAAACAAGGCAATGTTCACACCTGTATGGTATGAGTAGAATGAAAGGTTCCCTGAACCTTCCTTGCCCTCCCGCTCCGCAGTCCGATGCTCGATCAACTGGCGGCATTGCGATGCGAGCAAAGCAGTCACCAGGGTTGCGAGAAGGTTGTTGTGCCGTAGGCTGGAGGTAGTGCATTTCGCCAACATCAACAGCTTATGGTAAGCCACAGAGAGCAAGTATCTTGAGAGACAGATGTCAGTGACGGTAACAAGAGTAGAATCAGGAGTGTCTTTACAGGCCTGGCGGGGTGGTGATCTTGTCATCCCAGTCCCAGAATCGACCCTCGCAGTAGGCCTGGGCCTGGGGAATATGAAACACTTCATCCTGGCTAGCTGTTAGTATCCAGTCATGCTTCTGCAGCATGAGGATTGCTGACGAGATACGGTTCAGGAACATATGTGTTCACAAGTGCGAGCCAAGACCTCGCCGCCAAGAAGAGTGAGAAGAAGGAGCCGGCCTTGAATGCTTGTGCCCAGACTGTTGACGAGGGCGAGACCTGGGTTGGAGTCGATTTTGTGTACGTCCATGGCGCGAGAAAGTGACTGAGGACCAAGGCGACAGCAAGGCCTTTGACGACTTCAGCGGCTGTCAGTTCTTGGCGAATGGCCTGGATGCGCTCCATTGTACGGGGATAATTGGTGTTAATGTCAAACGTATAGGGGTCATAACATCTCGCTCCAATTTCATGCGGAAATGGTACTTTTTGTTTGGCAACGCAGCGTCGTCACCCCGCCGGGGTGTTCAATACCTTATCATATGCAAACTGGATAGGCTCCGGCGTAAGTACGACTCCAGGTGTCAACAACCTGAGGAAGGGTGTGAATTTTGAGAGGTCCGTGCGTCAATCATCACTGAAGAGACTCGAATTGGAAAAGGCTCAAAGACAGCGTATAGCCAGACCAACTTGGAGATACGCCGTCAGAACCCATCGTATTCTAAGCCGCGGAGCGGGATACGGAACGGTGTATAGATGGTTGTCTATAATGCTGTCTTTTTTACATGCTTGACGTATACCCAGGCTCCAGAGCCCGAAACCTAGCGCCAGCAATTACAGTCGTTTAAAGCAAGGCCATCAGAACGGCTAGAACAAGGGTCAGTAATTTAATCTTCGACCTGACTTTAAGCGAACTCACGTTGTCCGAGGCCGGAATCTTCTCCTTAATGAAGCGCTGGCCGATGATGGGAATTCTCTACAGTGGCGTCAGCAGATGTTTGCGATACCGCGCAAGTGGTCGAAACAACGTACCTGGAGAATGTCCTGCTGGATCCTAGGAATACCCGAGGCATAGAAGATGACGGTAAAGAGGGCGACACCGCCAAACAGGCCGGCCTTGACGCTGCTGTGGAAGGGGTCAGCCCGATTCAACAGCTCCCGGCCCCATACACCCCCGTCTCCCGTTCCATGACCGACAGGCTGCATGTGCCCACACCAGGCGCAACCTCGACCCTCTCGCTCTTTCTCCCAGCATGCGCCATGTGCCTCTCACGCGATGTAAAGGTCCGCCATTGCCCCAACTTTGCGCCTGGCCTCATCCGTGGACAGAAATTGTAGACTTACGTCCTCATGACAGTTTTCGGGGTGATCGTGCCGACATGGGTTTGGAAGTAGTACCTGAACTCTGTCAGTGCCATGCTCGAGATACCGGTTCCTCTCCAGCTGTAATCACGACCAAGTCGTCGCATATTCGTGCCGTCGGCCGGTCGTGGATTCGACTGAACTGGTGAGGTGTCTGTAGCAGAGCCTTACTTGGGGCCGTAGGGGCTCTTGTACGCGGGAACACGTGGTGTCCCGGGGACGGGCGGTGTCATATCGGAAGGAGACTGGAGTGGCCTCTGTTAGCAGGGTTTGTCTTCTAGACAATCGGCATTAGGAGCCAGTAAAAAAAGGATATGGATGGGCAGCAAATGTGGCTCGGAACATACGGCAAACATCTTGACTACCGCGGCAGTACGAGCGAGGTGCTGCTTCAACAATTGCGAAAGATCGAACGTGTGGAAAGGTTCATACGACGTTTCGTGCGAGTTCCGAGACGGACAAAGCCGGAGCGCAGAAGTGGCGGCCTGAGGCAAAAATGGGGTTCCAAGTGACCCACTGGTGTAACGTAATCTATACTCTGCTCAGCTACATACCTTGTCTGGCCACCCAAATTTGCCTATAAATGCCACTAAATTCAGAGGTATGTTATTAGTTTTATATTATGAACTAGTTATATTTTGAGACTTAGTGAGGTACTAACAGTGTATTAATAGGTGGCAATTGAACCTGAAATTGGTTGCCGAATTGGTATGTGGCCGAGCAGGGTATGGATTACGTTACCATGTCCCTGTCCCACAGTGGTATGTATTCCTTGGCATCTCCACGTTTAAACTTAGAGCTTTGTTACCCCAAGCTCAGCTCCAATCACATGCATGTGAGTGTGCGACCAGGCAAACCAAATATTTTTGCAACATCCAGCTCGGCAGTCCAAAGATCTACCAGTATCACAGGTACACTACCTGGTGCAAGAACAGGAGCGATCCAAAACGTATGCATTCAATATGGACAAAGACCTGTGCACGCCTATGGGCGAACTCCTGGATTGCCGCTTCGAGAGGCTCGAGAAAGCACTCAACGTCATGATTGACTCCTTGGCGAAGAACACACCGTCAGAGAAGCTTGCCGAGGAATTGGTGTCCGCCCAGGAGGATTTGAATGATGGCCTAAAGCTTTTAGAGAGGCACCAAAACAACTATGGGCGGATTCAACAATTGCGGCAAGAAACCTCCCTGCTCGACACCCAGATAAAGGACATCGCCAGTTCCCTCTGGAACATGCGTAAGGAGCTAAAAGCAGTACCAACAACCGCTCACCCAATGAACGGCCAGAGATACCGATTCACGACCGCCGAACTCCTTGCCTACGGGCGACGCATCAGTCGCAACACCCTCCCGCCCCCGGGCGTCACAAATGGTGTCGACATGAGCACGCCCGAGCCCTCTCAGACAACCCAAACCCCCTTCACGAGCTTCAACACAAGCTTCAATGGCACGGTCGGCACCCCGGGCCCGATGAGCGCAACACCCAACACCACCCTCGACACCCAAACAACATCCCAGCAATTAGCAGCAGCCAAGCCCAACACGACCGAGGCAAAACTGCCCCAGCACCTCAAACCGGCCGTCAACCCCCTCCACAACGCAGCCTTTCAGCCGTGGCCGACAGAAGCGCAGATCCGCTCCGGCGGGCTCGCCGCCATCCAGCGGCTCGTCGACGCGGGGATTGACCCGCGCGGCTACGACCCCGAAGAAGAGGAGCGGAAGAAGCAGGCCGAGGAACAAGCCAAAAAGGAAGCCGAGGAGCGGGCGCGTCAGGAGCGGGAGGCGGCCGAGCGGCGGATGCGCGAGGAGAGGGAGCGCATGGCGCGCGAGAGAGAGCGCGCGCGGCAGCAGATGGAGGGCGGCGCCGGGGCCGACAGGCGGGATAGCGTCGTCGGGGCGGGGCCGAGGGCGAGTAAGCCGAAGCAGTTTACCTTTTTGGGTGCGGATGACGATGATGATGAGGACGAGGATTAGGTACGCGGCGTCCAAGGTATTAACCTCGAGGGGGATGGGGGAGGAGACCCTTCTGGAGATAACGATATGGTCGATCAAAGTCCTCCGAGTGACCTAACAACAGGAAGGGAACCAAGCAGAGAAGGAACTGCTGAATCAAATTGGGTCGGCGATGGTCCGAGTGACCTGATAGTGGCAAGGGAACCAAGCGGAGAAGGCATTGCCGCAGCCACTGAGGTCGACGATGGTCAAGCTGAGAGAGAAGGAACTGACGACTCGGTGGACTTGCTTCGGCCTCCGCGTGAAGAGTACTCGCCTAGAGCCATCGACCTTCTTGCGGCTGGACAGCACCCTACTCGCCGCAGCGCGATAGGAAGGGAACAAAGCGGAGAGGGGGATGCTGCAACCGCAGAGGTCGACGGCGGCCACAATGTTGTAGATGGCGGCGTACTTCGGGATTCTCTCACGGCGCAGCTAGAGGTTCTCACGGCACGGCTGGATGCTTTTGCTGTAGACATTATGGCACGGTTGGATGCGGTTGCTGCAGTTCTTACCGCGCAACTGGATGCTCTTACGGCACGGCTGGACGCAACGCAGCTGGAGGCTCTCACGGCACGACTGGATGCTTTTGCTACAGTTTTTACCGCACGACTGGAAGCTCTTGCGGCCCGGCTAGATGCTCTTACGGCACGGCTGGACGCAGCGCAGCCCTGACGGAAATTGGGCAGATGCGTAAGGGACAGCGTTCATCATTTATCATCAACGTGATTTGGGATGCGGTATGCTCAGCGTCGGGGGAGGCAGTGATGCTATTGTCAATTAGAGGATGGCGAATACCGCGTTTGCGGATCAAGAATCATCGCGATTGGCAACGCCGAGGCACGGGGATGTCATTCTCAATGTTGCAACCCAGTCAGCTCGGCTGCCGTATAATGCTAATAACCAACCGACCAAGTTCCGTACTCCAGTCCATCCCTGATGGGGAAGTCTAAAATGAGTGTTTAGTGATACAAGTTGTGTCATTTTTCCCCAGTGCACCTTCTGGTGGGTGCACGATTCTAAACCGAGTCTGCTCGCCTGAAACATGGGCTTTCAAACAGCCATTCTTTTCCCTTCCGGTCCTACCTAGTCAATTTTTATGGAGGAGTAAATCTTGCGGACGAACAGCCAGCTGGCAAAGAAGCCGATCGATCCTGTGAAGCATGTCAGCTCAACTTCGAGTATGCCAGTCGGAGATGGTCGAACTCACCGGTCAAGATGAAGAACAAAAACGAAATGAGCGCGCTGTACCCAATGTACAGCACGCTCCCCGCAAACCCTCCCAACGACAACTTACTCACCCAGTAGATGAGCGCGTTTAGGAAGATATACCCGGCCGTGGTTCCCGCCGCCAGGAAAGAGCGCCACTGCCAGTTGTAGTTCTCGGCGCACAAAAGGAAGTACACCAGCAAGACAGTGACGGCGGCGCACGTCATGATCATGATGCCGTAGCAGATGAACAGGAAGCCAAACATGTAATAGATTTTGCTGAGCCAGATCGAGCCCATGATGAAGTACAGCTCGACAAAGATGGCGCCGAAGGGTAGCAGGCCGACGAGCAGCATGCTGGGCACCGGCTTCAGGTAGGTCGTCACGGGCGGAATCTGGCGCGGAATCTGGTTGGTGCGGACGGGCGGCTCGAGGGCCGGCGCGCGGAAGCCGAGCCAGGAGCCGGCGCAGGAGAGGGGAACACTGATGGTGAACCAGATGAGGACGATGACGAGCATGGTAGTGAACGGGACGGCGCCCGAAGACTGCTTCGCCCAGAGGAAGAGGTCGAGCAGGAAGAAGGTGGAGAAGACGATGCCCGGGACAAGCAGCGGGGTGAGGATGATGCAGAGCTTCCACTTCTCGCCCTGGAGCGACTTGTACATACGCGCCGAGGTGTAGCCGCCGACGAAGCCGAGAACGGTGTAGAGAAGGATCATGATGGTGCCAAGCGAGCCGCGGTTGGATGGCGAGAGGAAGCCAAGCAGCGCAAAAACAATAGTAAAGCCTGCCATGACGAAAAGTTGGGCGCCATTGCCGAGGAAGACGGAGAGAAGAAGGGGGTGCGAGGGGGTGCGGAACACGTCGCCGTGGACGAGTTTCCAGCCAGAGTCCTCCTGTACGCCGTCCTCCATCAACGCCGAGGTGCCAGAGAGATCCTCCAGGTTGAGTTGATCGAGCCTGTTGTAGCGGGCAATATCTTTCTTCAGGGCGCGGACCAGGATGGACATGACGGTCAGGACCAGAAAGACGACAATGACGGATGAGTTGATGAGCGAGAACCAGTGGATCTTAGGGTCGTAGACGTGCAGGTACTTGTCCCAACGCGTGGCCCAGGCAGTCGAGGATGGTTTCCAGTAGACACTGTAGGTGAATTGGACCTTGGTATCGCCCGACTCATCGAGAACCAAGGCGTCCATGTTCTCCTCTAAACAGGAGTGTTCGTCGACAGGACCCGTGTATTTCTTGGACTGCGGCAAAACAATGACACCCACGACTCGGTACTTCCCACTGCTCCCCGCGACCTCGTGGTATTCGATGTAAATGTCGTAGTGGTTGTTGAACTGAACTTGGCTGCCGTCGGCGGCCACCTGCCCCAGGAAAAAGCCGGTGTTATAGAACTCAGTTCCGGTGAACGAGTCCGGGATCCTCTGTCCGGCGGGAAGACCGTCTACCAGCCAGTTGAGGCTGATGCCAGACCGAATCTGCTGGTTCACAAACATGGCAGCCCCTTTCTGGTATGTTGTCTCGCACAGCTTTTTGCAGGTTTCGTCGTGCCCCATCTTGAGCTCAAACGGGGATGTTTTTATCCTGTCCCCGAACAGGATGCTGCCCAGGCTCGCGCCCACATCCTGAGGTCCCTCTGGCGGTTGGCAGAACTGGAAAAGCGGATGGTAGTAGTCGTAGGAGACGACCGAGTGAAGCATGGCGTCTGACCCTGCGACCGGGCGGATCGAGTTGACGTAGAGCGGGACTGGTTCCATTCCCTCGTACGTTGTTGGCGCGACACCGGGGAGATAGAAGGCCGATGCAAGCTGTGGTGCGACCAGCAGCGAGGCGAGCAGCGCCCCTGCGGGCGCGCGTTTCCTTAATTGCATGGTCGACTTCTGCGAAGGATGGATGGTCGATGGTACGGACTCGCGTCCACCGTTGCGTATCGAGAATTGATCTTCGCCTGAGCTCAAATTCAGGGGACTGTGAGCAGGCTTGGAGTAATCGTTACGGAGTACTGCGATTTGCAGGGTACGTTGTGTACTTTGCGCTTCAAACCGCAGCGATCCGCGCTGTAACGTTAATAAACAAAGAATGAATGATGCAGAAGCTGAAAAGTGGATATGAGCAAGGCGTTGGGGTTTCGAGAGTCTCTAGGGTGGGAGGATGTGGGCACAGCGTCGAACGGCACTTGCCAATTCCAAACCTGCAAGCTGTCGTCTTGTGATACGAGACGAATGCAGCTGCGAAGAGTCGAAGACAAAAGACAGTTAGCTGGCTCGTGCGGCTCTGAAATGGCCTGAATTGCGAATTGGGACGAAGCCCCACTGTACGCCAAGACTCACCAGATGGTCTTGGCGCCAGCCCTGCAGGAACTCCACAAAAATGTTGTTGCGGGTCGGTTCAGGAATTTCCTTCATTTTTCCACGATCTCAAGCTGCCTCGAATATCGCCGTCGAAATTCGCAGCCAGCAATGACAGCACCTGCGACTCTGCCGGCATTGCTGGATTCTTTGACAAAGTCACTTACGACAACTCTCGACATAGCGCCGAAGCTTGCCAATGTTGAACTTCCAAAAGACGGCATTTCGCTCCTCGACGTCAAAAACGAGCTGCTCCTCTCCTATCTCCAGAACCTTGTCTTTCTGATCCTTCTCAAGTTGCGTCAGGCTAAGAATGGGAAAACGGACAGCAGAGAGGACGACTTGAAGCTGGGTGATCTTGTTGTCTCAAAACTGGTTGAGTTGAGACTGTACCTGGAGAAGGGTGCTCGCCCCCTCGAAGACAAGCTTCGATTCCAGATCGACAAAGTCCTACGTGCAGCCGACGACGCCGAACGCAATGCCAAGGCGGCTGAAGAATTCGCAAAGTCCAACGGACATGGGTCTGGGTCCGAGTCTGCAAGTGAAGAAGACGATTCGGACGACGAGGACGGTGATCAAGATGACGCCGTTGACGGGCGAAAGATTGCCGATCTCCAACATCGCCCTAATTTCTCGGGGTGGCAACGGCCGGCTGCTGCTGCAAAGGCTGGAAAGGAGAAGGATGATACCTCGGGCGTCTACCGGCCACCAAGAATTGCACCCGTGGTGATGCCAACTACGGAGAGGGGCGAGAAGGGCGACCGCAGGGCGCTCAAGTCGGCCACCCTCGACGAGTTCGTTGCTGACGAGATGTCTACCGCGCCGATTGCCGAGCCCAGCATCGGTACGACGATTGTAAACTTCGGCCGCAAGATCAAGACAGTCACCGAGCGCCGCAAGGAGGACGAGCGTCGCGAGTACGAAGAGAGCAACTTCGTCCGTCTGCCCAAGGAGAGCAAGAAGGATCGCGCGAAGAGGGCCAGGCAGGAAGGACGCAGCAGCCGGATGACTTTTGGTGGCGAGGAGTGGCGGGATCTCAGTGAAGGCGTGGACAGGATCAGCCGCCTGACACAGAGCAAAAGCTCGGGCGGAGGAACCAAGGCCCTGTTGGAGAAGAGCCGCAAGAGAGGCATTGACACGCTGGAGGGCGGTCGCGGAAGTGGGGCGAACATGGGCGAGCGATACCAGAAGCGGCTGAAGGTGCTCGAAAGTGGTCGTCGCACACGCGGCAAGGGACGCTAGATTGCCAAACCCATGGGACTTAATCACCATTTGAGACTCAAACAGCCGCTCTCTATGGTCCCGAGTGCCGTCTTCGCCCCGCGCGCGAGGACATTCGGACTCGTCGATGGAGTTTCGTGCTATAGGCTTTTCCACCTCTCCTTCCTTCCCAGCAGGGCTAATTCTAAACCGCCCCGGTCGGCCTCCACTCACAAGCTCAGGCCGACGTCCTCACCGCTGTTCCGTTCAGCGCGCACGCCCAGTCCGTTGCGGATTCTGTCTTCTGCTGCTACCACATGCCTGGGCAGCATGAAGCCCAGGCCAAAGAAGACAAACAATGCCCACTTCCAGCGAAATGGGTTAAATGCCACGCAGAAAGCGAACCACCACACCAACTCGAGATAGGTGAAAAAGTCGAATGGCCCCACAGGAGAGGCCATCTTTAGCATCCTCGTCATGTCAATCCACCTTTTCATCCAAAAAGGGCTCGGTCGGGTTAGTGGATCAACCAGAAACATCAAAAGGATACGGGTGTAAATCCCGATGTGCCAGTTTCCACTACCACAATGTTAGCTGTGAATTTCCCATGTCGGAGATGCCCCGAGAAGTTCGGGAGAATGCGCAGTCTCAGGCACGATGGCTCCTGAGACAGCTATAAAGGCTTATTAACAGTCCACAAACAAAGAAGAGTGTTACTTACACAGTCCCAATGGCGTTCTTATAAGTGCTGTTGATACAAGAGATGGACGGGTGGTTGGGTGGGAATGTCTGGAGATACCAGTTCGGCGGGTCATACGGCTCGTCGAAGCAAGAATCCGGCAAGAAGTCCAGTTTCGGCCTCGCAAACCCCGTCGCCATGACCACCACATCACCCTCAATCTCGTCCTGCCGTCCCTGGCCACCGGCCGGAACCCCCTTTGCGCGGCGGTTGATCTTGACGCCCCTCTCGGTGAAACCCTCGATATCGCATCGAATCCACTCGGCCCTCTTCGACCTCAGCTTCTCCATGATGTCCGAATTCACCATTGGGGTGTCGGTAAAAATCCCCTTGTTCGCAGGCGCCAGGTCCTCGAGATCACGGTAAAACATCTTGCGCAGCAACAGCTCAGGAATCCAACTCAGGAAAGTCTCCTGCCCAAAAAGGTTCATCGCGAGCAGCATGTTCCAGATCGGATTCCGCGGAATGATCCATTTGTCGCTCCGCGCGAGGATGTAGATCTTTTTGGCGCCTTCTTCGTGCGCGAACTCGAGCGCTTCGACCGCGCTGGCTCCCCCGCCGATGATGATCATGGTCTTGTCCTTGGCCGAGCATGCGCCTGTTAGACGGCTGGAGTGATGGATCTCACCGCGAAACTTGTCCATGCCCGGCATGTGTGGGATCTTGGGTTCGCCGCAGGTGCCGATGGCCGAGATGATGCCGTCGAAGGTGCCCTGCGACGGGTCGTTGACGATCCAGAGGCCTCCCTTGTCGTGATAGACGTGGTCGACTTTGGTGTTGAAGCGGGTGCGCGACTCGAGGCCGTAGCGGTGCCACAGCTCGCGGACTTGGCTGAGAATCTGCTGGCGGTCTGGGTAGCCGCGCTCCCACTTGACGGACGGGTGGAAGCGGTACATGATGGAGTGAATTTGGAGCGATGAGGTGTTGTTGACGCGGCTCCAGATGCCACCCAGCTGGTCGGAATTACCGGCTTCGAAGATGGTCACGTCGAAGCCATGGCCGATGCAGTGTGCTGCGCTGGTGACTCCGGTGATGCCCGCGCCAATGACGGCGATCCTGGGACGGCCGAGGCGCGTGCTGGGTCCGGGAGGGTTCGGGGAGAGGAGCTTGTCGAGGAGCCATTGAACAATCTGGAAAAGGAAGAGGAAGGGGTGGGAGATTGAGTTGTAAACCCGCGATTGGGATTCCATGTCCGCGCTTTGCGTTTTTTGGAGTTCAAAATTCCCCATCTCTTGTCAAAGAAATCGTTGGGAAAGGAGAGTTTTGGTCTGCTTGATGTTCAAGATCTTAGATCTTGTCGGCCTGTCCCTGCCAAGCCTCGGTCGAGGTGGTGATTGTCAGCGTGACGTCACGTACATCGCATTGTGTGTCGTTCAGGTTGTGTTGCATGTGAAAGCCGTTCGGCTGCCCCATTTTGAAGCACCTTCATCATGTTTATCAGGTTCCAGTTGGCCTAAGGTACATCGCTGTAGTGACATGGGCTACTTTACTATACATCCATAAGTTGCAGACCAAGAGGATCACTCCGGCGGCGCCGGAGCAGTGGGATAAACAACGCCTGCTCATTCTTTGGTCATTCCGATGACAGTACAAACCTGGATAAAACACCAATGGACACAAGCAGAACCGGCGTCGGGCTATGGATATAACTCCGCCCTCTTGGACATACCCCCCCTACACTATCGAATTACATACAGCGCCGCCACCCCCGCTTCCCCCCCCCAAAACAACATCATAATCGGTGATAAGAAACGAGAGGGGGAAAAAGACAGAGGATGAAAACATATCGGGAAAGCTTCAACTTCAGATCAGAGGGATTAAAGAAAGCTTGATAAGAGGAAAATACTGTTGAAAAAGATGGGGAAATGAAAATGTGGAAAAAAGTACAAGGAGGAACAAAGTAATGAACAGTCATTTGTACCAACTGTCTTGTATTTTTTTTTGCCAAGTTCTACACTGAGCAACAAATCTGCTTCAGTTGTTGATAAAGGTATAGCTAGAAACAGCCTAAAGCTCTCGGGTCCCAATTACTGTCCACCTGGTCCAACAAGCCCAGCTGCTTCACGACATCCGGCCCAAGCACTTTATCCAGAGGCAGCAGCTTGAAGCTCGCCTCCGCGCTCGTGCCCTTCCCACCAGCCAGCTCATTCGCATCGTCGTGCACAACCACCAATCCCTTAGGAAACTTGTCCCCCAAACCCGTCCCGACGGCCGCGATGCCATCCGTATTACTCACCGCATCCACCCGCCCACCCCAGCCCGCCGCGATCGTAAAAGTCAGGACAAACTCGTGCGGCGCCTTGCGCTTGTAGACGTTATACGCGCTCACGCCCTGCGTGGACACGATGATAAACCCTTCGTCCTTGGTCTTGCCGTACACGAGCGTCACGCCTTCGACGTCGGCGCGCAGATGGCCGTCCCCAACGGTCGCGACGGCCACGCCGGTCGGATTGGGGTCGGTCGGCTCTGCGTCGTAGCGCCAGAGTGCATGCGGCTCCTCGCCGATGAAGACGAAGCCGTTCTGCTCGTCCGACACGCAGCCTTCAACCTGGCCGCCTGAGCCGGCGAAGAAGGAGCGGACCAAGGTCGTGGTCAGGTTGCCGTCCTCGGCGGAGGAGAGTTCATATTGGAGGTACTGGGAGGATTTCGCGTTGACGAAGAGGTACTGTTTGTTGGTGGTCGGCGAGCGGTAGGTGCAGGAGCCGTACACTTCGTACTCGTCTGGTGTCGGTTGGCTGCCGCCTGGGATGGTGGCCAGGGTGCCGTTGGCGGTTATCTCAAAGAGACTTGCCCGGTTAGCATTGGCCGACCCTTCATCAAGGGGAATCAGTTTGCCTACCACAGCGTGTTGTCATCGCGGCATGCGGCGTATGCGAGGTCAATCTTGCGAGAGCCGGCTTGGAAGTTGTAGATGACATCGACGTTGTTCGGTTCGCCGGCTGGGATGGTCTGGAGCAGCTTGCCGGAGAGATCAAAGACCCCTAGCCCGGCACCCTCCTCTGACTTGGTCGTCGTGATGATGCGTGACTGACTCCGGTCGGTAGGCGAAATCCAGATGGCCGGATCATCTCCGTCGCCGCCGTTGGCTTCTGTCTCCGCCACGGGCCGGACAACAACAAAGGAGCAATGCAGGCCTCCCCAGCCGTCGTTACACTTGCACTGATTGGGTCCGGCGCACTTTCCGTGGCCGGAGCAGTTGTCTTCGCAGGTGTAGGTATTGCACGTCTTCCCTTGCCAGCCTGCAAAGCACGAACACTCGATGCCTTTGCCGTTCTCGTTGCAGTAGCCGTTCTTGGAACAGGCGCTGCAAATGAGCGACGATTTGTTGGATTTGTTGCCTGCAACGCTGGGGTCATACTTGGTGTTGACCTTCAAGCCCAGCGTTTGGATGGCACCGTCCAGCGAGCTGACGCCAAAGCCCGTGATATCTTCGGACTCGATGGCATAGGCAAGGACACCGCTGGGGTATTTAGAGGTGGAACCCTGGTAGATGCTGAGGCCCTGGATCTCGATATCTTTGTGGCCAACCAGTTGGAGGTTACCGAGCAAGGTGAAAGTTGGTGCATAGACAGCCACCGTATCTTCCATCGCCACAAGTAGGTAATCGAGGCCGGCGGTGCCGGAGACATAGACTGCAACCCCTGTCACGTCATCCTCAGCCTCGCCAATCTTGCTGATAGCAGGAGCGGCGGTAGACTCGGCCAAGCCAACAACATAGACGCCCTTATCATCATCGGCTGAGACAAACATCTTGCTCAAGGAGGGAGAGGTGGCACAGCCCGATGCTTCCACCGGGAGCGGGAACGTTTGGATCTGGACAGGTGTGAGCCAGTCTCGTCTGTCCCCTGGTCATCCGTGAATGCAAGTACCTCGACGAATCTAGAATCTTCATAATCGCCGTCATCATCCTTGTGGACAAAGAAAATTTTTGCCTCCTTCTTGCCGAAGAGATAGACATAGTCATTGCCGGTCGGGCTCTTCCAGGAGCAGAGGGCTGACCAATCTCCAAGCACCGTGGTCCGCGCCGACTCGACTTCTTCGAAACCCGGAGACTCCCATGCGCGCAGAATGGAATCCGGTTGGCCAATGCTGACGACGAGGCCGGTTCGTTCCACCTCGTCGTCGTCGTCATCCTCGCGGCCATGGATGGTAGTGACGACCTTTGTCCGCCGACCCGTGGTCTCGGCGTGGACCTGGTTCAGCGACAGAGCCGAGTCGAGGCTCCAGGCCAGCCAGCCGCCGGTGGCAGGGCTGCCATCATTGCCGAGCAGCAGAGGTTTCTCGCCGTAGTAGATGGACGTCCAGTCCGACTCAATCTCGGATGTCACGGCCGAGACGGATATCTCTACGTCTGCGGCGGCGGCCTGGATTGGCAGGCTCAAGGCGAGAATCGCCGCCGCGGTGAGGCGACGTGAGAAGCCCATGGCGCAAGGCAAGGAGTTAGGGCTGAAGTCTGATTGAACAAATGCGCCCGCCCATGGCACGAGGGGACAGCTCGGCGCAACGCCATGGGCGGAACACAGCGCCATTTATCATGGTCCGTTTGTTGGCAGCCCTCGGATCATCGAGAAGCAGTGTTGCACATGCTGTCGATGCACTTCAGAAGGAATCTTTCCCAGGAAGTTCACCGACGCGCCAATGCCGGGGATCTGGGAGCCAGAGAGTTTCGGAGAAGGCGTGGTTGCGATGTCGTTATCGATTGGCTCGTGCGGAATATTGCAAGGGACAGGCTCTCATGCTTGCTTGCATGGACTTTCGCACGTGGGGTTGACCGAGCACCTCTCCATGCTCATTCCACTTCCAGCTGCAGACAGCAGTTTGATTCGCGCCACACCGCCAAAGACGGTGTGCTTCGGTGCGTCGGTGTCCTACGTCGACTCACTTGCAAGTGTTCCTTGGCAAGATTCCTATCGTCAGCGGTCTGGGATTGGACATGCTGGGTTCCCGTGGCCTTAGGTACAGTACCCAAATTACCCTTTCGCTCAGAGGCCCACTCTGCCTGAATCGACCACCTTCTTCAAGCATGGCCGCGCCGCAGCACTGATGCCATCCACCGACAAATCGTCACGCTTGCTCGGTAGCCCGCTACCTCGCGTTCGGCCTGCACTGTCCACTTCTGAAGAGGCTGGTCCTGTATTTCTTGGTCCGCTCGCTTGATGCGGCGTCCCTGGAACAAAGTTCAAGTCTGCAGTCAGCGTTGGTCGGGGAATGCCGCCATAACCGTGTCCTCGCCATTTGCTGTTGCTGGATTCCCCGGCAAGGTGCAGCTAACTTGTCCCTTTTGGGTGAATCAGCAATTATTTGCTCCCCACACTTCTCATGGATATCATTCACTGCTGGTGCTCAAGTCATTTCATCCCATGGCTAACGCTTCTACGCAGAGGCGCCGTAACAACCATGAATCAATGTCTTCGAGTCATGAGAATCAGCGGCAAACCGGAGCTGTCTTTCTTACATAGTTGCTCTTCAGGAGAGATGTAAACGGAGATGCCAGCAAGACAAATCCCTCGTTCCCTTTTCCTGCAGCATTTGGCAGCGACACTGGCTTGTCTGCATTGTTCCGACGTCTTTCTACCCAATATAATCTAATGGTCAGGGCAAACAGGAATGGATAGGACGGCAACGGCCAGGGGACCGGTTTTGCCAGCGAGGCCAACAACGGAAAGAAACAGTCACCGGTCTGGTGGACAGAGCCATAAGGTACCGGGTCGGTATTCAGTGGAACTTTCTCAGATTCCTTCGACGGGACTTTGTTCTAGAGCGCTTGAGATGTCCCTCTTGACATTACTGACCACAAGCTTTCGATGGAGAGAAACAACTGGCGATCCAAAGGGCTTCCTGACGTACAACATGTGGGAGACCGGACCCAGGGTGACTGGGTTACCGTGGGCGCACTTTCACAGTCACTGAAAATCACTGTCTGTTGCCCCTTGGAACGTCAGCTCGAAAACAATGCCCCCGATTTTCTGACAGAGGTCTATAGCAACCTAACGGCAATGTGCAAGCAGAGTGTGACAGCTGGCTTGCAAGTTGGGATTTCACGTTGCCCCGAGTGCCCGCTTTTTTATCCCTGGACAGTATCTTCTCGATCTCAAAAGGGCAGCAGCTCGGCATCAACGGAACGTCGGTCTCTGCTCTTCAAATGCGACCCAGCAGTGCACATGTCGGCACTGGCTTCAGTCTGTGTCCTTTGATAGGGGCGATTCAAGAGGAGGAGTCCTGCGATATTGTTCGAGCGTATCTGACCTATTTTGCCGAGATTTTGGGATCAGACACGCCCAAGACTCGCTTGAATGATCGGCTTGATGGCTGCCCTGGCATCTTCTTTGTCGTCGACACTGGCAACCTGGAGATGCTCAAACTGTGGACTTCCTACGCCGGAAACGCCGACCAAACTTACCGCAAAATCCCAGTGCTCGGCTTTGCCATTGCCCACTGCCAGGAATTTCGACAGGACATGCCCTTGGTAGTCAAAAACCATGTTGAGTTCAGGATGGCCAGTGGGTGTGATTCCCCGCGCCTTCACGACTTAGATGATTTGGACGATGCCAGAGTTTGGTGCTTGGCTGCTCCTGCTCGAAAGCGGATTGCCCAAGCTCTGAATCTCCGTTTCACCGTTCGATATGTCTTCCACTCTGCATCCCGAGACGAGCGGCTCTCTGGCGCAAACAGAAAGCTTGCCGAGGTTCACAGGGCGAGCGAACTTCTCGGCATTCGCTATTTTCTGGTTGTCCAGACTCTGGCTTCTGGTCACCTGACTGAGCGTTTCCTGACGTTAGTCCTCTCCGTCAGTCCACGTTTGAAGTCCTCATCTCATTCCAACGCTTCCTTGTTAGGTACCTTGCTATGCCCACTCCGCAGCCCCTGGTCTTGCCCTTCGCCGCCCCCAGTGGCCACGGCAAGACGGAATTGGCCGGAAACCTTGGTCGGTTGCTCTCCTTGGGCCTCCACGGCGTCAATTGTACGAGTTTCAGACTCGAGTCGAGCCTCTTTTGCCAGTGACCTGGCTCCGAAGAATCCAGAACCGGGTCGGCGTACAAGAACTATCTGGCCGATTATAGCGGTCGGCATTGCATTATCTTCATGGATGAGTTCGAGAAGACAGAAGATGGTGAACTGCTGCAAGGCTATCTGGGCGCTCGCGACGAATGCCTTTGACCGGATCATTCATGAGTTCTGCAACAACAATCGAGACGATCTCTTCGGTGGCCACGGCTCCAAGGATGCGGCAAGACGTATCAGAACGCTGGGCGACCAGCTCTCATGGCGAATTCAGAAAGAATCGTTAGTGTATTTGGCGTGAGTGGATGAGTCCGAGTACCTACGACGCACTATCTTCTGCCCGGATGCCCGACGCTCATACACCAACAATTAATACTTAGGCGCCCTTAACCGGACGCATCACTGATTTCATTCCCTTCTTGCCGTTTTCGCCCATCGAACAGGCGGCCGTCGCCGACAAATATCTCGCTGACCTCGGGCGAGAGCTCGCCAAACCGACGGACCTTGCCGAAGATCCTGCCCGTTACCGGCCAGTTGGCAACGTCGATATGCAGATTAAGCAGGATTATTCTGTCTGCAAATCCCTCGCCGAACAGGGATACGTGCCGGAGCTCGGGGCCCGTAGCATCATCAACACGATTGACCACGCGATCAGGATGCCTCTCGGGGAGTACCTCGCTACGAGGGAGTGGATACATGGGGGACAGCTCTCCGCCAGCTTTGTGACTAGAGTCGATGCGGGATCGGGGGAGGTGGAGGTGTCGCAGTGCTCAACTGACATGGAGTGAGAGCAACTCAGGGACATGACCTTCAAAGTAAGAGGCACTCGCTCGCAGCTTGTATTTGCATCGTATCCCGTCGCACCTTCTAAGTCAACCTAACACATGCCATTCGGTACCAATACGCACTGTAAGCGCGACCACATGCATACATCATGCCCGCGGAGAGTGCCGTGGTTCAGGGGCACTGCTGGCGCATCCAAGTCCATGACTGAAACACCAGACGTCTGGGACGGAACCCACCGCGTCACCGAGGCCCGTCTACCTTAGTTTAAAAGGCTCTCATTCGCACTACTCTCCTCAGTCTCGAGTCCTCTTAACTTCACCCATAATCGGGCACAATTCCAACAAGTCAACGTCCCACCTAACCACACCCCATTAACAGGAGATAAGCCGACAACGACAACAACGACGACGACGACGACGACGACGACGACGACGACAACAACATCCACCGTACGACAATGATGCAATCTCTCCCGTCGCCGAGATATCACGAATTTCAAACGAGTACAGATTCAGATGACAAAAAAACGCTCAGTGAAGACGAGGAAAAAGGAGAGATATTCTTCGACGATGACGAGAGGGCATGGAGCGACATTACGGCAAGAGACCCTGGGATAGCGCAACGGAAGGTATCAAGGAAGAGTCGCATTTGGACGACCCTGACGTCGATACGTTCGCTGCTGGATACCCTGCTGCTCTTGATCATCTTGGGACTGCTGCTAGACCGTGGACGGCAAAAGCCAGCTTGGTTAGGGATTGGGGCCGACATCACCGGGTTTGCACCGACAAGTATGTATCCATCGCCGGAGAGTATCCGTCACTGTCCATTGTTGACCTTGAACAGTATCCCAGCAAATTACAACGTTTGCTCCTGATCCCATGTTTGTACCAGAGAATGGATCAGAGTTCTTCTCAGACTCTGTCCAAGGGCGGTGGCTGAGCATCGTGCCTAGTAAGTTGTATCCAGGAACCCTTGGAATATCCTATGTTATGGTAACTTACACATTCTACAATGTAGGGGGGCTCGGGTACGTCCGGATCAACAACACCGAGTCCTACAACAACCTCCCTACACCGCTCGAGCAGTATCCGGATTCCACGTTCACAACCTCTGTTACGCACCAGCTTCACTGCCTGCACTCGATCATCGAGGTCGTCGCCGCTTACACCTCAAAACAACTCGGCAGGTTGCCGGCAGAGGGGCCGTGGCATCTCAGCCATTGTTTTGAATATCTGCGGCAGAGCATTATGTGCTCTTCCGACTTGGCAATTGAAGGCCAGCACACCACCTTCCCACCAGGCTTTACGGGAAGTGATGGGTGGGATGCGAAACACGTGTGCAGAGATTACAACCAGGTGCTGGCACATCTGGAAAGGAACAGAGTGAATGACGAGAGGTGGATTTAATCTGCATCGCACGGTCGATGGGGGCCAGTGAAAAGAACAGTGGCAAATAGGGGTTCGTCCAGCTTTCAAGTTAAGTTGCCGGCGTATCTCCCTCACAACCGTCGTCGTCTCCAAGTCGTTGATCCTTTTTATTCCTTGACCACCTTCTCGTTCCCCTCAACCCTTAATACAGCAGAGCCCCAAGCAGGTTCCGCTTGCTTTTCGTGCCCGTACAATTCCCAAACCCAGCCTGGCACCCATTCTTGACATCACAATGATCGACTGTCGTGCCACACCATCCCCTGTTTCTGGTCAGGTCCTCAGGACATCCTCAGGGATTTCAGGACTCACGCAGCACTACAACAGCTCGTGACTGTCGCGTTTGCAAAGCATCTATACCCGTTCTTTCCGGCTCCCGTGGATCCACAAGTCCCATCAATCGAGATAGAAACACCAGGCTTGGGCGCGTAGCAGGCGCTCGACGAGTTGGAGTAGCGCGTCTGGCAGCCGGCCGTGGTAAGGCAAAAGGCCTCAGTGGTGCCGCAGTAGCCGTACTGCGAGCAGCACGCGGCGTCGGACGGGCACGTGTAGCCCGAGTTGGATGTGCCGCACGTCTTATTGGGGGAGACGGCCCGGGGTTCGAGTGAGGCGAGTTGTTGCGGTGAGGAAGGGACGACGGCAGCGGTGAGGGCGCCAAGGGGGAGGAGAAGGAGGGTTATGATATGGGGGAGCATGTTCTTTGATGTGGGTGTAATCCCCGAAGTTCGCTGAATTGAGGGTACTAGATATGGAAAATGCCGTCACTAAGGTCTGCTTGGTGAAAGTTATTGCAAAGTTACTGTGAAAGTTGTTGGTGTTTCCTAGCTTTTGTACGAAACTTGGAGCGTTTCTCTCACTAGGTAACCATGCCGGGATAACAGCCGGAAAGCGGTTGATACCGTACCTTAACCTATACACTGACGCGGCCCAGCCGTACGTGCAGCATCGAATATTTGTCAGGTCTCAGACAAATAATGAAGTCCTATATTTACCCGCCGTGCATGGCGGGATCTGCTTTCTTCATTACGGGCCCTCAGTATATATTTCGGTCACCCTGCGCTGCAGTGACACCAGCGGGTAATAAGCTCGTTTTGCCGAGACCTCAAGTTTCAAGGGAGCACAATTGAAATATATTAATCTCTGTAGCTGCTCCAGGACCGGAACAAATTAACTAACAGCCGGGCCTTTATTACGGGTATGTTTGAGAAAAGATTGACTGCTCGCGCAAGTGACTTCTACAGTTATAAGCACGAGACCAACAAAGTCCAATTTCCGTCGCCTGCGTTGCAAAGGTCAGGCTGGTACCAGTGGAACAAAAAGTGCGATACGTGTTCATATTATGGTCTGACATTAGTACCGGTGTCTGACTGGAGGAAGCTACTGAATCTGTCTCACTGGGACCAGCATCACACGTTCAATGTCAGAGGACGGGAACTTTGCATAAGACACCTAGACAGCTCTAATAAGCGGCGGGTGCCGAATTCAGCTTCAGCACCCAACATAACATGAAGGTAGGTAGGTACCTTAGTGTACCTTAAACTCCTACGCTCAGGGGCTGGGGGATGATGGGGCATTCGAGTAGCCAAGCTTGCACGCTGCAACAGGATTCAATCAAATGACATAAGACACACCATTTGGAAATGAATCAAGCCACAATGCTTGACTGGGCTCGGAGGTGGAAGATAGTATACTTCAACCTGGGGTTGTTCCAGTCGTTGCTGTGTTACCAGGGCATTACAGGGCGGAAGAAGATCATCACCTAGCAACAGAAAACAAAGATGAAGACTATATCAAGAAGGGAGGACGGAAGTGAGTGATAAGAAAAAGAGAAAATGAGAGAAGAAAAAGAATTATGAATAAAGGTTTAAAAGAGAACATAGCTAACGTTAACGTACCTTAAGATACTTCATAGGTATGAAGAAGAAGAAACTGAATAGGTAGGAGAAAGAAAGAGAGGAAGAAGACAGAAACTACCTAGGGAAGAAAGATAAAGAAAAGCCATTCCACAGTAAAGATCTGAATGGCCAACTCTCGACACTAAGTTCACTACGAACAAATTCGGGTTAATTAGGTTGTGTACAATTGTTGACTTATGTCTGGAACTTAGGACCTGAAAGAACCGTGGAATTGCCCATTAGGTCTAGCTCCAGTGCACCTCCGGGCTTTAGTCATCGGATCCTCAATTAACCTTGATGAACCAAGAGTCACATTGACTCTATCAATATACATCCAGATTTATTGGGCCTAGAGAAATCATGAGAGATATCCAGCGGGATTGTGAACTTTCTCGCTTTACACGGCCGATGATAGGCCCATTTCGCGTCAAACTTCGCGTCAAGAGAGCACTGATTATCTCGCTAAGATCTGCTAGCCTGGCTCGCCTGGGACAAGTGCTCCGCGTCCCTAGGTCAAGCGAGAATCCCAGCTCGACCATGGTGGGCCGTTGCAGGCAGCAATGCCTCGGAATCAGCCAGTCGGTTCTCAGCAGCTCTGATAAATGCCTTACTTGAGGCGTTGAGCCATTCCATACTCATTTGTCAAGTCTCATCTTTCTCATCCAATCTCATGCAACTGGCTACCCAATTAGTTAGGGCACAATGCCAGACGTCAAGCAGATTGTATAAACAGCGCTCAGTCATGACATCGACAAACCCGCATTGCGGGATCACCGACCTGCCCGTCGAACTTCTCCATCGCGTCTACTCGCTTCTCTGTCCTTCTTGCGTCCCGGGACAGCTACCTTATCCATGCCGCGATTGTGTCAATCGGCGGCCCGGGTGCCATGAGTGGTCCCGGGGCCCCATTGAGGTCTCTCGTCTCTCAAGGACATGCAGACGACTTCGCGACATTTTCCAGCCTCTCCTCTTCCAGTGTTACTCGGATGAGTACCCCGGACGGTCAGTCCGACACCTGATCCGTCTTGGACGTACGCTCGCCGCGCGTCCTGATCTCGCGCGCCACATGAAGTTCCTCATGTTCTGGGAAGCAAGCGTCGAGCTCGATGCCTCCGACAAGGCCATCGTCAATGACGGCATCATGCAGCTTGGCCTACCGCCCATCCCAGAACACTGGAACGTCAACGGCGAAGGCGAGTACCGCCTGATTCCGCTCGAGCTCGTCCTCGCCCACACTCGAAACCTTGAGTATCTCCGCATGCCGCTCGACTGCGATTGGAACCTCTGCCTCATCCCACAGCTCATCAAATCCCGGCCCCCATTTCTGGCCAAGCTAAAGGCCCTGGAAGTACACCACTACTTCATCGCCGGTGACCGCTTCGACGTCTCCATCGATGCCGTCGACGCCATCGCCCACGCCGCTCCAAACCTCGACTCGCTCTGCCTGCCCAGCCCCAACTGGAACTACGGCGCATCCCCGGCGCCTCTGGCCCACCTTCGGCGGCTGTACTTCCAGGCGAACTGTAACATTAACCCGGAGCACCTGACCGCCATGTTCGAGTCGGCGCCCAAGCTGGAGGTGCTCGCGCTGCATTGGAACGCGTTGGACGATGCGTACGACTTTGTCGACGACCGGCGCACGACGGACGCGTGGGAGGCGATTGAGCGCAGGAAGGATACGCTCAGGGAGATCCGGTTGGACATCAGGAGCGATACCGAGCATGGAGATGGCGAGCGGGATTCGCTCAAGGATTTTGAGAAGCTCGAGGTGCTCATGGTCAATGGGCATGCGCTGGACGCGTTGAGGGAGGTGTGGGTGCGAAGGAACAGGAACACGAGGGCGGAGAGCTTCCTCTCGACCTTGTTTCCGCCTTCGATCAGGGAGGTGACGTTCTGGGGACTGGATGGCGTGAAAATGCAGGCGGCCATGTTGAGGTTCGCGAAGGTGGTGGCCGTGGGGCGGTATCCTAAATTGGAGAGAGTGGTACTGGCGCCCCCTGAAGATGGGGATCGACAAGATCCCACTGATTATCCTAATTCTGGCGAGTGGGATACGGTAAAGGATGAGCTGGAGGAGACCTTTGGGAGGGGAGGTGCGAGGTTTGAACTGATTTGGGAGAGACCAAGCTGGTCGGCTGGTCGGCTTGATTGAGCTACCTTGTGTGATAGCCTCTTGATTACTCCAACCCGACCATCGTAGGTCAGTGTCTTTATATCCGTCGTTCAAGGAATCATGAAATGAGATTCAAGACTGCCGTGTTTCCTTGCAGCCCAATGTCACGGCACAGCAATCTCCCCGTCATCGCTCGTCTGCAGCCTTCTTGGAGGCCACTCAACCAGAAGAACGAGTGATGTCAGCGATGCAACGCAGAAATAGAGCATCACTCTCATCTGCTGGTTGTATCCCGCGGCGTAGATCTCTCTGACGCTGACTTGTAACTCGGAGGACAGTTGGCGGATGCTCTGAGATGTTTTGAGCAGTGCTGCTTGCTCAGCTGAAGTCAAGAACCCTGCAGTCTGACTCGTTACGTGGTTGCTCAAAAGGGCCGAGGAAATAGCAAGCCCGATGGTGCCTCCAAGCACGCGTATTTGCGTTGCGGCGCCCATTGTGACGGCTGAAGAAAGGTTGAGTCAGTCACGACGGCGGAAACGCGGGTGGCGATGAAGCACGCTCTTACCCATGTCTCCATGCTTAACGACCAAAGGCACCATCATCAAGACGGTGCTGAGGCTGAGGCCAAACCCACAGCCCATGATCACCTGATAGACGTATTGAAATGACGGCACGTCCAGGCTGGAGGGGTCCAGAGAGCTAAATAGACCAACACCAAGGGTCTGCACGCTGCAACCAACCAGCAGCACATACAGAGGGGGTACCCTGAGGTTTGACAGAAGCAAGCTCGCCACAACGGTCGCAATCGGCGAGCACAGGAGCAATGGCAACATACGGATGCCGGCATTGATAGCCGTGGTTCCGTTGACGACTTGGAAGCGTTGGGGAATAGTGATGATTGCCGCCATGAACGGGAATCCTGTCAGGAATGCGTTTCTACCTGTACGTCAGTAGTCCTGGTTAGTTTTGTGGAGACCAAGGAGAGGACTCACAAGAGCAGACCCAGAACAAACCTGTTGCAAGCCAATCTCCAAGGGAAAATGGGCTCACATATGCTGCCTCTGTTGGACAGGCTTCTTTCCCATCCGACGAAGACAACCCAAAAGACCGCGGACAGCACGAAAGACGCAATGACGGCCGCGCTGTTCCAGGGGTGCTCGACCCCTGCCTGCTCCAAAGCGAAGACGAGCAGTATAGAGGTGGCCAGTGAGGCAAATGCTCCAAGAAAATCTACTCGACTCCACGCCTTCTGCGAGACGAAAGTGCTGAAGAATCGACTAGGGCCAGCAGGGTAAGGGAAGTTGAAGGGGATCGAAATGCTGATGAGGAAAATGGCAAGCGCTCCACCAGGGCCGCTAGGAAAGTAAGTCAGCATAATAGCAGAGAACTTCCAACCCAACGAAAGACGACAGGGCCGTACTTTAGCCAGAAGACCCATCTCCAGGTCGTGTGATCGGAAATAAACCCCCCAAGCAGCGGACCCAGCACGCTGGAAATGGCGAAGATGGACGAAATAATGGCAATGTAGGTTGGGTACTTGGCCGGAGGCACCATGAGCGGCGTCATGACTGTGACTAGGGAGTAGATACCGGACCCTCCGATGCCTTGGATGGAGCGATAGATGACCCTGGTCATGTCAGCGTGGTCCCTTGAGGTACCTCCCATGCCAGAGCTTGCACGTACAGCTGGAGCATGTTGTTGGAGACACCGCAAGCAATGGAAAAGACGGCAAAGAGAGTGATGGCGCCAAGGATCAAAACCTTGGTGCCGAAGATATCACTGAACTTTGCATAGATGACGAGGAAGCCTGGTTGCAGTGGTCAGCATTAAGTTAAAGAAGTGTCACGCCGGAATTCATGGGTGGTAATGTCGAGGAATCATTGAGATACCAGTGTAAGTCAAGAAATAGGCTGTGGCGACCCAACCGGCTTGGCCAAAACCCTGGAATTCATTGACCATCGAGACCAAAGACGTGCTCACGATGGTGGTCTCGAGCGTGGAAAGGAGCAGGCTGAGACAGAGGCTAGTAGCGGGACACAAGAAAGATGATTAGCAAGTAAGGTACTTCGGCCATCAATTGGGAGATAACCCCCCTGGTGGACTCTTACCCAGCTGTCAATGCATGCAACTTCCATCCCTTGGGATAGATCTTCGGCTTTAGCTGCTGAGGCTCATTGTCTTCCAAATTGACCATCTCCGTCGCTGTCCGGTTCTTGTTCTTGTTAACCATCTCCAAGTTCACTGGATCGGCATTGGCCATGCTGAAGTCGATGACGGCCAACAGTTGCGTACCCAAGACATTTGGACGGCGAATCTACGATGCAAGTACCTGTAGTTTTTTGTTTATAGAATCTACCGTTGTAATCAATAGGAGCTGTGGGGAGCTTGGCTGTCGGGTCCTATCGGTTGAACAACTTGGGGATTCCGAGCTCCCCGAAATTAAAGAGAGAGTTTGGGGGGCCAACAAACGGCCCAAACCTTCAAACATCAAGCTTCTTACCGTTCATGCTCCGTGCAGTTACCTTGACGTAAGGCAGTCCATTTTGCTTGCACCGGACAAATTCTATCTTCTTCATCGGCATTCTGAATTGACGGTGCATCCTTTGTCGATTTATCGTCCGGTAGGATTCGGAGTTGGTGATAGGAGCACGCAACGTGTCTGGGACACCAGGTACAGTTTAGAGAAGCAGGGTGTGTTTGGCTCAATGGCCGCGTAGAGAAGAGAATGGTTTAAAAATTGAGGGAAGGCAGGGCGAGGTTGAGCCCTATGCCGGGGCATTCCGTCGTTGCGGTCAGCGCTCCCGTCACAAATGGGAAGCATAATCACTCGACGCAAAGTCCTTGCTCGTGCCCAACACCTCACTCCAAGAGTTTAGGGCTTCCAGCTACCAGGCCACCTATTGATCTGTGATTACCAATCCGTTGGCGAGGCATAGGATGAACTGATGAGTCTCAGTACCTGATCTGATGTGTGGTGTTTGGGAAAGGATAAGGTACGGTAGCTGTTCTAGAACTAGCGATCCGGTTCAGGTACCTTTTACACAATGGCAAGCGCCTGCCGATTTCTCAAACTGGTCACTTCCATTGTTTGACAGTGATGACGACATGAAGTGGACATTTGTTAAGAGGCTGACTGATCGTCCATGATTGATGCCTTGGATGCCGTGTCGCTGGGCGACAGCGGTAAGTGTAATACTTCATGCATTGCTTCAAGATGTCATTGTGGATCCCTTCCTGTGCCGGGCGACGCGTTCGGGAAGTTCGAGGCGGGGAAAGTGCGTCTCCATGAACCGGCGGCGCGCCGATGATCACTTGGCATCGGAGCTTGGCACTGGCTTCCGGGCCGGAGACGCATCATGACAGCTGAACACAATGGGATAGATGTGCCAGATGGAGAGGAACTTACTGTTCCTGGGTTGAAGCAAGGTTAGTTGAGATAATTGTCGGGTAAGCTTAGCAAGAGGGTGTGATACATGTCACCGTGCCTTCCAGATTGCAACCCAGGATCGAACAGGTGATCTACAGCGTAATGTACACGTAGTGACGGAACCATGAATCTGCGCGGCAGGAGAAGCCAACCGGGACCCAAACAAGGCCCATCTACAGCTGCATGTATTTGTGGAAAGCGCAAGGGGTTCTGTCAGTGCTGTGATTCAACATGGGACGGAACCGGCGTGGATCCGCATTATGCCTATTCACGTCATCATGTTGACATCATCACTGGCGTCATGACAGGGCCGCTGCCATCAAACAGTTAGTTTTGGAGCCTTCAGCTCAGTTCAAACGGATCATTTCTCGAGGATATAAGGCTCGCTCTTCTCCAACATAACCCAACATTGATCATTCCACCATCACTGCATCCAAAAATACATCGCACCAAAGTTTCCACTGAAAAACCTTTCAACAAACAAACTCTCGTCATCAAACAACAATTCATCATGTCCGGCACTCAGAACACCAACCCCGGCAACTTTGCCAACCGGTATAGAGTCATTGTTTCCTGTCACAATAGCACACATTATTAACGAGTTTTCCTCCTTCAGCCCCAAGGACGAAGTCCGTGAGATCGCATCCAAGGGTGGCCAGGCCAGTCACAGCGGCGGCTTTGCCAGCATGGATCCTGACAAGCAGGCAAGTTTTTTCCCTTTCAGTCCAGCCAACCAGCGCAGTCTACTGACATCGTACCAGCGCGAGATCGCTTCCAAGGGCGGCCACGCTTCGTCCGGCAGCTTCGAGCCGGGCAGCGAGCGTGCCCGTGAGGCAGGCCGGAAGGGCGGCCGCGCAACTGGCGGCAGCAGTGATGACGCCGAGTAACTCATGAATGATGACTGTTTGGAATTCGGCGCAAATCTGTATTATTAGTGGATGGATTTTCGGTCGTTTAGCGAGTGATCTCTGACGATGGGACAATGAATGAATCAATATGCCCGATTTTCCCTTGTGCGTTATTATGCTAATGAATTCGATCAATGAAATTCCATGGAGCGAACATGTTCAAGTTGCCCTAACATTGTGTCGATTGACATGTTTCGTGAAGTCGTCGCTGCCGGGCAAAAACGGCACCGAGTCTTGAATGACGCACTGTACAGTCGAAAACTCCGAGAAAGCTACGGCCTGCGCTTGCAATTTAACAAACCCATTCTACGTTGTCGTCGTAGTCCTTCGAATTATTTGAGTTGTAGTACTAATATAACCAGAATTAAGAAAACCACTTGAGTTAAACAAACTCACAGTCATGCCATCCTCCGTCTCTCCATCATCTCTTTCTTTCCTTACATCCCCAAACCTTAACCCATTTGCTGCTAACACTCAGCTTCCCTCGGAACGACGCAAACCTGCTCGCAGACTTGCATTCAATGTGCCCTCGCACCGTCGACAGTTGGGAAAACATTGCCGTCAACAGTTCCATCAGAGTTCCCACATTCTCGGACCAGTCATAAACACTCGACGGCAAATACCTCCTCTTGGACTGGTTCAGGAAGCTGACGAAGCTGCCAAGGATGGTGAAATCGCAGAGTCGGGTGTCCGACCCGGCGTCCCGTTCCCTTCCTGCAGGACCCTTCACCCCCGATATAACGGCTTTGACCCCTGAATTCTTTTTGGTAAAAGTTAAGGAGGGCTTGGACGAGTGCCCTTCTTCTTTCAGACGCAATTTCTATGATTCCCAGGTTAGTGTGATCCCAGAACCGCTGAACACGTGGATCGGTCTCTCACCAGCCAGGTCGCAAACCCCAGGAAACACCTCGCCCTGGAAAAAGTCCCGAATCTCCTCTGACGCCCGAAAGATCAACTACCGCGTCTCAATTTTCAACTTCTCCTCCAACCCCAGCCGCCACGCCACATGCGCCGCGCGAACGAACTTCGTCCCGAACCACACCCGAAAGTCAAACTATTCGATCTGCTCCACCCACTGGCGCACCCACGGCCGGACGAAATGCGGCAGGTCGTACTTGTCGCAGAAGATGAGGATATCCGAGAACAGCGTGATGGACATGTCGTCCTCGGGGACGAGGTCGCACCATCCTTGGGCGGTGGCCGTGGGGGTCGAGGGCGAAGGGGATGCCCGAGGTGGTCGAAGTTGTGCTGGCCGCGTTGCGTATGTTGCTGGCCGGTCTGGATCTCGAAGCAGCGGCGAGAAAGGAGAGAGTCGGGGAGGGGATGTGTTTGTTCTCAATGTATTGACACTTGGGATAACGCAAAGGGAAGAAGGAGGAAGCAAGCCTGGGGGCCCTTAAGTAGCAGTCCGGTTGCGAGGATTGAATGGAGACCGGCCTTAATTAAGTGTCAACCAGGCTGGTGTCAACAATGGGAAGTGGAGATGACCATTGAACTATCCGCGTCTTGAAGCAGTTCCCCAGATGCCCCCTTAGTGTTTTGGATTTGCAATCATTGGCCCCTTTCGTTCCCAGTTTCCTTTCTCCCCACATTGAATGATTGACAACCACATATCAACTTGCTGATTATTATGAAGACTACGAAGACAGGTGAAGAATGAACCCCAAACACCGAGCACTAACAGGCCCCCAGATGCCAGCTTCCCACTCTTCTGGCTCCAAGAAGCCGTACAACTCCCTACAATCCGGTTCGCCCTACCGCAACCCTTTGGTGTAGATCTGCGCCGCATGACTCTGCGCGCAATCGTTTAGCCCAAGCCGGTCGGACAACAAGACGGGTCCCGGTCATGATTTGAACGCCGTAACAGCCGATTTTGAAGTAATGGAACGCTGGCTGCTGGATCCAAAAGTGTCAAGTTCCTGGATGATGCGTCCCTGGATCTCCGTGAGGTGGTCTATCCTCAGAGTTTTGGCAGCCCTAACTTCTTCCGCTGTGGTGCCATCCGCTGCTTATGTTCTGGGCGTACAACGTCCAACCATTTCTTATTAGATTTCGTTTTGGCTTCGAAATCCATATATTTCTTGGACGGCGAGCACCCATTGTGCCTGGCATTCAGACAAGGGAGCGCACTGAACATGGCCGAGAGAAAAACCATTAGGCTATGAGCACTGCCCAGGAACTTGTCTGCTTTCAGAGGCAGAGGATCCAGCCCCAACCTATGTTGGGTCCGGAATAGACTGCCCAGAAGCAGGGAGTCGCACACTGGTCGCTCTGAATTGCCGTCATATATGCTTGTACTTATTGCCTGACAGGCCCCTTCGTCTCGGGTTCGGCATCTTATCTCGGCGTGGTAAAAGTCGAGCAGTGTCTGGATGAGTGCAAGTCGAAGTCCAGCGATGACCTCTGTTGCATCTCATCATTTGTGAAATCCCGGATCCGTCAGTACCTTGCGCCTTGTCACCTGCCTACTAAGTCGGATGGTGCGGCGTAGCTCTCGAATCGGATATGTTTGCCGTTGTACGTTACTCGCATATCTGCACCGTCCTGAACAACGGGGGCCCCGAAGATGAGTTCCCGGGTTTCTAAGGACAGCATGTTGTCGATTCCTAGCTCCCCAGCTACGTGGATTCCTAATGCGCGGTCACAGAGGCTCACTTCCTCTCCCACACCAGCGCCAAAAGCCGCCACTCTGAGCCGCGGCATGTTTAGCACTTTGGACCCAAGCGCTGGCCCAGGGCCGAATGACAGAAATCATGTCGAATTTGTCGGTGACAAGGAGAATGTCATGCAACTGATTGAGATATACGAAGGTGCGTACAATGTCGAACTTCGAGTGAATGATTGCGAGAAGGGTTCGAACAGATTCCGGTTTGTCCTCGGGCAGTTCCACGACCCACGGTCCCTCGGTCGGTTTCGCTTCTTTCCAGGCGCCGAAGAGCATGTTCTTCCACACCGCGGAAGTACGTCGCATTGTTGCAGAGCAGACTCGAAACTCGTGGGGATTCAAAGTGCGACCCTACCCGGAGGACAAGGTCGCCATCCGGTTCCATTACGGTGATTGGGCATGGGGCCGCTCCCGATCCAAAGTTGGGGTAATGAGTTTCGATCACTCAGAATGTCGATCATGGTATTAGGGCACCTCTGGACTGGCTGATGGACTCGGGGAAACTGCCGATGTACAGTCTGGCCAGGAGGCTGGAGCTGGAGCTCGCGGTCTGATATCCCTTTCCTTCGAAGGCCAAGAGGTCTTCTCACTTTGTATTTGCAGGATCATACACTGATCGTTTCCTTGATTGTCGATATGGGTTTTTCACCCGGCCCACGAGGGCGCGGTTTTCCTGTATAGTAAGTTGTTGAAGGTCCGGCACGCCCTAGGGCACAGCGGTGTAGGAATAATAATATTAGGGCACCTCGTAACGTAGGGCCACTGCGGGCATTACTGGTTGGCTGATTGGGGTGAGTCAAAAACCGATTTGCTGATTGCAACTGGAAACAGCGTGGGCGAGCGTCGGCGGGGCCTCGATGGAGGCAGGCTGGCGTAAAACCGAAACGGATCCGCAGCGCAAGATTTTAGCTTGCCGACGGGATGCCTTCAATCCCAACCATCGTGACTTGCACTCGGCACCAGCTGGCCAGGCCATGGGTGTTTGCAGTGAGTGAACCTTGGGCACGGCTCCGAACGCAACTGGCACCTAATCCGGACGGTCAGGCCGCATGTTATACTCAGGGGCAGCATTGACGTGGGTTCGTGTCGTCTTCGAAACCCTTAGGAAGTTGAAGGTACCTCACCTCACCTAACCTTACCCTAAGCTTGATGCCGACTTGATTGTCTACGCCGTCCTTGATTACGATTAACGTTCACCTGCCCTTACCGTTACCACATATGGTGTCACTAGTGTGACACGGCTATACAGCTTGAACCGAAAAGCAGCGCAGCACGAGAACCGCCGTGTTACAGACAAGAAGCCCAGCGATATGCTGCCATTATTTAAGCGCCCTGCTGGGCGGACACCGTGTAATACTGCACTGAAAGCCTCGACTCTCGAGTGAGAAATTGGGACATTTGCCAATTTGTTGATGCAGACCATACAGAGCTTGGAATTAGTAGTACGTACTACATTACTAGACGGTACTAATGGCCCGTGCACGAACATCGAGATCTAGACCAAATTTTCTGAAAGTTGTACCGTTGTAAAGCTCGGGGCACATATATTTCTGTAGAGTTGCTCAATCTCCTCTTGTAAAGCAGGACGTGTTCAACATGGCCTTTGCTGTCGATGAATGGAGCAATCTGGACTCGCTGTGGCCGGGTATGGAAAGCCAGTTTCCGGTGGTACTTGAACAGTATGTTCTTGGGTAGGTAGGTAGTCGATAGGAAGCAGAGTGAGTCAATGTTAACTTCACCCTGCGCTTACCTTATCTTTACTGTTGTGGGATGTAGGCTTTGCCTTGGGCGAGCTTGTGTGTAGCGCATGATGGTGGAATTTTGTTTTTTAAAAAAAAAATCCTGGGCGAAATTGAAGTCGCACTCAAGGGAGAACTCCAGCCAAAGGATGAAGATCCGCCCTGCGAGTAGGTTATGGCCAATCGGAGGACTCCGTGTTTATAGAAAAATACCTCTTTAGGTTTAAGTCTGGGATGCTCTGGAGCCAACAGGAGCTTCTCCTGCGCAGCGGGTGGGGCGACTCGGACGGGTCCAGATACGGAGCACAGTACCGGGCGACTCCGTCCATGATACACTAAACTTGACGGCGCCCTTCATCTGACGCTCAATACCGGCATGATGAGCCGGAGTTGGTCTGTAGGGCCGGAGCTGGCCGTCAAGGATTGAGTGAGGCGTTGAGATGTATGAGACTTGCAAAGCACGGGTCTCGAGTATATATGCGGCCTTCCTCTCCTTCATCCATCTCACACTTCTTCTCATCAGCATCAGCATATCAACCACTACAACACTCTCAGCACTCTTCCAATCGACACAAGCCAGCATCCACAAGACAATTACCAGTCAGAAACACCATCAACAGTCTCTCAGTTCTTATATCAATCTTGCACCCTCTCGGTCCAGTACTACAACCATCTCAACCAACACCACGACCACTTCCATCACAACACCACTCACAACCGAAGCAATGTCTCCCCCTCGTCGCGCTCTCATCGCCGTCACCTCGGCCCAGGCCACCCTCTTCCAGGGCAAAGAGACCACCGGCCTCTTCATCAGCGAAGCCCTACACCCGTTCAAGGTGCTCACCGCCGCTGGCTTCGAGGTCGACCTCGCCTCCGAGACGGGCAGCTACACGCCCGACTGGCTGTCGCAGCAGCCTGACTTTCTCAGCGGCGAGGACCTGACCATCTGGAACGACACCAACAGCGACTTCCGCAAGAAGCTCGACAACATGCCGCGCGCCGCCGACGTCGACGGCGCCCGGTACGGCGTCTTCTACGCCTCGGCCGGCCACGCGGCCCTGATCGATTACCCGACCGCAACCAACCTGCAGCGGATCGCGTCCCAGGTCTGGGCCAACGGCGGCGTGGTGTCATCGGTCTGCCACGGCCCGGCTATCTTCCATGGCGTGGTCGACCTTGCGACCAACGAGCCCTTGATCAAAGGCAAGGCCATCACCGGCTTCACGACCGAGGCCGAGGTCACCATGGGTATTATGGCCGAGTTGAGGGCGTGGAATAGCCCCATGGTGGAGGAGCTTGCTGAGAAGCTGGGAGCAACATGTAAGCCTTTTTGTCCAGCACTCACCATACGTACAATACCGATTGAAAGTATGCTGACGAACTCGTCTCTTTTAGACAAGCGCGCTCCTGGCATTTGGGACGACTTCCACGTTGTTGATGGCCGTCTGGTCAGCGGTCAGAACCCGGCGAGTGCAACTTCGACTGCCCGCGCCGTGGTTGAGGTGTTTGAGACACTCTGAGGAGGATGGCATGGTTTTCTTGTCGAGATTTCCTTTGTCGAGATGCATATAGATGGATTAGCAAGACAGTGGTTGGTTTTTCAATGAAATGGTCTTCCTAACCCAACCATCTTGTGCAACCAGAACCCGCCAAGCCAGGCAAGGGCCGGGTGTGCGGGCAGTATCCGTACCAGCGAATCCACAAAAAACCCACTGCAGCGACGCAATTGGGCGCGTCCGAATGCGCCGAATTTTTGTTCCAAGCTCCGACTAGAAGCACCTGCGCAATTGTCCGCACGCGAGCCTGCAAGCTTTTGATGCGCACCTGCATCATCGAATTGACGTAACACCGAGTCACTTCGCAGCATCTCCCGATTAGTTGGCTACTACAGAGCGGGCAGTTTGTATTGTTCCTCGTTGCTAGATTTGATTCGATTTTCGACTGTCCCCTCAGGAACTCCGTACAGTGATGGCCCCCCTCATTCCCACAGGTCCCACGGGGACCCCTTCGGCGCCAATACCGGCCGATTCGTCGCTGTGGGGTCGCATCTCGACATAGGTCTCTGAGCACAAGGCCGTCGTCTACACCATTGCCGGCGTGGCCGTTGTCGTCACAACTGCCGGCGCTGTCTACTATGTCCGCAGCAGCAGCAGCCAGGTGAGCTCTCTCTCGGTCGCTCAGCACGCGACTCCTGCCTTCTCAGGATTTCCTGTGCTAAAGCTTGGTGCCCGGATAGGAACCCAAAGACACAAAACTCAAACTCAGCAAGAAGGAGAGGCGGAAACGGAAGCAAGCCGAGAGGGAAGCAGAAGCTCAGAAGGCGTCCGCGCCCGCAAAGGAGGCCGAGGCACCCGCTCCTGCAGCAGTCAAGGCTGCCGCTGTCGAATCCGCCGACGAGCTGCCCGAGATCGACGAGAACACAGTCCAGAGTCTCACCGAGCAGCAGCGCAAGGAGTATGCACAGAAGCCGAAAGAGGCCGGCAACAAGGCTTATGGGGCCAAGGACTTTGAGAAGGCCATTGGGCTCTACTCCAAGGCTATTCTCTGCAAGCCGGATCCCGTTTACTACTCCAACAGGGCCGCCTGCTATAATGCGCTGAGCCAATGGGACAAGGTCGTCGAGGACACCACCGCCGCCATCAGCCTCGACCCAGAGTACATCAAAGCGCTCAATCGCCGTGCCAATGCCTACGACCACCTGGGCAAGTACAGTGAGGCGCTCCTCGACTTCACCGCGAGCTGCATCATCGACGGGTTCAGGAACGAACAGAGCGCGCAGGCCGTTGAGCGTCTGCTCAAGAAATTCGCCGAGACGAAGGCCAAGGAGATCCTCGAGACCAAGCCATCCAAGCTTCCGAGCTCTACCTTTGTCGGAAACTACCTGCAGAGCTTCCGCACCAAGCCCCGACCCGTCGGCCTGGAGGATTCAGTCGAGCTGTCGGAGGAGACCGGCAAAGGTCAGCTGCAGAAGGGCTTGAAGGCATTGGAGAGCAAGACCGGACCGGGTTACGAGGAGTCTGCCGAGGCTTTCGATAAGGCTTTGGAGCTGGGCGATCTCGGCGAGCACGAGGCGTACGCTTATAACCTTCGTGGCACCTTCCGGTGCCTAAAGGGCAAGCATGAGGATGCCCTGGCCGATCTTTCCTCTAGTACTCTTAGTACGTTACTCATTTCAAACTCTGTGACCATGATAATGGAAGTGCGCCCTAAGGTACAGCACTCCCATAGCATAGATTGCGAGCGCGACCGACGCTAGAGCCCTAACTTCTTCCGCTGTGCCGCCATGCGATCCTTGTGATGAGGTCGTAAAACATTCCTCCATCGCTCGTCCTGCATGGTCCTTAACCGAAACGCCGCATACTCCAAATGAGGAATGTCCGAGCACGAAGGGTGATACTCTTAAGTCCTCGAGCGCACGGAACAGGTTTGTGAGGGTGTTCATAAGCTCAGTTGGGCTTGGGCAATACTTCGTGGCCTCTTTAGGAGGGAACCCATGCTTTTTCCTGTGGAAGTGCCGCCAAATTTCCCTGAGCATCAGAGCGTCGCACTCGGGATCTTCATCCTCACAACCACCTTCTCCTCCAGGCAACCGGCATTCAACTTCGGCGTGGTAAAGGTCGAGGAGCGTTTGGATGAGTGAAAGTCGTAGTTCAGAGACGACATCTAGGATCCGAGTGTTAGTCACCAGTGCGGAGTGAGACAATATAAGGCATTGATAGGGGTCGAATGATCTTACCTAGCAAGTCCAGCAGCCATGAGTGGCTGCCCAAAGTGACGTCTTGGTCGTTATAGGAGAACACCGTTTCAGTGCATGCCAGGCCGAAACCGAGTTTCCTAGTGTCCTCTACAAGCGTAGTTATCCTCGAAACCCAATGGCCAGGCCACATAAGTCGACATAATCAGGACACTTCCGGTATCACTTGTGAAGTCCCACTTCTTCAAGGCTGGCTCCCATGGCCCAAGAATGTGGATTAAATTATACTTGTCCGGGACAATGATGATTTCGTACAGCGTATGCAGCGAGATTTCCTTCGGTATCGCGGCAAACGTTCCATGGACGATCAGCACAAGCGTCTTGACCGGCTCTGGCTTGTCCTCGGGCAGCTCGACGAGCCAGTCGCCCTGTGTGGGCTTAGCCTCTGACCACGGACCATAGAGCATGCTCCTCCAGATCGGGGAAGCGCGCCGCATCGCGGCAGGGCAGAGATTGAAGTCGCAAGGCTGGACATCGCCAAGCGCTGTGCCGACGCGAAGCAGGAGGTCACCATCAGGATCGATGGGGTCCACGGTGATGCTGGGCGAAAGTGCTGGCTCCTGTGTCGACTCGCTTCGAGCATCCGTTTGCTCCATTCCCTTCGCGATTTCGTTACCCAGTTTAATCCTTTTCGGGGTCCGGACCGGGCATAGTGGCATTGCTCGGTAATCGGGCGCTCCCAGAGACTCGGAAGCGCGCTGATATACCTTGCGTCTGGCGAGGTCTTGCTTTGATTAGGAGAATAAAAAATCAGAAGTTCAAGCGTTTTGTTTGGGAAGACTAGTTGGCTCCGTACCAGCACAGTACGGACCCACGTTCAACGACATGTCCCCTACTCTCTCTAACAGCGCTTCTCCCACGAGCCTCAGGTGCCACGATGCAACACATAATGGCAGATGCGGCTGCTCCTTAGACGTTGGACTTGGTCCGATACATCGAGCGTCAAGGATACCAAGTACTGACTGCAGAAACTAGCTATCAGCATCCGTCCGCCGGTAGCGCAGCTAGCGCTGGGTGAAGTATCATCTCGGCTGTGCGGTAGGCGGCTACTTACGTAGCATGTCATGAAAAAGCCATTGGGAAGTGGGAGCTGATGGCATTGATAGGGCAGAGTCGAGCAAATTCTTTTTGCGCCTAGCTCTGGCGAGCACGAGAGTCTGGTGCCCTTTCAAGTCTGTCCAGTCTGTCCCGTCCTTCCTCACCGTTTGTCTTTCAAGCCTCTGAACCAGCATTCTGCAGAGGGATAAAGTGTCGTTTGTTGGCGCTGTCAATGTAACACCAAACTTCCAAGCCAGTGACATATCTTCATGATGAGTCGGGTTGGTGCAGGTATGTCCGGTGCGCAATGCCTTTCACAGGTGTCTGCCCAATACGTGAGCCGGGTTGGCTCACGATTGATGAGGTCCAAGTCGTACCCCAACTGCTCGTATCGTTTTTGCAGGCGGTCTCGGTAGGCTTCAGGGAGTACCTCCCTGCAGTCCTGCCAGTCAAAGAACAGAAGATCCTTGAATGCCTCAAACCCGACCAAGAGAGAGCAGCAATGTTGGCCTCGCAGTTTGCGCGTGCTGTCGACGTAAGTGAAGACGTCTCCGAGCGAGATCAACAGAGTCTCGGCGCATGTGTCGACTTCGCTTGCTTGCTCCGGTGGCGGAGTCCTTGCCACCAATCTAAAGTAACTCGAGATCTCGGTCGCAATCAACGCGTTACACAGGATGGGCTCGTGGCAACACTCCGGTCCCTTGCGGTAAATCCCCCATCCCGTACTTTTGACCCTAGGATTGATAGCTTTTCCGTGAAAGAAGTCGAGAATATATTGGATCACTTCGAGGCGACATCGTGCAACGGTACCTGATTACGAGTCAGTCTCCCAGCTTTGATTTATCACTAATCTGGCACAGAATGGGGCCACTTACACCTGATTAGACGGCACAACGCAGGAGGGAAACCTTCTGAGGTACAATGCTCGCTGTATTCGATCAGGCAATCGAGCTCGACTTTGGAAATGGTGAAGACGACCGCTTTGATAATCGAGGACAGCCGGTCCAGAGATCCCAGCTGCCAGGCGACATACATCCCTTGTGCGATCTCGCGACTGCTGTTTCTGTGGGGATATCGGACGATGTTGATCCACCATGGCGCCCACGGCCCGAGAAGTCGCGTAAGGTCGTACTTGTCTGCGACAGTGAGGACGTCGACCATCAATTCGAGGTCTTGCCTGCGCGTTGAGCCCTCCTTCATATGCGGGACAAGGTCGAATCTTCCATGGGCGATGGCGAGCATGATGGTCAGAGGCGCGGGCTTGTCGTCTGGAAGCGAAACGATCCATGGCCCGGCGCTGGGCTTCGCCTCGATCCACGATCCAAACAGCATCGCCTTGAAGACCGGCGACGAGCGGCGCATGGTGACAGAGCACACCTGAGCGTCGATCATGTCAGGCTCGTCGTTGACTTCGGCACCGATGTGCAGGATCAAGTCACCGTCGGGGTCCAGGACTAAGCGACGGACTGTGGGAGCCCTCGACGGCTCCCAATCGTCATCAGATTCGAAAAAGAGATCAATGATATACGGCATTGGCTCGGCGCGTGACGATGATCCGAGAGAGGGCGAAGAGAAGATGAAGTTCTGGAAGCGAGTGAGAAGGTCGCCGCCGGGCTTCCCGCGACTTTAACCTACTGGCGCTGGCGTAAACACCGTGCCATGGCAAAGAAAAACTTGTGCTCAGCACCCATGAACTACCTTAGTGACTTCGAAGAGAACAGACGACGCTCGAGATCTTGTGGATCCACCGGGACCACGAGTCTTCATCGGGCGCCAACTCGTTGTCTGCGAGAGTTGGGCTCACAATCGCTCGCCGAGTTGATTGATATGCTCATGAGTCTGTACGCTTTGACGGGCGGGAACAGGGATAACGTGGTGTATATATGACGTGAACCTGCCCAAAGCTCAGCAACCCACCATCCTGATCCGTACCTAGGTTGTCCAATACCGTACTGAAGGTGTCCTAAAGGAACAACATCTCGACAGAAAGGGATGCTCGGGCCGTAATCTGAACCCGAATATCCGAGTCTCGGCCATGTGGTCAATCGCCCGTGAAGCAGTACTGCTTTTACCCATCCACATCCGAGGCACAAGCTCGGGGGTTCTGAAAGGCCTTGCAGCCAACAATTGTATTGCATCATCCTCCCCCAGGCCTTTACTGGCTTTCGGTAATACTCCGCCTGGTACGAGGGTGTCGAATAATGGATAGCTTGTATCCGGCGTAGGGAGAAGGACGTTGATTCTACCCAGGCGATGAGCCGGTAATGTAGGTATGGTTTCTGCACACCTGACATCGCCAGTCTGGGAGGGCGGTGTTGGCATGGAAAGAGGCAAGGGACGTTTCAGGTGGCGTGATGGTGCAGATCGATTCCGGACGTGCGAACGGCCCGACCGCCGCCGCAGTGGCCGCACCGACACGGATGGCCGTAGGTCACAAGTGGCGGACCCGTCAGAGTCCTTAGCATGTCCCTCCTTAACGTGTCTCCATTTTGACAGTCCGTTGATCCTAGGACAAGTCCTTTGTAGGAGTCGCTGAGCCAATCCCAAGGTCCGGTCTCGTGACTGTCGACCGGCGGGGTGACTGGTGATGTAGCTGAAAAAGTTGCGGCAGACTTCCAGGAGTTCGTGGACCTCGGACTGAACGGTTGACAACCAGCCCACTCCATTGGTCGCCGGCGAGGTCTGGGCCGCTTCCAATGCCTGACAGGTGCGTACTGCAACGTACAACAACCTGTGAATGACATGGTCCACCGCATCGTAGATACCGTACGCCGAGTGGCGAGATATGGCTGCGAAGAGGCGGTCTAGTTGGGAGAGGTTGATAAGGACGTGAAGCTTGTCAACAACCCCATCCATCTGGTCGCCAAGGTCCAATAGACCTCCAAAGGCATCCCCAAGGCGGTGGCGCCTCAGCTGGTTGATGATGGAGTGAACCTGGTTGGGATACCCGGGTGACCCGGTGGGAGATGGTTGTGGTAACAATGAAAGCTCCATGGGTCTGATATGGTGATGCAAACCACCTGCACTCAGGCAAGGTTTATGGGGATGATGAGGGTGATGCTAACAATGGTGTCCCTTGGCGAGGAGGGCGGGGCGAGACGGTGTGGAGACTCGGAGTGGGATGCAAGAGGAATATGGGTGCTGTGGAGGGCAGTAAGCAAGATGGACAAAAGGAAAGGAGCAGATGGGGAAAAAATGGTGGGAGAGGCGGTTTTATACCTGCATGCTGGAACAAAAGTCTAACCAATCAGGAGGTGTCGAAGTTGGTGCTCTAATAAACCGTACGCGGGTTTTAGAGCAGCAGGAGAAATGTGGTCGGTTTTGCAGGGGAGAGTCATCAAACGGGGGGGTTATCAGATGCGGGTGGCTGCTGGCCCCTTGTCGGCCTCTTATACCAGCGAGGCACACCCCATCCTCTCGCATCCCCTACCCTCACCCCACCTTCAGCCAGGCTCATAAAAAACCCGCCATCATGAAATGGAAAGTCGAGAAAGGTTCATAGAGACTCCCCAGGGCGCAAGCTGCCGAGGCGCAAGTGTGCAGATGCCGGACGACCACTTGGAGGTTTGTTCAAAGGCAACGCTCCGACGAGGGTGGCCCTCGGTGGCAGGACTTCGAGAAGCGTAATGTTGACACAGGAAATTGACCCAGGAAAAAGACATGCCCCTGCATGCGAGAAACCAGGAGCAAGTCGATATCTCTCAACTGCCTTAAGTTGCTGGCATGATGCTTTGATCATTTTGCGTCTCTCCAGCTAATGGGTGGGGCGGTCATTGACTTAGGTAGGACAGTTGCAGCTCCAAGGCGAGATGGAATATCACATCCCGTCCCAGAGGGGCTCTGCTCAATGCGTCGAATAAAACTTTATGAACCCCGAGCTGGATGCGGCTGCCAGTCTCTTCACAAAAATTACAGTCTCCAAAAAAGTATGCGCGGTGTTTCGTCGAAGTTGAGAGTTGTGCCAGGCAAAGGAAAGAGATGTCGTTGACAGGATTATGTAATGTAGCCATTTAACTAACTTAAGTTACACAAAGTGGCTGCTCTGATCAGCGAAAGCCAAGACCATCTTGGTGTGTACCCATTTCTCAGTCGCTCGAGTTTTCTTCTCGGCCCCGCAGCCAAGCCTGAATAGCGCACGACTATCGGGGCACGAGGAAGCGGGTAATCATCGGAGATCCTGATGCCGGCCGATACCAACGAGGGCCAACGATCACCTGCAGATTGGAAGGGCCTGCATTCGAAAGACCTGAGAAGACACACGAAACGAATTGGCCTAGCTCGAAGGACCGGAAAAAAATGAATGAATGAGGCAGCCGCGCACATGAGACTTGCTTTGCTCCCTGATCGGCTGCAACGCCAATCGTAAACAGCAGCAGCACTGCTGCCGACACTGTCCAGGCCCGCCACGAAGGGTGACTGAGTGAAAGCACTACCTCATCGACTCTCAACGGACACAGACGTATTTGCCATGGCCAGCAGCTAATGTATTCTCCTGAGCCACGCGCCAAATCTCGACAGCCCAGTTCCAACCGCCGTGACTTGCTTTGGGTTTCCAAAACCAAAAACCAACCCGAACAGGTTGGCTCCCCAGCACCACACCATCAAGTTCACAAACTGCATCTTCCTCCTTGCATGAGGATAGAACCAATGGCACGAGATGTCCCGTTTGCCGAAACAATTCGTCGTTTGGTCGGACCGTTAGAGAGCCTGCCTGTTGGAAGACCGGATAATTATCACCTCTCCACCAATGTGGGACTTCGGACGCATGTTGAGCGTGCGGATTTACGCGTCGTATCGTGGCCGCAAACTGGAGGATGTGCCGGCAGCTCGGGCCCTCGAAAAACTGTCGGAAATCACCTGATGCAGAGATGGTCAATAGCCAGCGCTCGGCGAAGCTGTTGGTTGAGGGATGTTTGAACTTATCGATCATGGTTGACACGCTCTTTGCCCTTCAGATTGCCGACCAGGTCGATGTCAGGCATATTCTCAGCTTGGGACAAGTGTAAACGGGGACACAATATTCTGAGAGTCTCCTGGTCTTGCAATGCCCGCCTTGGCCAGGGGCTGGCAGATTTGGCGGACACTCTTCGGATGCACATCATGTAAGCTGCTGTCTCGTCGTGACGAAGACATTCTTCCCACGAGGGTCAACCGACTCGACGGGCTACACCTAGGATTCTGATTTTAAGTCGACGGCCGCACTCGCAGCCCCTCGGTGGATCGTTACCTTAGCATAGGCAGCCTCATCGTCCAGGATCACGGTCGGTTAGCATTGTATCATGGATGTGTAGTAAGGGCTGTCAAATATCGCTTTGGATAGACAATGTAACCATCAGTATTGGCATCGACCATTCGACAAGCACGTGGTACAGACTGGTCAAACAACTTGCGATATCAGCAACATTTAACACCATCTCAGCCATCTCAGCCGTCTATGGATCTAAGAGGGGACTCCTTCGGACCCTCCAACTTCTCCTCGAGGCTCCCGACGAGCTCTCGATTAAGTTTGTGGGTGATGATCCGCTTACCCTCAGATTGAAGCTTGCCGTCGGCGTCATTTACTACTCACGCGGCACGCCCGTCCGCTGTGCCATTCGTAAATCTACTCTACATAGACTTTCCGAGTCAGAATGGGACGGCGGGTTTTGAGTCGAGAGATGACACGGAATTTTCTGATGGGACCCTGAAGAAATTAGCTCGCAACTGCAGCCTTTTTGAGTCTGATTCACGCACCGAGTGTGGGGCTTAATCGTCCCAAAAAGTCGGTACCATTCGATCTGCTTCCTCTTCCACTCATACTAACAACACGCCGCAAAACTCGCCGGTGGGGCAAGCCATCGTCTCTCGACACATCATGGCAAACTTTTCCTTCGAGCTCTTGCAGCTCCCAAGTGACCTCCTCACGTACATTGTCCGGGAACATCTTCCACCGGTACCGGCTGTGGCACTGTCGCTGACTTGCAAAGACGCGTTCAAACTCCTGCTGCCCCTCTTCGAAACGAAGGGATGGCTTCCCTTCAGCGATTCACAGACCAAAGCCGAATTCTGCGAGCTGCTGGAGAGAGACGTTGGCGACAAATACTACTTTTGCCCTATTTGCCGCACTCTCCATCCCTTCTCGCCCACGGACGGCCCTGCTTCCTCCGACTGGGCTTCTCCTAATACCCCCGACTGCCGCCGTTGCCGATGGACCTTGGGGGCGTCCGGCTTTACCATGGGCTTACACCACGTTCGCCTGGCACTGAACCGCCAGCTGTTCGGCCCGGCAAGCGGGATATCCCTGGATCGGTTTCAACTCGAGCACTACATGACCAGTCAGACCGCTTTCCAGTGCTTCCACGAGAAATGGTCAGCCAAGATCATCGACGGCGATCTTTTCCTGGGCTCGGTACGGACGACCAGCTGGGACATACCGTACAACAAGTTCCTCAACAATTTGTGGAACCTGGGCTACAAGCTCTGTGAGCACACGCTGCTTTACTACCTCCCCACCACCCGTCCCCGCGGCAATGTCGGATCGTCGATAGAGGAATGCAAAGACCTCCTCGGCCACTGCCGCCAGTGCTTCACCGACTGGACAATAACGGCCGCGTTCATAGAACCGCGGTGGCACCTCACCATCCACACCTACCACCGGTTTCCGAGCAACCGGCGGCCGCAGTCCTCTGGCTCTTCGGCTGGTGGTCGGTTTGGGTACGAGACTGAGGTGATTCCGCTGTATCGTGACGCCGGCCTTGTGAGGGACATTTGGCTAGGCCGCGCGACGCAGAGCGCAAGAGCTGGCCGGTGGATTAAAGCCGGTGTTTTTGGGGACGTCCTTGACTACAATCACTGGAATGAGTGAGAATCACCTCCCTGCAGGCGTGGTCAGCATTCTAGGCCGGCTGCTGCAGCGTTGGTGAGATGCGTGGGCCGGCGACGGATGGTTTTCGTTGAAGACGGTTCGTAGAGGTGCGGCGGTAAAGGGACTTGAACTTTTGAACTCCAGAGAACTGTGCTCCATCAGCCCTCAAGTGACCGGCCCGATCGTAGTATCCAGTATCAACCTGTTGAACAACCAGAATCATTGTGCGGCTCTCTGGTGCGTACTTGATGACTGCTGGGAACAGCGCAGATATTGGACAAAGGTCGGATCAACTGAAAGCATACCTACCTTGTACGATCTCTGGTTCCGTACCGCTTGGAATGAGCAGCACTACAGGATTCCCCCCTGACAACTCGTTGCCAGCTCCCTTTTGAATTCATCAAGCGACCAAGCAGTTTTGACATCAGGAACGCCCCGCGCTTGAATCAAATTGGGTCGATAGAGTTCGTTATGATCTGCCAATTTGCCTCCAGTTCTCCAGATCTTCCCCAGATTATCAGCGCTGGGGCAGCAACACCAGACCATGAAATGAGTGCATTCGTGAACTTGAATGCTTCGAGATTGGCACTTGAGACTGACCATGATGCTCGAACATGCTCCATACAGCTGATACCTTCAAAGTTTCTGATCCAAACACTGACGCAAGGAGTGGCCGGATTCAGCCGCGAAGGACGCCAGATGGGGAGTCCATGAATAAAGTACCTGGCTCTCAGGGTCAGTATTCCCTCTCCCCCGCCCCCCCCCTCCCTTCCTTCTTTTCAGTTTCCGACCTCGAAGATTCTGGTCTCAAGGTCTCAAAGGGCCCCAACCTCCGCAGCCCCCTTGATCTCCTCGCCCACCGCGGACGCAAATCATTGCCTCCTACCGCATATGCAGGGTCCTGCCAAGAACCCTTGATATGCACGCAAAACAAGAAACTTCTCAGATCTCGAAACAAACACAATGCCGTCTTTTCCGGGGCCGGGCATCCACGGTGTCGATGGATAGATCGGCATCTCGAAAAACGGTAGAGCGGATCTGGGACCCCACCTCCGTGCCGGCAAAGAATACTTGGCGTCCGGCGTCCGGCGCGGCCATTGGCTCCGATTTGCACCGGGGGTTCCACATCACGGAGAGACACGGGGCTGCTTGCCGGCGCGAGGCCTCCTACGCACAACATGCCATTTTCCGAGTATGGGAAGGCTTACCGGTGATCGTCAGGGCGCCGTGCTTCCCGCGGTTACGTTACTCCGTCGCACCCTTCATCTGATGTTCATAGGCCTTGACTGGCGATGTTGCAACGCAAACTAGACGCGGACGTGTCTGGGAGTACTCCTGCCTGGGGCAGGTAGAAATGCCCTGTACGCTTCCTGTCAGTTTCATCAGCGGGTCAGGAGAGCCATGCCCAGAAGTCATCTCACGGATGTCCCTAACCCCCGTACTTCTGATAGGCGATAGGAACTCCCAGTCGTCAATGGACGAGGTCGATGTTGAGCTGTTTCTTGTATTGTCTGACGTCGACATCCCGGGTTGGTTTTCGGTAGACAAAGCCCCAAACCCAAAGTATTCCCCAGGACTCGGAAGCTGTGGACCACAGTCTTAGTTTGTCGACTCGTTTGAACTACAGGAACTGCTGCATAACGTATCTGGGAATCCGATCAATGATTTCCACGCTCTCGGGAACTGTCTGGATCGACGCTAGGGCGTATCCTCAATTAGCTCGGGGTGCATTGTGCAATATCCCCGTCGTTTCAGAGTACCGTACTCCACGTTTCTTCACCCGACATGTCGACGGCATGTCCTTGGCATTCCGTCACGGTGCCATTGAACGACAAGTTTGGGCCGGGCCAGCTATTACACAGTAAAGGAGGGAAGTACGCGGAGGTTTCCACATCCCAGCAAATGATTGCAATGAATGCTCACATCTTGAGGACCCTGAGGTAATCAAAACCCAGCTACAGCCCTGAAGATTGTGTGGGACCGGCGACAGCCATGCGGTCAATCTCAGGGTTGGCGAGGCAGTTGACTAACACTGCGTCCCATGGGAAGAGCGAGGAACTTGGATGCGATATGGCTCCTCTAGATCGTGTCCCAGGGCAGTCTCCCGCGCCCTGTAATGTCAACAGGAAGAATAGCACGGGTCGATTCGACTTCTACCTGCCCCGAAGTGGCAATATCACTGGACGACGAACGAGCAGATAGAGAATCTAACCCAAGGAAAGTATCCGTGAGCAGAATTGAAGCTGCACGATTCGGGCTGGCAAATCCAAAACCGGGCTGGCAAATCCAAAACCAGGCTGTGTGTCAGGGACTCGAGAGACAAAGCATGGCACGACAAACACGCGCCCGCAGAAGAATCGGACGATAATTGCTGCAGGTAGGGTGAGCATTTGGTATCGATCATCGGTGCCTGGTGACGGTGCCGTGTTTGGCTTGCAGAGGTTAGGATGGAGGTCCAGACAGATTCCCATGATTGGCTGCCATGTGAACATCGATTCCACATCGCGGAACAGGCGGCGTTCTGGGAGGAGAAAGCCAGGCACTTGTCTGCAGGGTAGCCGGGTGGGGTCAAAGTCCAAGGCAGGACCCCTGATCGCTGTATTGGCGGCATCGTGAGGACAAGACAGGCCGGTTTGGCCCTTGTATGGGCTTGTTGTGTCCACAACCTGAAGAGTATGACGAAGATTCTGGCTTGAAACAGCAATTGCGTGTCTGCCTTGTCGGTGCCGCAAACCGCTCACGGGTGGGTCGTTGTCGGTCAGCGACCAGGCATGGAAGGACAAGCAGCTGAGGGATGACCGGAGGAAGTAAGACTGCAGAAACGGGGCCAGGCGTGAAATGACCTGTGATCGACTTGATGGTGATGTCGGGAGAGCGCAACACGGAAAGCCGCGCCCTCACGGACAGTGCAAGATACCAGTGGCGGGAATTCGGCGCATGAGATTGGAAGCGAGCTGGGACAGATTCAGCAGCGAGGCGTTAATTATGGCGTCAAGTTCTTTGAATGAGGAAGTAAGCAGTTGACATGAAAAGATGAAACCCTAGGGGCCTGATCGGCTCAAACATCCAAATCCTGATTCTGATCCTGAGGCCTGCTGTCTCTCGCACTGAAGAATTCCGAGGTTGTCGTGTTTGAGTGCGACATATCTGGCCGATAAGCGGGCCGAGAATGACGTCAGGGTGGGTCCGTTGTTCCTGGCATTAGACCCTGAAGATTAACATCAACCTCTGCTGTCACCACGGTGAAGGAGGGGAGCGAGGGAAGAAAGGGTGAAAGTGGTGAGGACGAAGAATTGTTCCTCGATGTTAGAGATTGGGAATTGCCTGGCCTTTCTGATAAGAGTACAGTTAGGGTGACTTGCCATTGGTTCTTGACGCAACCAAAAACGTCTCAACGCTCTAGGGTACCGTTGCGGAAGAATGGAACTTTGGCCTTTGAAAAGGTCAGTTTGCGCCTTGGTCGGCTGGTCATCGCATGCATCATCATCGTAGCCGTTCTCATCGGCAACCGAAGGGCTTCAACCGAGTCGAGCGGGTTCAGCAGCCCACCCAGAGTCGATGAGATTGGGGTGGCGACCTCTCCGCAAAAAAAGCGCCTGGAGATGGAGCGGAATCTCCTGGGGACTGGAAGTGGAACACGTCACTGGCTCCGTTCTGGTCTGGATATCGTCCACCAGCGACAGGGATAAGCCGCTATGTGCTGCCGGCCAAGAGACGACAGTGGAGCCTTCACAGTGAGTCCGCTCACCTACGCTTCATGGATAGGGACAGAGAGGGCATGATGGGGCGCAGGGTGTAAATGAATAAAGATGCATCCATAAGCTAGTGTTGAGCCTCAAAGAGTTACAACCGAACAACTTAGACGTGAGAACCACCAAATCGGCTTAGTGCTTGCACGGAACAAACTTTGGCCCTGGAAAAAGCCCTTGGCTGGACTTCCAGTTCACCGCACGCATAGTACCGGCAGTAACTCAAACCGCTACCAGTTGCAATGATTGATACTGAAGTAGGGAACAGGATCACAATGACGGACCATAGGCCGTGTCTGGACGGCAGCTCCATCTCCCGGGGCAAGATCGGAAACCGACGATGCATTGTGAATGGGCAATGAAGCAACTCTGGGTTTTCGTCACGATCCCTCGTCAGTGAGGTGACCCGTCGTCATACAACAGGACTGCTATGACATAGAGCCGACCAACGTGCATCCCCTAAGCCTGAGCTGTAGGCCAGGCCCTGTTCTGACTGGGTCGTTTCATGGTCTGACCCCGATCACTTGCTCTGCAGCCTGATAAGATTATTGCAGCGGCAGAGGATAAGCTAAGGTACTCACGTCTGGGAACCTTGGGCGACTACCTTGGTCGAATGCTCGATTCGAAGTGAAGACGAATATTGGACTCAACCCAAGAACTGTTGCATCAGGCTCTATACCGTATGACCCCTTTTCGATCGAACGCATAGCGGAGACATTGTGGCACTTGGCAAGTAAGCAGCTAAGCAGCAGTCAGGATACACCGCTGAAGATTCGTGATGGGAAAACGGAAGTGCGGGTCGGTGGCCGTTGTGGCCGTTGTGGCCTGCGGACCACCCAGCCACGTGTGTGGTCAGTCCTGAGTGGGGCTGTTTGGAGGCGAACTTGGCCATGCCTTGCACCCTGCAGGACAGCGGGAAAACGCCCCTGCCATTCGCTTGGCAAGCCACAGAATCTGGCCCCACCGATGATCCAAACGACCTCGAGAGGGTCAACGACCATCACGATGCCACCGAAGGGGAACGACAAGCGCCACTTCGGATCAGAATGTCCACAGCAGGAAGTCCCATGTCTTCCCATTGTATAAAGGACAATGGCCACCCTCCCCGCTGCCTGGTGTTTGCTTCTGTTCTCCAGATCCAGCGTTTTGACCGCCAGCAACGGCATTACAAGTGCATTCCCTCCCGTTCTCACCTGGACGGTCCGTCATAGCGCATTGGTGTTTGTCGAACAATAAACATCGCCGACTGATATTCCTTAAAATCGCTTTGTCGATCCCCTCTTGCCCCTCACATCCGTTCCAGCGATCATCTTATACATACATCCCATCCCGTCAACATGGCCAATCCACAGCGGAATGCCCCAAAGAAGGCCGTCCACTTTGGTGCTGGCAACATCGGTACGAGCCACTGGATACTTCTTTTGAGGTTATGCGGACCATCGACGTCATGGCATGCTAACACACACTAAACGGGTTCAGGCCGTGGTTTCGTTGCCTGCTTCTTGCACAACTCGGGCTACGAGGTTCTCTTCGTCGAGGTTAACGACGAGACGGTAAACAAGCTCAACTCCCAGAAGAGCTACCGGGTTATTGAAGTCGGCGCCGACGGCACGACGGAATCAACCATCACCAACTACCGCGCCATCAACTCGAGGACACACGAGGCCGAGCTGGTCCGCGAAATTGCGACTGCCGACGTTGTTACCTGCTCGGTCGGCCCTCACATCCTCAAGCATATTGCTCCCGTCATTGCCAAAGGCATCGAGGCACGGTCACCTGATTTAACCCCGGTCGCCGTCATTGCATGCGAGAACGCTATTGGCGCCACAGACACTCTTGCCGAGTTCATCAAGGCGCCCGAAAACACTAACCCCGACCGGCTTGCCGACTACGACAAGCGCGCCCGCTTTGCCAACTCCGCGATCGACCGCATCGTTCCCGCCCAGGACCCCGATTCCGGCTTGGACGTCCGGCTCGAGAAATTCTACGAGTGGGTTGTCGAGAGCAACCCGTTCGCCGACCATGCGCCGCCCGATATCAAGGGTATCAACTGGGTGACCAACCTGCAACCCTTCATCGAGCGCAAGTTGTACACGGTCAACACAGGCCACGCGACAGCGGCGTACCACGGTTACGTGCGGCGCAAGAGCACCGTCTACGACGCGTTGCAGGACCGCGACATCCAGGACGAGGTCAGGAAGGCGCTGTGCAACACGGCCGAACTCATTACGCAGAAGCACGGCATCCCCGCCGAGGAGCAGCAGGCTTACGTCGACAAAATTGTCCGCCGCATTGGCAACCCGCACCTCGAGGACGCCGTCGAGCGCGTCGGCCGCGCCCCGCTCCGCAAGCTCAGCCGCAAGGAGCGATTCATTGGCCCTGCCGCCGAGCTGGCCGAGAACGGCAAGGACTGCAGCGCACTGCTGGACGCCGCCGAGATGGCTTTTCGCTTCCAAAAGGTCGAGGGTGACGACGAGTCGTTCAAGCTCGCCGAGATTATGGAGAAGAAGGAGCCCGACGACGTCGTCAAGGAGATCTGCGGTTTGCAGCCGCAGGACAAGGTCTTCCCGGCCGTCGTCGATGTCGTCAAGCGTGTCCAGGCTGATACGCTGTCGGAGTCCCCGTAGATTGGCAGCCAGGCTGCCAATTCTCTTCTCTTCTCGCATCGCAATTTGACGTCTTCTTGGGTCTAAGCGCACCCTTTCAGGGAATGATATGGATTAGTAACTGGGCAGTGATTGGATTTCTCTGACAAAGCATGGTCTCGGCGTTTATCCGGTCTTTCTGGTTTTCTTTTCCCTGATATTTGCCGCATCAATCGGGTTAGCGACACGATGGACTTCATAATGGGTCTAAAGAGAGCTGTCTCACAGCCGCGATACCTGGATTGGCTTGCAAACCACTTTCAAAAAATAGACAGAATGGACAGTGCCAGACTTGTCCTATTTGGCATCCGTCTCCATTCATGTTGAACCAAGTACCAACACATGCACTAAGTTGATGGTCGGAATCAGGCGAGTTTCGTAGGTGTCGTGTCCTGTTCAGAAGAAAGCTAGGCCTAGTCGGAGGAACCTATTGGTCGAAGTCACACAGGATGACAACTGCACGTTGTGACAGTGTGAATCTTCCCAAGCTGGCGAATTACAGTGGCCGGTGCGTGAGATCCACTTTCCCTGGGGTACTCATGCCAAGCCTTTTTACCATACGGATGTATCGTGCATACCTAATCCGCAACCTCTCAAAGGCCCCCACTAGACTGACAGGTCCATCTCAATTACTGTAGATAATACACAAAACATTATCTAAGCAGCAAAAAATGCATCCTGTTGGAACCTGCAGGGCGATGACCGCTGAGATATGCGCTGAAAGAAGTTATTCCGAGTCAGAGTACTGGATTGGATTGAAAGGTGGTAAAGTGCTTGATTGACCATGCTGTTGATGGGCATGGGAGAGGACTTAAGAAGGTAAGGAAGAGGGGTTGCAGTGCTAGCACCAATCAACCACCGAGGTCCGTTGAATGCAGCCATAAAGGCGGCTTCGTTCCGACACATCCAACGCGGCCACCTCCTCCACCACTAATGCCAACGCGATGGCCAACACTATGGCCGCCTTCCCAGACGACTGCCTGCCTCCTGAACCCTATTTCGAGTCTTGACAGGCTCTATTCAAGTCAATCAATTTGTGGGCTAAGCCCAGAGGCTATTTTTCTACCACTCAAAGGTCGATGAAGGAGAAGAATGGTACTACGACAGTTATCTACACATGTGATCGATCTCGTAACCCTCCTAATAGCTTGTAAGAGCGTCAGAGAAGAACGACAACTCGGAAGACGAATTGCCCTTTCTCAGTTATAGCAAAAGAGGCGGCTGACGGCGGCTGGACTCTAAAGCATCGTCCTGGCCAACGCTCTGCCGTATATAACCGTGAGCCAAGCCAGCACTTATCGGCCTAACCAGTCCACCGGCTACTCTCCAGAGGTACGTCACGGTTTGCAAGCTTATCCAACGCTAGTATCCCGCCGAAGGAGATTCAGATACTCGTACGGTAGAGCGGTTTGCTAGCTATACGGTAAGAAATCTACAACCGGTTAGTCATATAAGGACATCGAAGGTATGCTTTCTACGCTATTCAGATATAGTATAGGTAGTTAACTTACTTTGTTAGTATTAGTGTTGCGAGCGCGGGTGGCCGCGTTAGGTACATTTTTGGCTGCTTAGATAATGGTTTGTGCTCATCTAATTGAGACGGACCTGTCAGTCTAGTGGGAGTCCTTCTTCACTGGCAGCGGCTGGATTGACCACATTGGCGAAATTGAGCAAGCCAGGCCTCGCGATTCGTGGCCGGCACCTTGACGAACGTCCCAACTGCTTTCCTCCCTCTCAACTGCTGCCGATTCGAATATTGACGAGACGTCCTGCAGGGGCTTCCAACCGTAACCGGCGATCTTGGAAGTGACGACTCGAATGGCGTCTAGACCAGTTATCAAGTGCTGCTCCCTCCATGAAGCTGGCGACGTCCGGGCTCGAGACGACAATATTGCGCCGGCGCGACGGCCTTGGCCTGGTCAAGACGCCAGACGTGGAGCCTGTGCACTGAGATTATGCTGGGGATCTGTGTTATGTTACCGCCGAGAGGGGTGGGTTAGCGGAGGGTGTCAGTATGTTTGGTTTTTTATATTTCTTTTTTAAAAAGAAAAGGATGATGATTGCGAGGGCTGCGGGTATGGTGAGGGAGTCGGTTTACGTACCTTCTCGATGTCATGCTTGATTATCGTCGAGGTTAACCCCCGGCGGTGCGCTCTGCAGGGGGATGGCCCCGCTACGCTTAACTACCGCAGCGGGGTTTTGAAGGGGGTGAGAACGCTATTTTACAGCGCTATGATAGCTTGAAAAGTTTTGACAGCGCTGGCAACTAGCATTCCCAGTTCAACTAGCATTCCCAGTTCAACTAGCATTCCCAGTTCAACTAGCATTC